CTCGTAGACATTTTTCTTGAAGGGACAATTGCCTGGAAATTTTACTAAGAGAGAATCATGGGCCTGTAAGTTTATAGTGGTGATTCTTTCAAACATTCACGGTGTTTAATGAGTTCACGAAAAATCACGGTATACCAAGGATACATATATGATATAAATATATATATATTTTTAAACTATGTATTATTTGATCAGAGTTACAAAAGATCTAATAAAAGACCCTGCAGTAAGGATCTAATCAATTTAATGTAATCTGTAAGTATGGATAATATAAAAAAAAAAAAGAACTTGGAATCTGTGGTACAAAAACAAAATAATAATGATGTCGCTCATATGGGTATATACAACGGCACCGATGACGCAACACAATTTACTTTCATACAAAGTGATACTACTGCTTAATAGGTAAGTCATAAACAACATTTTTTTTTAAAATTAGTTATTTAAAAATGTTTATTCATATAACGCATTATAATGCGGTACAACAAATGATCAGTATAACTACTTAGATTCTACATAGATATAATTTACAACTGATGTTAATTTAGTGCATTACTTTACTGCACTACAAAAAAGTATTATAATTCAAAAAATGTATAACATAATATTTTCCTCGCAGTGAAATGTGTAAACACGACGAATCAGTTTTTAATTTAATCAAATCGTCTGCAATGAGGATCTAAACATTTTTCTGTGATCTGTAAATATTATATATTTTCCATATTTTATCATATAAATCAAAACAAATTATATTTAAGTTTTGTTATTTTATCAGACCAATTGTGGGCTCAGGCGCCAAATATTCCGCTAGCTAAATTGCTTCCCAAAGCGACCAGAGTCATTGTGAACGGATAAAACAGTGACATTGATCCGGCCAATGATGACGACAATGATAAATTCTCTTGCAATTTTTGATTAGTCAACACTAATGCCGATTTAGGCCTCATTGTGAAACCGCTCGAGTTCAGAATGTTTCTAAAAATGTTAAACGTTAGTATAGTATATATTATAACTAGCTGTGCCGCAAGACTTTGCCAGTGTCAGTAACGACGAACAAATTTAAATAAAAATTAAATCGTGATTCCCAATCTCCATATTCGTTACTATCACACCGAAGTTCAGCGTTTTAAATTGTAAAAATGTAAAACATTAAAAATTGATTAGCCTAAGACTATTGCGATAAAGAAAGGAATTTATTGAAAACATTTTAAAAATCGGTTGTGGGGTCTATAATAATAAAGACACTTGGCAAGACACTTGCCCATGCCAAATTCGTGGACCATATCAAGAAAAAAAATTTCAAATACGAATAGTAGTTCCGGAGATTGGCGTCTTCAAACGAAATACATACAAACTTTCTGGATATTTTTTTATCTAATAGTATACATTAAATAACAACGGGAAAAACTAGGCAGATTTTCGAGAAACTGGATGATCAAAATCCGATATTTATTGTATGTCCGTATTTTAGATAGTATATAAACTCGAAGTTTGGATTATTCTATGCTTTTCTTTTTTGTTTTTATGTATATCATTACTACAAAATGATATCTCAAGTGAAACACTTCATTAAAAGTACTTATTTATTATGAATACAAAAACTAACGCTAACTGTTAAATATGAAATCTAAAATTTGTAATCTGAAATCCGTAATCCAGTTATTATGTTAATATATCAACTCACCCTATGGAATATTGTGAATTTATACTGGGCGTGTGTACTATCCACGTTTGTTGTTCGTTTACAGTCGATAAACCGGACAGATCAACACGTTCTTCTTCGGTACCCACGTTCATGACCACCAAATACGTCTCCGCTCCAGACAGTGATCTAAACGCGAGACATATTTATAATATTTAAATATTAACTAAACAAATAGGACGCTCTGGAGAAAAGATTCAAATAGAATTTAAAAGATGGACGATATTTAATAATCTATAGACGCAACGTAAAGTGCAAACACTGACCGGTCAAAAGAAATAAATATTTGTCCGAATAAACGTAAATAATTGTTTTATACGTTAAACATAAATCAAGTCCTAAATGTAATCCCGAAAAAATTCTAATATCACAGGGAAAACAATATATTATCATGTGGATTATTTAAAAATTGACAAACAGTAGAGTACAGGCATTTTGAAAGAAATGAAATTAAATTCAAACAGCGCAGATGGTGAGATTTTGTGGCTTGAAGTCGCGGAAAATTGAAGTAAATTGAGAATTTTTAACTGAACCGGATACAAAACCCCTTTAATGCACAAACTAGATTAATAATATCCCAAGAAAGTTTCTGTAAAGTTAGTACAGGAAATTTGCATAGAAGTAATCGTTTTACATTGACGCATTTTATTAAATGATTTATAGTATATTTGATTTTTCAAAAAATAACAAAATCGTGAAATTGTACGTTTTTACTCACTTACGTGCTTTTATTTAAAAAAATGACCTCTTTAAATTACTATCTAAACAATTTGAGCTTTCAGANTACGTGAACACCGTGCCCGGTAACAGCAGGTTTAGCATGTTAATTCCGTCCACCATTTCGCTACCAAACCGCGTCGCAACCCGCGGTTGGTCGTGGTTTCCTATCTGCGAACAATTATCATAGCTATTCATATTTTAGCGTTCGAGTATTACTACTTATGACACAATTGAAAAACAATTTGGATTAATCGTTCTGGAACGGTAATTAAATGGTTCTAAAATATTTCAGTATATATAAAATATTTAAACAAGGGAATGTCATGAAGAATTTATCAAAAACAGGCCTACTAAACTTTCTATATTTGTAATTGGTTAATATGAAAAAATGCATTGCTTATGTTTCTTCATTCACTTTTTATACATAAACATTTTATGCATAAAGTGGTTTTTCTTTATAATTAATATGGTTAATCCTATATTAGGGCATTTATAACGACACTTTCCTTAAGAATTCAGAAATCTAAAACGCGTTTTGAGTCTCGGTTTTCGACTACTCTTTCCGAATTTTCACTGACTTATACGAAAAAGGTGGATTTAATTTTGTTTTATACTGGTAGAGACGGCATCGGTATAGTTTAAACCTCTTCTGACCCACAAGTTAAATATCATGACATTGTAAGAGTTAAAGTGTTGTTTAATTTGTATCGTGTATACGTAAATTTTGAGTGAAGCCAAGAAGATTATGAATTTACAAAAATGTTTACATATAATTATTATTTTTTTTAATCATTTTTCAACCAGGAATATTGTTCCGATTTACAATGATAGCACTTTTCAAAAAATAAATCTGACAGTAGATGTACTTGACAGTTTTTCGATTTTCTTAGAATTTTTCCGAGAAAACTTACTGTTTAAAACAGGGAAAAACTGAAAAACGTACAACTGTATTATTTTAATCAATCGAAGGAAAAAAGGGAACAAATGTTCAATATTAAAGAAATTTTATTAAGGAAAATATTTATTGTTAATGCATTTATTTTACAATATTATGTCACATATTTTGTTAACTAAGCAATACTATTGACATAACTCTGCAATAGTTTATCGTTGTTTGCAGATATACATTATAATTCCCTTCTACTAACTCTTCAACTTCTCACCTATAGCAATAGCAGCAACCACGTGCAAAGTTGCACGTTTTTTTTTTATTAATATATTCTATTAATTGTACTCGAGTGCTGGTTAACGATAAAAGGATTAACGCTAATACTCACCACCCAATTCGGCCATTTTCCCTTTGGCATGTTGTCTAACCATTGATTCACTGTGTTGTTGAATTCGGTAGCATTCGATTGAGCGTTAAGTTCGGTAACCAATTGAAAATTAAATGTAAAATTCGCTCCTAATTGTTTTTCATTTCCATAATACCTCATAGTGTTTTCTAAGGTAGTGTACGATTCGGTTATCATGACCCTATCATTTAAAGAAAAAAAAATTAAGAGCACGATTTTCAACTATTATACAACCAATTAACAACATATAATTTTAGGAATATAATTTTGAGTTCCAGTTTATTGCCATTAAAAAATTCAAAAAATCAAATGTCTAAAATAAGTATTTCTCCTGTCATTGCCATTACTAATATTTTAATTAACGTGAATAATATAAGACCAAAAAATGATTATATCATTATTTTATGTAACTCATTCCTAGTCTAATAACATCATTTTAATTTACGAATGGGTATTGATTGCTCCAAAACGCAGTCGTTTGATTGAAAACTGGTCGTTAAGATTTGTAAAACATATACAATCAGTAAGAAAACCCTAAAAATATATACCTGGTTTTTCCGTCTTTTTGTTTGNGTCCAAGAATCGCGAATCCTCAAATAAATACGGTACGGCGTCTACTCTGTATCCATCTACACCATGGTCTAGCCAAAATCTCAAATTATTCTGAAGGAAAAACAATATATATGATTTGTTTTTAAAACATCTTGTACTTCAATATCAAATTCAATATTCTAATTTCGGTAATCGAGCATAATTAATATATATATATTTTATTGTCTATAATGTGTTAACATTTTAAATTATATTTTTCAATGTGTTATTAATTTTTAGTTTTTTTATGACACTTGACACCTACAACATACGTAAAATATTATTCCAACCACCAGAAAAATGATTACGTCAAAATGACTCAGTAAGTACGATACTCTCCGGCACAACGGTCCCCTCTGATGGGGAATTGGCCGTTGGGTCACGGTCAAATGTTTAGATTATAGGCTTAGATTAATATTTTATGTAAAGGGTTGACATGAGTTACTTCGTTCAACCTATACCCTAGTATTAAATAGTATTTTTAATGTCAATGTAAGCCCGTCCCACGATGGGGAAAACGAAATTTGAACGTATCATTTTTTTATATACTATATGGCAACAATGGGGGAAGTATTGTAAAAGCAAATCGTACACTGATGTAACAAAAAAAAAAAAAAAGGTCAAATACTATTAACGGATCTCACCTTCATTTCTTCAACCAATTCTTTACATCTATAATTTAAGTCCGGTTGTTTAGGATCGAATTGATGTAAATAATACTGTCCGCGCTTTTCGTTCCATGACCACGCAGAGTTACTGAAAATACTTTGCTGAAATAAATGTGTTAATAAACTTTTTATAAGGTCAGCAACGAAAAGGCTAGATGATATACGAGAACATAGTTATATGCAATGTATTATATCATAGTTATTACAAACATTATAGCGTTAACGGTTAAAAATTAATTATTTTATTTACCCAGTTATTTGGCGGTAATTTCGTACCGTTAACATCGATTTTGGCGTCTTTCCAAACGTAATAATCCGTGTACGGATCGATTCTTTGTACGGACTTTGTAAACCATTCGTGTTCGTCGCTTGAATGATTGGGCACAAAGTCCAAAATTATTTTCAATCCTATAGTAACATTGTAACACATAATTCGATTATTTATTTCATAATCATCGTTTTAGGTTTTTATAGAAACAAACGCACTTTTATAACGATGATTGATTTTGTTTTATAAAAAAAATAAATTTTAACAACAATATTTACTTTAGAAATAAAAATAATATTTAGATATGTGTATTCCTTTAAAATTGATATTTTTGTATTTTTTTTATAGCGATTGTATAAAAAAACAATTAGAAAAAAAAGGAATAACATGTAATAGATGGGTTTTGTCCATTGGTGTACAGCAATATGCTAATAAAATATACTCAAAGAAAACATAATGATAAAAGTGGTATTAATTTAAATTACCCAGTGACTTAAGTTTGTTTTTCAGCGATACGAAGTCGTCAATCGTGCCGTATATACTGTCGATTTGATTGTAATCCGAAATATCGTAACCAAAATCTGCCATGGGCGATTTGAAAATCGGCGACAGCCAAATACAATCCACTCCTATGTCTTTGAAGTGTTCCGCTTTTTCTTCGATTCCTTGACAAAATTTGTAAAACGTAAGTCAAAAATAAAAAATGAAAAAGTTATTATCAACTATAACGTTATATTGTTCAGTAGAATTTAAACGCAGATAACAAAATTATTTAAAGACGGCGATCATTGAATTGGTTCCCAATATCAGAAACCCCTAGCCATTGAATCGACTCCCAAAAAACATATTACTTAATTGGCAACAAATAATACTTTCAACAAGTGGATTCAATACAATTAATTAAAATGATTCTTCTCATTCTGAGTTTATTTTCCGATTAGTTTATAACAATAATACATTTAATTAGTGAAAAATAATTAGCTAGATCAGCGATTCCTAACCTACGGTACGCGTACCACCATTGGTACTCAGAATGCTCGTAGGTCACATCCGAAGAAATTGTTTGATAAGTAAAAACAAAAGTTATTAGTTTTAATTGAGGTTATAATGCAATTTATTAATCCATAAATAATAACAAAACTAATAGCCGAGCATATTTATTACAATTTTAATATTTGCATATTATTATAATAAATTGTTGTATAATTATGTAGATTTAATAATAAAAAACTCCATAAATTACTGATAACGTAAAAAGTTAATTTTTTGTTAAATAAAAAAAATTGAATTTCTGTACCAACTGGTACGTGAAATATGTCAAAATGTGTTAATATTACGCGGATATTAAAAGGTTGAGATCCGCTCATGTAGTTTGTATACTTAGGTTTTTCGTTATTTTTTTCATGTAAACCGTATCTTATAGTATTGCACACTAAAACGGGCGGTCATTGTTTCCGACAAATAACTCGATTTTCATTTCCGCGAGAACGAAAAAAATTCCACCAATTTTATTTCTACCTATATCATTGATATGAGTACGTAAAGCCCTAGTTTATATCTAGTGAATCATCAATGTACGCCGAAATAATTGATTTTACACGTAATAATTCCTCCTTATTTTAAAAATATATAAATCGATCTAATCATTGTTATCGATATCGGTTTAAATAGGGTGTGTGTTAATTTTGAGCCCGTTCTCAAAACTAACTATGAATATTGTACCAACATCGACGAATCTTCGAGTATAACGACAACGCAGCTATTCTAATTCCTTAACCCCGAGTAAATTGATGTATACATACTGATTTTAGATGAAATTCATAACGAGCCAGCATGGTAACAAAAATTAATTTTATTGATGGGTTCAAAATTTTACTTTTTGTATAAATCCATCCTCAATATAGATCTGTTACTAATAATAACGATAAGCAGGTAGAAATAGATTTGGTGGAAACCAAAATCGAAACTTTTTCATTTTGGCGGAAACGATGACTGTCACAAATGAAAATTATGTTTTTGGTTGATCTCTGATTTTTAATACTCTACTATCTTTAATATTGTGTGTTAATGCCCAACATTTTTATAGTTTTTTTTTTGTGTACATATTATGTTTATTATCAGTCAGAACTATAGGAACGCACCTACTGATCTACTAAACTTCTGACAAAACAACTAATTAACTATAAAACTTTAGATCCCCCCCTAATGAAAAATCCCTGCTTATACCACCGATTTATAATATATCTTATATAATTATTATGATTTTAATTGAACTATTATTGATATTTTCATTTGACTAAATATAATTTTATATTTATATTTCATATTGTTTATTAGTTATTTATTTATTGTTTTGAATAATATTTTGATAACCAATATATTTATGAAATAAATTTCGAGGGAGCCAATTCAATAGGTAAAATTATGGATGACCTAAGTTTGAGAACTAATTCTATAATCCCGTTAAAGACGAGGAGAATATATTAGAAAAACCGGAATGTTACGGTTTGTATGTACAAACCTCGGAAGCATTCACATCGTTATTTTTATTAAATTTCCGTTTAAAATTATTTTAACCTAAGCGATACAACAACCAAATTTTTAAATAAAATAATTTTTCTTTGTCACTGCCACCTTTTTTTAGCTGAAATAGTACCAATGTGTTACAGACGTTATAGTACCGCAACGAGCGGCAAATTGATACCAAAGGCTCCCAAAAGAGAAAAACAAATGACCGTCAGAAGTTTGCCTTTTGCGCAATTTGATTTTAATTGTTCAAAACTGTTTAAATTTGTCATGTTACGCAACTACTTAGGTACATATAATATTCACTTTCAAAACAAAAATAAAAATCATTATACCTTTGAGATCTCCCACTCCGTCGCCATTACTGTCTCTGAATGATCTAGGATAGATTTGATAGAAAATCGCGGTTTGCCACCAGTCCAATTCGTTATTCTCGTTTTTGGTGGATGCGTTATCGGCTTTTGCAAAATAATCCATTATGTTTAATAGCAACAAAACCGTACTGAGAAAATATATTGAAAAAAAAAAACAACAGAAAATTATAAACTAATCACTGAAACGTTAAGGGGGAAAGCAGAAAATTTAAATCTACTACAATATACTAATTGATACTATTATAAGTGTAGTTATTATGTACGCGAACGGTTAATATTTTTTAATTACGTTTTTTATTGTCATCAGCTTACCATACTCGATGCATCCTATCACTTTAGATACAGACTTTATTATCTATACTACGGCACTCGAAATGACAGTTTGAATAACTTGAACGGTACAATATTAGTTCACTTATATAATATATCCGGCGAAACGTAAAACAAACGTCGGAGTACAACAATATTATAGACGAATAATAGTACAATAATTTTCTAATGAAATCCTATTTATATAAAATACTTTCTTTATAAACCTTGGACCATAGAGTAAAAAGAAAAAACCCAAAATACGAAACTCGATACATAATAACAATAATAATAATATAATTTTATGTTATATTGGATTGACCTATTAACTTTTTTCCAAACACAATAAATTGTATTTATTTACATATTTTACTTAAAAAGTATTGTGTATCAATATATTTGTTTTCGAAACGTAATAATAATAGTTTTTTTTTTTAGTTAGAACCTTCAGCAGAGGAGGATCTGTTTGCTCAATACTACTCCTCTGCTACCATCGTTTATTGATGAATAACGTTAAAACATATAATCACAATACTTAACATCAAATATACATATTACAACACCAAATGCTACAACATAAATGTCCCATAGATAAATGATGACGATCCCGTTTATCGATCCTATTCTCGGTCCGGTGTCGCGCGCACCCGCAGGCCTGGCATCCCGTTCTGCTGTATTGACGGAAGGAGCTCAGACGTTTAGAGCAGCTCTTGCTTCGGCCTCAGCTAGCCTCTCATCTTGCTCTTTGCAGCTAAGAATGTCTTCGACCATTTCATAAAAAGCTTACGTGGCGCGTTGAGAGGCAGCCATTATTTGCTCGCTCATGCAAATCGGGACGTCAGTGGGACCACACAACATGTCCTGTACATCACTTGGAGTAATGTTTCGGTTACCCACGAACTTGTACATTGGTTTCCAATGAGCGCAGTAAAAAATGGTGTGTTCTGCAGTATCCGTCGGATGCTGGCAGTAGAGGCAAACTGCATCAGAGGCGCGATTCCTCCGGTGCAAATAGTCCCTGAAGCACCCATGTCCCGTGAGAGCCTGTGTAACGTGGAACGTGAGATCTTTGGGACGTCTTCTCACCCATCTTATCAGATCCGGGAGGATCTTACGCGTCCAGGCTCCGTTCCTACCGTCCCTCCACCTGATGGACCAGGCTGCAAGCAGGATGCCACGCTTTTACAATTTACTTTCATACAGAATGATACTACAGCTTTAGAATAATATAATAATGACATTTTTTCCAGCAAATCATTTAAACATAATTTCGGTTTAAACGATATTGGCAATAATTTTACACGGCATTTGAACGATTCGTGATTACGATTAATTTATATGTATAATATTGAATATAATATTATAACTAACTGTCCTGCGAGACCTTTCCCTTGTCAGTAACGACAAACAAATTTTCACATAAATAACAATGCGATTCCTAATCTCCATATCCGTCGCTATTACCGCGAAGTTCGATAATATATACGTAATTCTGTATCTAAAATCTCGGTTCTAGTCAGTTACCTATCGATTTTTACCGAAAATTATATCGTTTGCACCGAGAACACGAAAAAGTCACACTCGCTTCTAAGACATGCTGCTAGCATCAATGTCTACACATTTCTGTATGAATAACTACATAGCTAAATAATATTAAATTTGAGTAGCTGTATTATATTTCTCTAGTTAACTCAACTATATTGATATTTTAATATAAAACAGATATGTTGTAAATATTTATCGAACTGTCTAACTTTTGGTACCTATCCAACGATAATAATATGATAACTAACATTATCATGAATCCACCGAGCCCGGGATGATTTAGGGATCGATGATTTAGGGATCGATCAATTTCCTTTATAGATCACAATGATTTGCATTTTAAATACTTTTGTATGGAAAAACCAAGGTAATCAATCAATAGACACTTTTAATTTTCGTTGACATTTTTTTCACTTTTAGTTTTATTATCAGTTTTCAAAAAATTGCATTTAAATGTCCAACTAGGAAGTATAACAATCCACAACTATTTTGCTGCATATAGAAATATAAAATTGAATTATCACATTATAAATTTGTAGTGCATAAAATATGTATAAATATATATTTATATATATTCTGATAACTGAGAAATTGGTTATAACCGTGAAAGTATAAATAATGAAATACTTTAATAGAACGCAATTAAATGGTCATACTCTTGATATTAATTGAACCATACCTCTCAAAAGTAACGCTCTGCATTGTGCGCACTTTTGACGCTCGACGCTCAACGCAACACTCTTCAATGTACGCGCGTCCTAAGCGTCAATACTCAATTCAAAATAAGAAACACCCGCGTCAGCTGGCTCGCGCGCATAGCCGTGGCTTCGTCCCGTGTAAAATCACAGACTCGAACTAATGGAAGTGGAACGTCTACCGCCGGCCGACGAAAACTGGTCACCGCCGCGGGCGTTTCGTACTTTGAGTAGAATATATTATGTTTTCGACATACTTTGAATACAAGTAATACAATAACGAATAAGAATATTGAATAACCACATATTTTTAAACCTCGAATAAGTATTTAATTTAATAATTATAATAATATTTGCCCGTTATCCAAATAATCGGTAATTGATATTGAAAATATCTTAATGCGGTTTTTAAAATATGAAAATTATAACGCCGGGGTTCATGTCCACATGAAACCAAATGAAATCCGAAACAAATTGAAAATTTCAAATGCCTATGAATAATTTTTTAAAAAAAGACAGAAATATTTGAAAATTACCCATGTTAGAAAAGTCCAAAATTATTATCCTGTACAAATTGTAGGTATTTTTTTAACGAATCACAACAAAAACTCAGAGTCGAATATAATGAAATCGTAATTGCCGTACATTTGTCATGCTTTTTCCTAGTTTTTCCCAATTATTATAAAAATTATTTGGAAAATCAAATAATGACTTCTCTAATATACCAACTGATTTCAAAACCATCCAAAATGGCTCTTTTGTCGCTTTTTGATTGTATCAGGATTTTGGTAGAAAAGTTGTTCAAAACTACGAAAAGAAAAAAACAAATTATAAATCTAAATAATTGGATGTCTTCTAAGAAATAATAGAATTAAATTATTATACCAATCGGTATTATTGATAAGATATTTTGTTTATCAAGACAATTCAAATTAACACTATTATATTACATTGATGTTGAGTGTGTAACAATTTAAATAAACGGTTACCCAACTTTTAATGCCATATCACATTGAACGATAAAATAATTATTACATTGTTATCGGTTTCGTAATATTCCTTTCACGTTTTTCAAAGACCATTAGGAAATATTTGTTGAAAATCACACAACACTATTGTGAAGCTGGTCCATTTCTATATGTGATTCAAATATTTCTTTGGAATACAAAATTATATTGCCGCTCACATGTACAATAATGATAGTATATGTACAGAAAATAAAAAAACAAAACAAAACAATTACTTATATAAATTTATAATAAAAATCTTGTAAAGAAAAATGTACATAATGTAATTAATAATTTAGAACAAATTCGGGTAGTACTACTAGCTTCCGTTGGATCGTCGGCAGAAATCTCTTTATCCGTCAATACAACTACAGACTGTGGTCGCATGATCAATGGTTTCACAGGAGAATTAATCAATACGGTGTTTCTAAAAACCACGATGGTATGTAATTCAATGAATTATTTAATTTTAAAATTGATATTCAAAATTATCTAGGTATGTAAAGAAATAAAATAAAAATCTAAAAATTATTATTACCCTTCGCTGCACAATGCATTTGCGCTCCTTAAATATACGTAGAGTTTATCATTGGAAATATCAACGATATTAGACAAAACAACTTCCTNGTAAATTGAATCTGAAACGTTATAGGTTTTCAAGTCACCGTATTTTAATGTATCCGTTTTTCGTAATTGAACCATTTTTTTGTAAAAATTATAATTACTTGTTGGTATTTTTTTCTGTGCCTCGACGTTGATTTTGTAGTAATTTGGATTTACTGGCAACCACGGTTTTTTCGCTTCTGTGAATCCTTTATTTAACATTTAAATATGTATAAATAACAGATTTATTATTTATCTTTCATGTGTGGTCGATGTCGATGTCGTAGGTAGGTCTTAGGGAAAGTAATGAAAAAAGAAAAACGATTATAAGCGGAGTTCCATAATACAGTGTGTCCCACCATGTTCGACGGATTATTTAGAGCTGCAAATACTAATATTTTTAAATATTTTTTTTTTTTAATTGGTGTTTCTTCGAAGGGGGCCTATGGGAACTTATACTAGTTCATAGAGACTTGAAATTTTGATACAAAACTTATATTTTTCTTTTCTAAACATGATCTAAAAAAAAAAAAAAACCATTATTTATAGTTATTTAGGGCTATTTATAGACATTTTAATTTTGCGAGTTTTGTACCTAACTTTTATTCGGTAGCTACTCTGTAGTAAAATTGTTAAACCAAACAGAAATGCTTGAAAAATGAATAGGAAGAGAGAAGTTGAGAGTTCATAAGAAATTGGACTTTGTGATCAAAAAGTTAAAAAAATTAGCTTAATGTAGTATTTTTTTTTATAAAGAAATTTTAATATCAAATTTTGACGAAAATGGTTTTAATTAAAAATGATGTGGAACAAAACTAGTTACTGGTCTATACGAATGGTTACGAACAGTATTTAATACTTATTTACCATAATATTGTATGTATATTATTGAAAAAGCAATACTATTAACCGATCTCCGTTCAGAATCGTTTTTCGTTGGTAATGGTTTATCGTTGGTTACAAATATAATTTAAATAATTTTATGTATCCCACATCCCTAATTACCCACCTACAAAAGTGGTTACACCTGTTCCCCGTATCAGCTCTTTTTGTTTTTGTAATAATTACTAGTGCTTTACGCTATATAATTTTTATATTTTTTTATTTTATTACTTTACAACTAAAAATAAAAAAGTTATTTCGATTATTTCTTATATTTAAAATGGTTTATTTTAAATTCCTTAATATTAAAAATTAACTAAAAAATAATTAAATTATAGCCTTGCGATTTAATAATAATCAAAAAAAAAAAAAAATTATATATTATAATATTTGTATAATAATTTTTACAAACCAGCGTTTATTGAATCATCCCATTGCATTGGGGTCCTTTCACCATCTCTCGTTAGGTCTGCCTCAGCACCCCCTGCGTTATTAGGATCTTTTCTTTGATCTGGTCTCACGTAAGTATTATCCATGCCAATTTCACCACCATAATATGTTATATCAACACCAGGAAGAGCTAGTTTCAGGGCGGTAAATAACGGTACTGCTTCAGCACCATATTTTAATGCTATCCTCGGTCTGTCATGATTTTCAATCTAATTTTTAAAAAAATAGTTTTTAAATTTTAATATGTTTGTCTTTATAGTTATATTACAATTCATTTTATTTAGACATTGTAATTGAATTTTTTTACATTAAAATATTATAGCTCACAACATGAATTTGTATTATATTATTTGATTATGCAAAACAATATTAGGTAAACTTAATACATCATTAACATTTTGGATACATACATTCCAATTGGGAACAGTGTTTTCGGGCATTGTCATTAGCCAATCTTGTATGATATGTTCAATGGATTTTATTTGATTTGTTCTGTCTGACAGCAATAAATTAAAGTTTAATGGTAGTTGTGCTCCAGGTTTAGACGAAGTTCCATAATATTGCCTTAATATTTCCGTTTTTGAATACGATTCTGTTACAATAAGCCTTTAAAACATGTAAATATTTTTTATAGACGATTGATCTATACAGTATACTGCAAAGGAGGATCTAGAACTTTTCATCCCTGACGATTAGACGATAAAGGAAAAAAAGAACCTGTTATGGAAAAATTATTTTTGGTATGATAAAATACGGAACTTAGGTATATTTAAATATTTATTACATTAAATAGAGGATTTACTAAATTAAATAGTTAGAAAGGTCGGATATATTAATTTATTTAATTTATACATGTAACCAACGATAAACCATTGCTGACGAGAAACGATTCAGAGAGATGTTTGGTTATACATGTTTTGAAGGCTATACAATTTATGATTATCTTCAATATTTGATTTTGAATTACAAATAAAAATAAATAAATTCATCATTGCACTTATTATTATTATTTTTTTTACCACTAAGTACTACGTATAATGAAAACAAATGTAGTAATCTTAATCTTATCATACTTATCATGTCTATGCAGAGAAGTACTCAAGCATTTTCAACAGGGGATGAAATTTAATCATAGTTAATAAAATCTATAAATGATGATGCAATAAAAATATGTCTTAATGTCTTAATAATTTATCTGTATTTGTCTTTTTATTGAGATAATTTTGAAAATAACATAATTGTATTGAACAATTATTTGGACTTCGTTGGGTAAATAGGTAACACGATGATTACTATTTGATTGGAAACATGTTATCGATGCATAATTATATAATAATTTATATTATTTTTTTGTAAATTGATACGGCCATCAAGCTGAAGCCTCCGAAACTCCCCTCCCCCCAGGGTACGCCACTGATTAACCAACCATATTATTTTTAATAAATATAAAGGTAAGGTAACTTATTAACTGGAAATGAAGTAAAAGTACACATTTAGATTATTTACTTAGAATATGACAAATTGTTGCTTTTTATATAGTCTTCAAAATAAGCTCGCCATTCTACAATAATATCAATGACTTCCGGTTGATCTACGGTATATGTATGAATTTGATCGCTATAGTTGAGAAAACCTTCTCTTCCTGGTAAATATGGTTCATCGAGTAATAATTCGGATTCATATAAATGTTTTAAAGCATCAAACCGGAATCCATCAATGCCTTTATCCAACCAAAATTTAAATATGTCCTTAAAAAAAAACGATCTTTAATCTTTAAGTTTTTTTTTCTTATGAAAATTCTTTATGGTTTTTCTACAAACATTTCTTTATACTATTTATACTTACAAAAAATTCTTGATGAACTCTGGGATTTCTCAAATTAAAGTCTGGTTGTTTATAATTAAATTGGTGGTAATAAAATTGTTTGCGATCTTGATGCCAAAACCATGCAGTTTTACCAAATATACTTAGCTGTTTATAAAATTGTACATATTATTATTATCCATTGTTTAAAAATTACTTTTTATCTTTAAAATTAGTATTATTCAGAGGCCCGTCAATAGTTATGTTTCCACACCCTCATAAGTTACCGTAAATATAAACTTATTTTAATTTTTTAGTTTTTTTCAATTATTATGAAAACTATTTTAAGTATCAAAAGACCTTTTCATTTTCAGTGATTTTATATTATAGAAATCTGATTTATATGTTCTTAAAAACCTAAAAATAAGTTATTTCTATGCACTATAATTTCATCAAAATAATCTTTTATATGTAAAAATATTATTTTATGATAAAATATTGTTTTTATAAAAAATGCAAACAAACCATAATAAATAAAAATATTAATATGTTTTAAATAATAAAAATACAAAATAATTGTAAATAGATGAATAACAGATGATTATTAATTATTCAAACAATTTATGACCACATACTGCTCCATGTTTTCTGGAGACATGTAAGTTCTTTTTTAGTCAATATGAATTTATATTTACTGACATCAATGATATCAGTAAGAGATCTAGAGAATAATTTATAATTTATTTTCTTATCAATATTGTTTTGCGTCATTTCGTCATGAATCATGATTTTTTAAAAATTATTCAAATTAAACCCCAAAATGTCGAAATATTTCCTAAAATATGTTTTTTGCACAAAATGAGCTTTAACCTCGAAATATTCTTTTTGATGCGCTAAAAAATCTAGTGTACCGGTTCCTAGATAAATAAATCGTCGAGAAAGCTTAACCAATTAAATATGCATGATCTCAGTAAAAATATGTAAAAACATAGAAATTCAGTTTCTAGTTATAAGGAAAAAATCAAAACTATGTAAATTTTTGATCGGAGCAATATTTCTGATAAAAAAACACAAAATCACAAATTGAAGATAATGAAACCTCTAACACTACGGCGTGTCGTAAATATTTTTTTTATTTTAACTAGTTAGACTATTGTTTGACTAATTTCCCCTTAAAGGTATTCTTAAATTTATAACTGAGAAAAAAATTTAGTTGATTTTTATCAAGATCTCCTCTCAATTTGTTCATCTGTTATATTGATAGGGAGATTTCATTTCAGATTCGGAGTGGGCGAAGAATCCTATAATTCTACAAAGATTTTTTTTTTTTATATGTGCACAACTTTTCTACCAGAAGACTTGCTCGGATTTCTACGTCTAGAACCTATTTAGAAAGAAAATCGGCGTGGGGGGGGGGTATTCTAAAAAAAAATGGGAAAATTTACGAAATATAAGAAATATTATCTTACGATTTTTTTTCTATGAACAACTTTTTTACCAGTAATTTTGTTCCAACTTTTAATGACAGCAATATTTCTAAACAGAAATTTCACAAGGAACGTACTTTAAAATGATCAATTTTCGATTTCCTCATTAAATTTGAAAAAGTGAAAAAAACAGAGGAAAAACGGGAAAATGTAGGAAATATATTTGTATATTACTGTTTTTTTCAGTGCATAACTTTACTACTAGCAATTTTTCTCCAACATTTAATGATAACAATGTTTTTAAAAGGAAATTTCACTAGGAAGGTACTTTAAACGGGCAATTGTTTGATTTTCCAAAAATTTTAAATCAGCTTATAAAAATTGAAAAAAAAATGATGGAAAAAATGGATAAGCACACCGTGGTGTTCCCGATTTTATTATTTTAAGTTTTCCCGGTTTAGGTTCTCTTCTAGAAATTGTACTCCAATCAAGTATTTAATTTTGGATCTTGCTGGTGAATAAGATAATTTTGATTTTCCAATCAGTTTTTAATATAGTTTAACAAATCGGAAAAAGGTGTAAAATAAAAATTAACAAATTTAAGGCATTGACAAATTCACAATTTAAAATAAATTACAGATTTCTTTAACAGAAATGTTGTTCCGAATTTCAAGAAAAGCGTCCTTTCCGAATGCAAACCCAACCTCTGGATAAGATATCTGTTTTTTGATGTTGTTTTTATTTTTCCTAAAAATTGGACGAAACCGAGAAAAACGTTGGAAAACGGGACATTTTACTAAAATATTAGGTTTTAGAATTTTAATATAAAGATATTACCCAATTATTTGGAGGTATTGGCGTTACTGAAGAATTTTTTAAGACTTCGATTTGATTTTTAGCATCATGCCAAATATAATAATCAGTATACTTCCCTTCTTTTTTAATTGATTTTTGAAACCACTCACACTGATCACTTGAGTGATTTGGTATGAAATCTGTTATAAGACGAAGATCTATAAAACAAATTTTTAATAAAATTCAATATTGATTTGCGGTGAAAGTATTTTGGTCGTCACACAGTAATTTCGAGATTTTAATAAATAATAATTACTTCGCTTTTTCATTTCTGAAATTAATTCATTAAAGTCATCCATCGTACCAAATATAGAATTTATCACTTTAAAATCTTCCACGTCATATCCCAAATCATTCATAGGGGATTTAAATATTGGACCTACCCATAAAGTTTCTATTCCAAGATCGACAAAATGATCAAGCTTTTGAATAATTCCTTGATAAAATATAATGGGGTCAATTAAATCCGAAAAACTTGCATACATTTTTTTTGTGTATGTGTGTCTGCAATGCATTAATACTTTACCTTTTAAATCACCAATACCATCATTGTTACTGTCTTTAAATGACATTGGATACACTTGATATATTATGGTGTTGGACCACCATTCACCGTCTGGTTTTTTTGCTGGATAATGGATATTTCCATGAACCATACCAAACGTGTGTATTAATAATATAATAATCCAGCACATATTAAATATCATAATTTTGTTTCCAAATGAAACTGACTGACTGACTAAAACCACAGTTGTTTATAAATTATATGTAAAAACAATTCATTAAAATTACTAAAATATTAAAAATCAATACTATCAATTACTCGATTTTGTATAATTTAATAACTTGAAAAAATGAGATTTTACTTAACTAGTTTTTGCGATATGAACTCAAAGTTATTAAATGGATGTTGCTGACAAATTCGTGTTATCAAAATATTTTCTTTTATTTATATATGAATATTATATCCGTAAATATAATCAGTTTAATTACCCGCTATAAAATAATAAATACTGCCACAGTTTTTACCCAATTATTTGTATTGATTAATTCAAATCGTGCGATTTTAATTATCGTTTAGTTTTGTATTTCATAACTATTCACACGTAATTGTGTATGTGAAATAATCGAAACTTATCGATTGGAATACACAAATTGTTCTCGTGCTCGTATAATTTACGAAGAATTAAGCCTTTATAATTATATTGGATTAGTATAAGAACAATACGCAGATAAATCAACGTAAATATAGGACAATAATAATAAAAATTATAATTGTACGACGATGAAGGATTAAGTCATTCATATCAATCACAATTATGTAATATTGTAATAATAAAAAAACGTCCTAGGATAATGGAGATGGGTGCAGCTACTTTTATAGGTAATATAATGTATATCTGTAAACAACAATAAACCATTTCTAACAAAAAAAAAAAGGCTCTTACCGCAGTTCAGTTGATAGTGATGCTTTTTCAACAATATATATATATATATATATATGTATATCATATTATGGTAAAATAATCAAACAGGCATTATATATTTTCTTTAATAAAATGTATTTAATATTGTATCGAATTTCTCGTTTTCCCTGCGTTTTTCCTGGTTTCCAATGTCGTTTCCCGGATTATCACATTTGCTAAGAAAACTCTTGGAAAAATCAAATAATCACCTCCCTTAAGTACTTTCCCAGTCAGATTTACTTTCAGAAAAAAATGTTATCATTGTAAATCGGAACGAAATTGCTGGTGGAAAAGTTGTACACGGAAAAAAAGGCCATAATATTTTTTTTCTAATACCTACATTTCGTACATTTTCGGTTTTTCCAACATTTTATGCCGGTTTTTCCTAGTTATTATGAAAACCGATTGAAAATCAAAAAAATGACCACCCATAAGTACCATCTGGACAACATTCCCTTTTAGAAATAATGTCGCACGTATATATTTTAGCAAGAATTATGGTCGAGTTTTTGTACACAGGATAAAAAAAAAATTTAAAAAAATAAACATCTTAGGAAAACCAATGCATTCTTCGCCATACTCAGAATCTAAAATTAAATGTAGATATACGAATTAGTTTAAGTAAATAATAGGTTTGTAGAAACATGCAATCTTCATTGTAATGCAGGTCGAACGACCGACTGATACGATTTATGGTCTTATTTTTCAAATGTTGCAGCATGTGGACTCTTTTTGGCAATAAAGTTCATTGCGGTGAGAATCTATGGTATTAATTTCGATTCCTCCCTTTAGAAAATATCGATTTACTTATATTCTTGAAATTAAATTTCATCATTTGTTCTTATTTTTCGTTTATGCTTAATTTGTAATTAATTTCAATAAATCAATTCGACAATGTAGTTTGCGAATCATTTTGGTAATTTCTTAAATATTTTTTCCACTATAACCCATCAGCTGTATTACCTAGCTTCACCCTTGTACAATATTAAAATATTGTGCGTACAGTTTGACGTATATACTATACCTGCCTAAATACTTCGTTAACTACTTGTTATTATTCAACATAAAATATAATCTATAATATTATTACAAGTACGAGTACAGTGGACAAACCAAAAACTTTGATAAGTCGAAATAAATGTCATTCCCTTGCGAAAATCTCGATTACTTTCGGAATAAAAAAATATAGATAATTCGAAAATTCTATGTTCCGATTGTAAACGGATAATGACGGATCATTTTTATAATCATTTGTCTAATCGGCTTGTGTGACCCATAATGTAACTGATTAAGTTTTTAGTAATACAATTTTAAAACAATAATTAGAAAAAAAAATTAAATAAAAATAAAACTTGTAAGACATTTAAAGTCGTTCCAAAATACATCAATATTTTAGACAATTAACATTTTAGATTATAAATAATAACCAAATAATTCATATTTCTTAACATATTTATGTCTAATAATAACCCATTTTAAATAGTCTCTCGTATTAAAATTAATTATTTGTATAATTTTTTCTATGTATTCCTTCATTTAAGTTTTTATATTCAGTAGCGTTTTACATTTTGACTTATCATAATATTTATTTAACAGTATTAACTAATTTAATAACTTTTTTTTTTATTTTATTATTTTATTAATAATTAGAAACTATAATACGTACATATATTTTAAAAATTCTTTAAGTAAATTTTTCTTATCGAGAAACTAATCTAGATAAACATTAAATTACAAAAATAAAATAAAATAAATTACACCTTGAACGCCCTAGGGCTTAGGTTAGTTTAGTCTAGGTTTATACAAAATGCAATGTTAGGTTAGTTTAGCATAGGTTTGATCAAAAAAATAGTTTAACCTCTCTTTGAGACCCATGTACACGGTTGTACATAGGTCAGATGTTTTTTTTCTTGGTAAATCTATGCTAAATTAACCTAACCAAAGAATACGACCACGCTGTTTAGACTACGCTTTGTATATAAATTTATAGAAATGAAAATGTTTAAAGTACATAACATTTTAACAATTTTTAAAATAACATCGCCAGTCGTTACAATTATAATACCTAGAGATGACAATAAACAGCTGATTACTGCGTTGATAGTACAATCAATATGCTTACATTTGCGTTCGTCTTGTGATCCACCTAGCAATGCTATTTAGCTATGTATCCAAACGAACCGTTCATAAGCGTGAGCGTTAGCATTAGCACCGTATGTGTCTAAGCATGCTACACAAACGCACTCATAGTCTTGCTTGCACAACCAACAGCGATTATCCATTGTTATCGAAGCGATCGTCTTTAAATAAAATTGTACGTATCACGGCTTATTATTTGCGTTGGCGAAATAATTTTAAAAGGGGGAAAAACAAGGTCATCAAGGACCGCTGCAAGAAGCCGAAACAGAATACGCAAATATTTCATTAGTTAAAATGATACAGCGGGGACACTTCAGAAGGGAGATCAAAGTCTTAAGGAAAGGTACGCAAGTCGCAACGACGAGCAAATAATTAAGACTGTGACCGTTTATTGATAAGAATGAAATTTTTCGTATTAGCGGCCATTTGAAAAATGCTACGGCATTAGATGTGGATCAGCGAAATCCGATAGTTCTACCTGGCGACAATGCGTTCCTGCGATTGTTATTTCGTCGCAAGCATTTAGAACTGTTGCGTAGTAGACCGTAAGCCCTCATAGTTTCGATTCGCTAGCAGTAGTGGCCGTTGAAAATGCGTAATATCACACGAAATACCGTGCATAAGTGTATTACGTGTTTCAGATAAAAACCGCTCATCGTACAACCAATTATGGGTGCTTACCTGGTGATCGGGTGGCGCAAAGTCGACCATTTTAATGTTGTGACGTCGATTTTACTGTCCCGTAATAGTTAGATCCAGTCTACGTCGAAAGGCTCAATGTTCAAAGAAATACGTAGGAATATTTGTTTTTTTTTTTTTTTGCGATGAAGGCAGTCCACATCGAATAAACTAGCGATTTGACTACGAAAACGTTTCTACAAGCATTAAATCGATTTTTTAATCGTCGAGGTCGAAGTTCTGTTACACAATTCGATAACGCTACAAATTTTGTTGGTGCCCAAAGACAACTTAAAAGAGTATTCCAGCTATTCCAGTCAAACGATCATATACTAATTATGCATTTATGTATTATACGTACTAACCCTCATGGGATTAATATATAACTAATATAAGAAACTTTCACCGTTGGCAGTTGCTAAATTATTAAAAAAAAAAAAAAAAAGTAACAATGCATATACAAACGTAATAACTGATAGTATAAACGCTGGATTTTATCAAATTTAACGTGAAAATATAATATGTTACCCATCAAATATTTTATCAGCGTATTATAACCGTATAACCTGTGAGATAAGGCCAAAATTTTGCCGATAAACCAACTGGAATGGTTTCGCTGATTTGGGCAGAAAGTTTATAATTTTAAACTTTCACCGCATTTTAAAGAGCACTGCCGGTTAGATGTTTTTGAGGTTAGGAATTTAACAAGTATGATAATATCAAAAACGAGCGTTATTGAATTACCGCTGAATGTTGTAGTAATTTAAAAATTAACAAAAATTGATAAATAAATATTTTTAAAAAGTTAATACGTTTAGAAAAGTAAATATAAGTTTTCTGTCCAAATTTCAAGTATTTACGAACGTGTATAACTGTATTACAACAAGGAACAACATTGAAAATCATGTAAACATTATTTTCGAATATTTTCCCGTTTTCCTTGGTTTTTTTTTACAAATTATTATGAAATATACTAAACCGTTTGGAATCTCAAAGAATGTCCTCCCTAAAAAAGAACTAGGAATCTGTGGTACAAAAACAAAATAATAACGATGTCTCTCATTTGGGTATATACAACGGCACCGATGACGCAACACAATTTACTTTCATACAAAGTGATACTATACGGCTTTAGAATGAAATACTAATGACATTTTTCCGGCCAATCATTTAATAACAATTTCGGTTTGAATGTTATTGGCAATTATTTTACAAGGCACATAAACAATTTGTGATTGTGATTAATCTATATCATTATACAGTATAATAATTATTATAGATCAATGAGTTCCCTATTTTATCATACAAATAAAAACAAATTATAATTAAATTCTGTTATTCTAATCGTCCAATAAATTGTGGTGTCAGACGGCAAAAATTGTGTTTTGGCAGGCTGAAATGCATCCCAAATCTACCAGAGTAACTGCGGACAGTGACGAATACCCCGCCGATTATGACGACGACGATAAATTCTCATGAAGATTTTGATTGGTCAACACCAATGCCGAATAGGCCTCATTGTGAAACCGCTCGAGTTCAGAGTGTTTCTAAAAAAAAGCAAATGTTAATATTTTATGTATTATAACTAGCTGCGCCTAAACACCTTGACCGTGTTAATAACAATAAACAAATTTAAACAACAATTAAATCGTGATTACCAATCTCTATGTCAGTCCCTATCACACCAAAGTTCGGCATTTTAAATTGTAAAAATGTAGAGCATTAAAAAATGATTAGCTTCTGACTATCGCGATAACATAAGGAATTTTTGAAAACATTTTAAAAATCGGTTGAGGGGTTTATAATAATAAAAGTGTCTTGTCTATGACAAAACTCATGAAACAATTCAAAAACAATTTTTTAATTTGACTTATACGTCCAGTGATGCTTCAAGTGATGTTAAAAAAAAAAAACATAAACAAATTCTTCAGATTTCTTTTTTATATTATAGAATATATAATCTAATAATAGAAAAAATAAGACAGATGTTCAAAACAGTAGAAAATCGAAATCCGATAATTATTTTAAATACGTAATTTAGATAATAAATAAGGTCGGATTTTGAATTATTTATGCCTTATACTTTTTATAGATATATTATAATTCAAATGATATTTTAAACAAAACAATTAATTAAAAGTACTTTTTTTTATAAACACAAAAACTATAGCTAACTATCAAATCTAAAATCTAAAATTTCTGGTCTAAAATCTATTATCCAGTTATTTTATTAATATATCATCTCACCCTAAGGAATATTGTGAATTTATACTGGGCGTGTGTACTATCCACGTTTGTTGTTCGTTTACAGTCGATAAACCGGACTGGTCAACACGTTCTTCGTCGGTACCCACGTTCATGACCACCAAATACGTCTCCGCTCCAGACAGTGATCTAAACGCGAGACATATTTTATAATATTTACATATTAACTAAACAAACAGGACGCTCTGGAGAAAAGATTCAAATAGAATTTAAAAGATGGACGATATTTAATAATCTATAGACGCAACGTAAAGTGCAAAAACTGACCGGTCAAAAGAAATAAATATTTGTCCGAATAAACGTAAATAACTATTTTATACGTTAAACATAAAATTAAGTCCTAAATGTAATCCCGAAAAAATTCTAATATCACAAGGAAAACAATATATTATCATGTGGATTATTTAAAAATTGACAAACAGTAGAGTACAGGCATTTTGAAAGAAATGCAATTAAATTCAAACAGAGCAGATGGTGAGATTTTGTGGCTTGAAGTCGCGGAAAATTGAAGTAAATTGAGAATTTTTAACTGAACCGGATACAAAACCCCTTTAATGCACAAACTAGATTAATAATATCCCAAGAAAGTTTCTGTAAAGTTAGTACAGGAAATTTGCATAGAAGTAATCGTTTTACATTGACGCATTTTATTAAATGATTTATAGTATATTTGATTTTTCAAAAAATAACAAAATCGTGAAATTGTACGTTTTTACTCACTTACGTGCTTTTATTTAAAAAAATGACCTCTTTAAATTACTATCTAAACAATTTGAGCTTTCAGAGAAGTTACTATACATAAAAATCGATGCAAGTTTACTTGGAGAAAACGTGTCCATAGACTGAAAAAAAAATATAGTATTGTAAATAGTAACTACCTACTGGTCAATTACACCGTTCATTAGGAAACCATTTAAACTAATTGTCCCGTATTTTATATTCGAGGTCGGACAGGTATTTTTTTTCATCACTTATCACTATAGACTGCATCAGCACGGCGTTTTGCCGTAATTTTCTCGGTTGAGTTTTCACTTTAAATGTAAGCCCGTCCTCAGTGAGCGCTTGATGGAAATCAAGGTCGGCCAAATTTATGTATAAACGTTGTATACATTAACGTGTATAAGACTAATACGCGTTTATATTATATATTTTTTTGTACATTTATTATACGTATAAATATTGTTAAGGCATTTAATTTTTTTATGAAAAACACCTGATGTGTTTTGAACCGACATTTTTTCTATACCTATATTTATAAGTAATGACTGGGTTTATATGTTTTTACGTATCGTTACTGAGTTTATGCAGAATTATGAGACTAAAAATTGTTGACGATTCGTTCAATTTTGAGTTCGTAGGAAAAAGGGAATAGGAATAGGTTAAGAAACAATTAGCCTATATTGCTTATTTGGCATATATTTTAAATTGTAAAAAAAATATTTATCTTAATAATATGGTAGGTACCTGGTTAAATATATTTTGAACATTTACAATTTTTTTTGTTGTATTTCTTTGACAAAAAGGTTCAGTGTTAGTACTTATCTTTTATAAGTTACCGTTCACTAAACATGGTGGCTAAGTTGCGGTGCTGGAAGTTATTTTCATACTGAGAATAATATATAAAGTAATACTCTTTGAAATAATATCAACATATTTGTTTATCATTAAGTATTATCAACTATTCAAATGTCCAAATATATTGTTTTGCACTTTTCCAATCACGTGTAGCGTGATTTTTAGGTTTTTAAATTAAATTACCCATATGGTTGTATTTATATTATATTCCTACTCTTACATAAGTGCACTATTTTTATATTTAATATGTAAGTCTCACTAATTATTTATGTTGTAAAAAAAAACTTATACATTAAAGCGTGTATCGATGTTCATTGGTTATTTTTGCATATTTTTCCAACTTTTAAGAAAATATAATAATGAGAACATTTTAAGGTTTTTCTAGAAAATATTAGCATCATATTTTAAGTGTTTTAAGAGTAAATCCGATCTTTACTTATAAGTCATAGAGATGTAAACACGTGTTTTTATTGCGATTATGAATACTAGTATTGACCGCTGTCTACTATACTACTAGCCTGTAAACTAACCGGATAAAAATAATTAATCTAAAAATATTATTTTGAAATTTGTTTAGAAGCCTGAACATTATTGAGTATTAATGCAATAACTAATAACATTAAATATTACTTAATTAGTTAATAACTGAACGTTTCGAACGTCAATGTTTATCACTTATTAAAACATGTTTAACTCATAGTTAAACACATAAGTTAGAACAAATAGTTCTGTTTGTATTATTTGTATTCATTTTAAAATTACCTAGGTTACAATAGAAACAAATAAGTGCATAAATCAGTCTCGCGTCTCGCCGTACCAATATCATATTGGTATAAAAATAACATACATACATACATACAGTATAAAATATAGACGAACGTCCCGTGTATCATACGAATAATACACCAATTATGCATTTATGTATTATACGTGCCAAACCTGATAGAATTAATACAAACGCTATATTATAATAGTTATTAATGTACTCCGGACGACTTTTCATTCGGTCGATAGTAGTCCAAGTATTACGTAAATACTGTTTAGGCACGTACTACTTTGGGTATTTCAATTAACAAAATATCATTGTAATAACATATTACCTCGAAATCCAAACGTAACGTCAATAATCGGACACTGTTATTATTATTCCCGATTGATTCCCGATCTTTCTTCCTGTCCGAAGAAACTTTCACCGTTGGCAGTTACTAAAATAAACATAAGTAACAATGCGTAATAATAATAGTATAATTACTAACGTAATAACTGATAGTATTATCGCTGGATTTTATCAATTTTGACATGATAATATAATACGTTACCCATCAAATATTTTATCAGCGTGTTACGACCGTATTACAACCGTATAACCGGAAGAAAAGGCCAAAATACTTTCCCCAATCAAGTAACTGGAATAGTTTCGCTGATTTGGACAGGAAGTTTTTTTTTTTTTTTTAAAACTTTATTTGAAATACAGAATGTACAATAAGTAATATTAATAATGTACAGACAGTTGACATTTATATAAACATAAAGAGGAAATCACACATTTATGACATCTTGTAATATTTTTAAGTTATTAGTTCTTAAGTTTTATAGTCCTGGCACCAGTTTCTTTTTGAGGCGTCTATTAGGGTTTCCAGGAAGTGTTAGTAAAGCTAACTCGTTGATTATTTGATTTGGAATATCTAGTAGTTTGACGTGGAAGCGTTTATAGTAGATAGCAACAGTTTCGTTTATGGAAGATAATTTATGGTCGGAATTTAAAGTCTCGTTTGAGATGAATCAAGGTGCACCTAAGATTAACCGCAGACAAATATTTTAGAATACTTGTATGGTTCTTTTATTTGAGTTTTTGGCAGAGCCCTAGATTACTATACCATATGTCCAGATTAGTTAAAGAAGAGTTTTGTAAAAAATGATTTTGATGGGTATGGTTAGGTTGGAACGAAGGAGTGGCTTTAACAGATGGAGTCTGGAATTAAATTTCTTACGCTGGACATAAAGTATATAACTTTAAATGTTTACCACAGTTTAAAAAGCACTGCCGGTTAGATATTTTTGAGGTTATGAATTTAACATGTATGATAATGTCAAAAACGTGCGTTATTAAAAAATTTGTAGTAATTTAAAAATGAACAAAAATTAAGTTAGGAGTTAGGATGTTTAAATTTAAAATGTTTAAAAAAAACCTTAATTACTTCTTTTTCTTCAGCTTTTATAGGTCGTTAAAGTCCATTACTAATACACACCGCCTCCTCCTTTTCTTTCTATCATTTACCAATTCCTCCGGATTAAAAAACGCAAGTATCCGGAAGCTCTGGTTGGGTTCGTTTATCCCCCGTTTCTCCAGTCAACCCTGTAGTATCTTCCCATCATGTTTTCAGTTCAATGCGTCTTTCATTATCCTACTCGATCTCCATACGTGTCCCAGCCAGCTCATTTTAGACGTAATTTAAATTACATTTAAGTTTTTTACCACTAAATACTATAACTTATGATTAATCATTGTATTATATTTTCAAATATTTACACTTAGTAAAACAATATTATCCACACGAAACGAAACAAAAACTCAAAAACTTCAAATGACTCAAAAACTACTAAAATATTTTGAAAATGTTCAAGGCTCTACGACTATACTTGAACAGAATTACAACAAGAAAACTGAATAATTGATACTGCTGATAGGCATGTCACTGTTATAGGTGAGAATTTGGGAAGGTAGAGTACATAAAGTAATTCAATTTATATCTGTTACACAACAATAAATCAATGGTTACCAAATACGATTTTGAGTGATTTTTTCAAAAAATTATATTCACTTATAATACACTTAAAATATTGCATTATTTTTATGATCTTTGTTAAAATTTACTTATATAAAAAACTATTACATTAAGCTCAACTTTTTCTTTTTTTTTGATTACTAAGTACTTCTTATGATGAACCTCGAGTACAATTTTTAATCATAGATATCTAAAGAACGAACATACTTCGCACGAAGAGTGGGCCAGTATTGTAGAGGAAAAAGTAGAAAGGTAGGATATGAAGGGGAATCTAATTTATATCTGTACGAAACGATAAATCATTGCTAACGAAAGCCGATTCGGCGCGGAAATCGGTTATAGAATATGTTTTAAAAGGCCGTAATGTTTATGATTTTCGTCAAAATTTGATATTAAAATTTGTATAAAAGAAAAAATACTTCTTTTAAGTCTAACAACTTTATCTACACAGTACCTATCGAATAAAAATTACGTAAAATACTTGCAAAATTTAAATGTCTATAAATAGTTTATAAATGGCGTACATATTTAGAAAATATTAATACGTCTAGAAAAGCAAATATAAGTTTTCTGTCCAAATTTCGAGTCTCTATGAATGTATTTAACTGAATTACAATAAAAAACAAAATTGAAAATCATATAAACATTATTTTCGTAAATTTTCCCGTTTTTCCGTAGTTTTTTCAGATTATTATGAAAAACACTAAGCAGTTTAGAAACTCAAAAAATGTCCTCCCTAAAGTACCAAGAAGATAAAAATTTTTTTTCAAAAAAAGTGCTTCACTTGATACATCGGAGCAAGATTTCTGTTAAAAATTATCTACAGACAGAAAGAAAAAAAATTAGCCATCATAGTTGACCCAATACTTAGAATCAAAAAAACGTTTTAAAAAATATACTTCCCCTCCGGAATTTCCATCGTAAACATTTTTATTTAAGGGGTAAGTGCATATAAATTTGTCTGAGGGAGGGGGATGTAACTGTAAGTTTAAAGTGGTGATTATTTCGAATACCTATTTCGCTATATTTAATGAGTTTTAGAAAAATCTCGGTATACCAAGGATGTATATTATAATTATATTTATTTAATATTTAATTATATTTATTTAATTATATTTTATTTAATCACAGTTACAATTTAACAAAACAAAATTATATACCCTTATGGTACACTCTTTCTTCTCCATCCTTTCCGTATGCTTTAGACCTTATATTTTTTACTTATAGTTAGCCCTACGTTAAATGCGACATAGGTTAAATTAGATAGACGAAAGTGATTGTAGGGCTGGAAAGGAAAGTATAAATGCGGAATTACAGTATCCCAATCACTATATTATAATTTATAAGAGGTAATTCATAAAATAGATGAGTAACATTAAAATAGAAAACTGCTATTTTATTATTGAATAATATAATATATTATTAGACGACGTTTTCAATGTTTGAATTTTTTCTAGACGAATTATTGCACTGTCATTATCGCAATAATAATCCATATTATAATAATTCATCAACACCCAGAAGAATTTCAATATTATGCTGTATTTGACCGTAGTGTGCAATGTCACTGTACTTGATCGTTAACAAAAAAAAAATAATAATAATAATCGAAATCATTGTGCACAGTTATAACGCTGCTCGCAACCTCGTTGTTATCGTAAGATTATAATACGATAAACTATCGCAAATAGAAATATAATGTTGCAAATGCGGAACAATGAATTTTTTAAGGTTTATAATGATTTCGAGCACAATTCGAATATCCGTATGAAAAAGAAGTATTCGTAATTCCTCAACGAAGTGTGAATGAAAACCCTCGTACTAATGTGAGTGAAGTATACAATTTCAATACAACTCCTACAAAAACGTCATCGCAATCGATTAACATATTATAAATTGGCTTACTCGTTTAATAGTCGGGATTTCACGATTATCTTTAAAGGTATTTTCACGTTATTTCCTGATTCCGACCTCTCTGCGTTATTACACTTAAATCTGTATTAAACCAGTTATATGCCCGTCATGCATACGGGCATACGGTTATAGTCAATTTTGTCGTGATAAATCAAATCAAAGCGTTATCTTATAATACCTATAGGTATGTCAAAATGGAATCTCCACTAATCATATACGACCATACCGAACTTAGAAAAACTGGAAGAATAATTTTCTTTTAATTCCGAAACATTATCATTATTGTCCGAGCAAAACAACAGGAAAATAAATTATACGACAACAAAATATCGGAAAACATTTTGCATACAATAACAATAAGAATATCAGATTTTTAGCCTTTAAATCGAGTTTATCGGGTTCCGTAATTTTATTTCCCATGTAATTAATATTCCTCGATAGGTTTGTCATCCGTTGTACAGTCTATATTCCGTTAAATTATTTTCAGACATTTTGTTTTCCAACCTATTTATTACCCTATTTCAGAAAAAGTACTTCACTTGGAAATCGATTTCTGGTAGAAAATTTGTTCGTGGATAAAACAATAAAATAAATATATAAACATCATTGTGGAACCAATACATTCCTCGCTACGCTCCGAATCTAAAATAATAATTTAAAAATATACGATTTCTTCAAAACGAAAATGTTAAACCAATACTAATGACGCCAATGATAGAATCAAGACTACTTGTCTATTAATCAAATACTTGTTTTGGGCTTGAAAAATACACAATGTACCGATTTGCTAAGGATCTGTTAAAAATGTTCCTTAAAATAATGTGTATGACGAAAATAGAAATATATGCTGCACCTGATCGGAAATCTGCGCACTCCTATGTGATTGAACGTTTTGTTTTATAAGTTCATTTTTTGCCAATTTGTAACCAAAGAGCATATAACGACATTAAAAATGGCAAAATTAGATAACGTATCTTTATTTCGAGTATGTATTTAATTTATTATTATTTATTTTTATCATAAAAATAGACGAATTTACAATCTATCTATATATATATATATATATAAAATAACATTTCCTGACTAACTGATTCATCATCGCCTAGCCCAAACCATTGAACGGGTCGGGCTGAAATTTGACACGCAGATAACTGTTATGACGGAGGCATCCGATAAGAAAGGATTTTTGAAAATTCAACCCTTAATGGGGTAAAATAGGGAGTTTTAAGTTTTTAGGTACATTTGGTATGAATATCTAATTGCTTATTTATTTACTTATTTTAGTTTATCCAACGGTTACCTTGGTATTACAGAAAAGTGTATTATTTACACTATTCAAATTTCAGCATAGAACACATTTAGTCCGCTGAAGGTGGTCTATCCACTTTCCACTTCTTTGTTTTCATTCAATTTTAACACGGCCAAAACCAAAATTGAATACGGGTAAAATAATAATAATAATACTAATTGGCACGGGCAACGCCGGGCGTGGGATAGCTAGTATAGTATATACGGCAAAAAGCAATAGGTAAACAAGTTATTCACGTAACATCAAAATTACTGTAAACGTTTGAACTGCTTTAAACTGTTGTGTTAAGTCCAAGAGGGGATCTACACGTTACCCTATAATTTCCACCGATAATCAGTTATGTAAATGATCATATAGGTAAAAAAAACTCTCAATATTTCGCTGTAATAGGTGTCATAATATTATTTCTATGAATAACTCATCAAATAATGTAATTTCCGCCTAATGTAATTACTTTTGAAGGATCGATTGTCCTTGACGAGCCCTTGTAAGTTTTTTTTTAATCCAAATAAAATCCAAACACGCAATATTGATAACAACTCTCGAGCATTAAAACACGATATACTATGTAATCGTAAAGAAATATATAACACCGACACCACAACAAAATTACCAACAGAATATTGACCCGCAAAAATACGATATATATATAATATTTATAAATAGTCATGTATGAAAAACATACCACTATTATTTATGCGTTTGATCTGTAAATATTAGGCTGTTTTAATTTTTAAACTTTTTATTTTTTTTTCGAATTATGACTGGATATTGCTTCCTTGTCAAACTCAACCAAAAATATTTACGCCCAAAAAGAAATTTTAGAACTCGCTCATCGCAATCATCGCATATTTAGTTTTTCCATTTAAATAACATAGAAAACTAACGATTCTTTCAATTAAATCACATTTACTCATTAGGTTCGAAAGTTACGAGGTTGGACGCATAGTCTTTTCTTAAAAATCACAAAAAAAAATACATAAAATTCCCTTGGAATTTAGTAAAAATGTACTTATATAAGAATAGTTAATTTGTAGAATTCTATACAAACTGAGCTTTTTATAACTTTTTTATTCATATTATAAAGCTTTATAACTCAGCCACTTTTTAACCAAAAATATCTAAATAAGGTTCATTTTTTAAATTATGAAATGACACGGCCAATGGTACTTGTTTATAGATTAGTTTCATAGACTATAATGAATTGAAAATAAAAAAAAAAATCTGAGAATTTCTATGGGTTTCTAGAAATAAATATTCTTATAACAGTACAATTATTTCACTTGATTCCGAGTGAAATGTATGTATTTTTTGTGATCTTTAATAAAAGACTTACGTACATGCAACCTCGTAACTTTAGAACTGAATGAGTAAATGTGATTTAATTGAAAGATCATTATTATTCTATGTTATTTATATAAAAAAATTAATATGCGATAAGAAAGGTCTAAATTTTTTTTTTTTTCTTGGGATAGGTTTGAGACTACAAGGAAGCAATTTCTAGTTAACTCGAATAAAAAATTAAAAAGTTAAAAATCAAAAAAGGTCTAATAAATATACAGTGTCATTATCTTGGAAAGTGCTAACTTTCTTTCAGAATTTAATTTTTAGAACATTTTAGAAACAAGCAGCTCTACAATTTTACATAACTGTTATTTTTTTCCTCTCTATTATTTGAGGGTAAAACGACTATTTACTTTTAATTTTCAAATAATGATCTTCATTAAAAATACCATTAATATGCGGTTTGTTCCGCGAAGACTCAATGCAACAACTCTCGAGATAATAGAGATAATCAAATTCTGTTTTTTTTTCTTTTTTTATATGACTCACGGGATAAAGATTACACGCACTTACTCGTATTTTAATTAAACTTGTAAGTTTCGGTAAAAAATAAAAATTAATATTTTAATATTTTCAACAAATTTGAAGATTACGATTTCATAAATCTTCTTCTTAAAATCTTTCACTCACATATCCTACTCATGAAAAAGGTTGTGTAACATTTCGGAAATATCCATTTCTTAAATGTTCTAGAAAATAAATTTTGAAAAAGTTAATACTTTCTAAGACAATTAGTGTCTTAGGTTATATTTATCGTCCTATGTTTATTTTCTACCGTCGACCAACCTATAATTTTAATTACAGTTTGAACGTATCATTATATACAGTGTCAACACTTGACTCACGTCAAATTTTATCACGCGCCATCGCCGTTTACTTTTCGTCATTTACAATCGTCTATAATATATTATTATTATATTATATTAGGATAACAATCGAGAAATAATAATTATTAATATACCAAAAATTTATAACGCATTCATATTATTATAACAAGCGTCAAGGCCATAATTATTTTGCACGTGTTGCAAAAATAATTATTCGGCCCTATAAATGTGCGAAAATCCGCTCGCCGGTCGTCAGACGAAATTCGCACCGCCGAACGATGACGTCTCATCGTTTGCAGTGTTTTATTGTCATCGGTCTAGTGTCGATCGCTTTCGGTGAAAATGCGATTGGTAAGCAATTAATTTGTTTTTAAAATATGTTTTTTTTTCCTAATGCGCCTAACGTTGACTATTTATTACCCATCTATCCGTTTAGATATCGGAAAATTGGATTGGTGGCAGACCAGTGTCATTTATCAAGTGTACCCGAGATCGTTCAAAGACAGCGACGGTGACGGCATAGGAGATCTGAAAGGTAACGTTGAAAGAATATTATATGAGTTTTCCATTTTCTTATAATGCTCTCTCGGACTAGGAATTCGAAATAGATAGAAATAGAAAATGAGGTAGTGTTAAACTCGTATAATAGGGTTCGCTTATAAAGTTCATATATTTTTCAGAGTTTAGTTTAAATTTTATTATATTAAAATTCATTAAAAACGCCAACGATTGTCATTTGTTTTGTATTTAATTTTAACAAAACACACATTTAGAAAATCAATGTTTTCAAAAATAGAGCATTAAACTAACTCGATCACGTTTACGATTTGTGTGTTTATAGGTATAGAAGAAATGGCCGGTCATTTCAACGAAACCGGCATCGGAGCCATATGGTTGTCGCCGATATTCCAATCACCTATGGCCGATTTCGGCTACGATGTTTCAGATTTTACGAACATCGACAGCACGTACGGCACAATGGACGATTTCGTGTCATTACAAAAGAAACTTAAATCGCTCGGTATATAATTTATTCGATTACCTAAAATTAAACGTTGAAGCTATTGAGGTCTTAATAGAACACGTGTTTTCTTGTACCCGTGTATACTTGTATTTGTGTATTTGTATACAGATACACGAGTGCACGGATACATGGATATTCACGTATTTCACGTGACACGTAAATTCACTTGTATTTAACTTTTCACTTGTAGGTACTCGTGAATTTACGTGGGTTTCGAATAACACGGTCTCTAACATGAAATTTCTTATTTCATATGTACACTCGTCATAAACACTCTTACATGAAAATACTACTTACTAGTAACATAACTGTTGTTTTTCGTAATGCCAGGAGTCCGTGTTTTATTGGATTTTGTGCCCAACCATTCAAGCGACGAACACGAGTGGTTTGTTAAATCGATCCAAAAAATCGATCCTTACACCGATTATTACGTCTGGCTAGACGGGAAAGTTGACGAAAACGGCAATAAAGTTCCTCCGAATAACTGGGTAAATAAAATAATATCAACCTTAATAATATTAATTTAAAAAATGTTCAGATATATCCGTGTAGTTTTCACGAATGATAAATTCTTTACTAAACCAGTAGAAATAATTTAATCGAAAATATGTATTCTTAAGTTTATAAAATTCGTCAAAATTTACAAGACAGTTTACATTAGGTAGAACACAGTAAACGAAGTAGATTCGATTATATATGAAATTTCTTGGAAGTACAGTTCTCAATACTTGGCCATAACCACTGGCCATTAATTTAGTTGTTCTCATGTTTTTACTTATGATTTCTTTCACGACATCTTTTTTCATACCGATTGTTTTGCATTTTTAAGCGAAATTATTTCGATGGGAGTGCATGGGAATGGTCAGCTCAAAGGGGACAATACTACCTTCACCAATTTACGACTAAACAACCGGATTTAAACTTCAATTCACCGGCTCTACTGGAAGAGATGAAGGTAATTAATTTTTATTTGTTTACAAATATCAAAATTAGAGCAATCCATAGATGCCAACTAGAATTAATTAGAGAAGTTTTATTTTACACAATTATATTTACATATTTGCACATTTATTATATTATTTCAATGAAAACTATGCACCAACGCCAAAAGAATAGACCTGGAAATTTTGGACGAGATTTCCCAAAAAATAAAAAAATCACATTTAATAATAAACAATAAAAAAAAAAACGGACATACTTCGAACGATGGGTAAACTAGAAGGGTAAACTTAATGTTTATCTGCACACGATAATTATTCATTGCTAACAAAGTTACAAGCTAACTCTAAGCAGAGTTCGGTTGTATATGGTTTAAAAGGCCTATAGGTATTTACGATTTGAAAAAGATACATTACGTACATTTTCTCGTTTTTCCCATTTATTATGAATACTCCCGAGAAAAACAAAAAATTACCTTTCTAAAGTACCACCATTGTAAAATTGCCTTTCAAAACAAGTGCTACAGTTGAAAACCGAAGTAAAATTTCTGGTAGAGTTCACAGAAAAAATTAAATAAATAAACATCATTGTGAAAAAAATATATTTGTCGGATATTAATAATTATTTTTGTTTTACTTTTTGGCACCATTACCTACTGAAATTTTGAATTAAATTATAATATTTTTTTTCTACCGCGTATTTTTCGCATGTTTTTATCGTTTTATTTGCATATTATATGCCACATTTTAATGCTTTTTAGTGCATATTTAAATGAAACGATCTACCGTTTATCATCGAAGACGTTTCGTTTAAAGACGAACCGCTTATCAGTGCGAACACCATTGACGACAATCACTTGCCAAATCATAATATATACGGAGTTTATGTAAAGGGAGATTATTCATAAACAACTACTTTTAAGAAAAGAAAAACATAAAATCTTTTCAAATGCTTTTAATTTAATTTAATTTTAAAATATATGGGCTATTTATAACTTTATGCATTTTTTAAAAAATTAATTAGGAACTTAAATAATTGTTATCAATCGTTTTAATGACTTATATATTTATCGTTTAAAATTAGTAACACTACGCCTTATTTCATATTTCATAATTTTACTTGTCACCATTCACTTATGTTACGGGACATAACTAATCCTTAACCGCATGATAAAATAACTTGATAACGAATAATAATATGAAAACTACAGTGTTACCTACTACCATTGGACCATGTATGAAATTTCCTACAAAATAGACGTATTAACCGAGAATGTCGTCCAAAATTGACTTTTCCCCTTTCTGGTGAATTCTGTATATTTACACGTACCAATATTATTACCTAATATGAATATTTTGTTCCAAAAGAACGTACTCAGGTTTTGGCTGGACATCGGCGTCGACGGATTCCGCGTCGACGCTCTACCGTTTATCATCGAAGACACTTCGTTTAAAGACGAACCGCTTATCAGTGTGAACACCATTGACGACAATCACACATATTTTTTGCTCGATCACAAATATACTAGAGACCAAATGGGCACGTACAAAATCGTCGAAGAGTTTAGAGCAGTATTGGACGAATACACAAACCGAGACGGAAACACGAGGTACGGAAAACTGTTGAATTATACCGTTTGGCTTTCAATATTAACGCCAAAAAAATATTTACCCAGTATATAATTATAAAACAAAATCATGACATTACAAAATTACCGATTGTAATTATTATCACTTTTAATTATTAGGTAGGTACAAAAATATCTCCACTATTATTCGTATAAAAAAATATCACTACACCAAGGACACTAAATTATAATTTTATATTATTATACTCCACACATACAATGTTGGTTTTACGAGTCGTCCATAGCAGGCGAAATGTTTTTTTTTGAAAAAACATTTCCAACACGGACTGCATGTCGTGTAAAAATCATATCAAATTATTTTTAAAACCCTTAAGTTTTAAATTTCGCATAGGTTATTCAGAATGACGAAACTCTAAAATTTGATAAATTGTATGCAAATGTTTGTATTTATTATAAATACATCAAAGCTTATCTCGAGACATAAACAAAAAAAAAAAAAAAAAAGCCTATCCATTTAAGTTAATTTAAATATCTTTAATGCTGGAGTCAAAACAACAAATCAATTACCTAATCGTAAAACGCCCCATTTATAACACATATAGGTACCTAATAATTTAATATTATACACCTACATGTACAGTAAATATGTTAATTTTAAACGTGTAAACCCTCATCTTTTGTACTCATAGACTTAGACGGGATGTGGGGATCCGGGGAATGTGTTGCGGTTTCGCCTAGTGGCACTTTGGGGATTTTATTATTAGCTACCAAAATCATTACGATCGTACGACATACGGTACCAAATATGCAGCGCATTCCTAGCTGACTGTATATCAGAGATATACTCCGACTATATATTTATATACAAAATCTATGATTTTATCCCATCCTATGTCAAAAATGCTTAACCTTAAAGCCTAACCATATGCAGTCGTACAATTTTGGTGTTATTTCTGGAAGTCATAATAGTATGTAATTAAGTATACATTAACTATTTGTCTATAAATGGTTAAAAGCCAACAATTATACATTTTTGCGAAAACTTACCGATTAATTTTATGTAGACTTATGTTGACCGAAGCGTACGCGAGTATCGAGTATACTATGATGTACTACAGCCACGATAAACCCAGAGCGCACATGCCGTTCAACTTTAATTTTATCTCTTATTTGAATAAAACGTCTTCGGCAAACGACATAATAAATGTGGTTAACTTGTGGTTGGACAACATGCCTCACGGACAATGGGCCAACTGGGTGGTGAGTACATAAATAAGTATCTACATTGAATCCACGACTGTGATATAGGTACACATGATATAATAAGTGGCTAAATATTATACAGCTCAAGATTTCCAAATTAATTTTGGAAAATAAGGGAATTATGGTAAATGTAAAAGCTCCCCAAAAAATTAATATTGGAATGAAATAGCGAAAAAAGCAGGTTTTTGCAGAAAAATTCAATTTTTTCTTTTACATTGAAAAAAATTTGTCTGCCCACTTTTTTGTAATTTCCCTAAAACAATAACTATTTTACGTATTATTTAACTATTATACGTAAATTATAGGTGGGCAATCATGACAACAAACGTGTGGCTTCGCGGTTCGGTCAAGACATGGTCGATCCGATTAACACGTTGTTGATGATGTTGCCGGGCACGGCAGTCACCTACAACGGTGAGGAAATCGGCATGGACGACGGTATCATCAGATGGGATCAGACCGTCGATCCCTGGGGTAGAGCTGGAGGTATAACAAAATACGAGATCAATTCCAGAGATCCGTTCAGGACTCCGTTTCACTGGAACGATTTACAAAACGGCGGTAAATATATACTCGTAACTGAATATATATATCTAATACCCAACATGGTATACTGGTGACTAGTGTTATTAGTTATTATCTATAATACAGATAAACTGTAAAATATCTAGATTACGATGAAAGATAATTGCTAAAATAAATTATCTAGGTAAAGGTAAAGAATATATAACAATTAAATTATCTAAATTAAGATAAATAATTAGCAGTTTTTTTTTATATAGATTAAAAAAATAATAATAATTTTGCCCATTTCCATAGCATAAAGCTATATACAATATAAGCTAAGTGTACCTGATTTGGTAAATGTCTAGATTTCAATAATATTGTGCAATTAATAAAACTTAAAAATTAATTTACTAAACCATAATAATATAAATTAAATACCTAATGCCTAATAAATTTATAAATCACAATTTGAAAAGATTTATCTAGGTGTCGAGATGAGATGAAAGATATACAGAATATATAAGTACAAGTTACCCACCCATGTAGATGAAACACAACACTGCTGATGATTAAACTCTAAACGCATTTTTCGCATTTAAGGGTTTTCGGTGTCAAAATTCACGTGGCTACCGGTAAACAGCAACCATTGGTATCTCAATATGGCTTTCCAAAAGGCTTGTAATAGAAGTCATTATCAGACGTACAAAACGCTAGTGCAACTCCGATCGTTGCCGACAATAGCTTTGGGAGATCTCAAGATGTTCTCTGTTACAGATTGGGTGTTGGTTTTTACAAGGTAAATAGATTATTTTTTGATTATTTTTTAGTTTTGCATTTTTTAACATTATGGAAGATATTGTCATCACGGTGGATAATAAATTGTATTTTTGTTTTTAAAAATAGTAATAGTTACCTATGTTAAACGTGAAAATCGTTTTTTTTTCGTTGACAGAAAATTGGAAGGTCACGAGACCTTCGTCGTTATTTTAAACGTCGGAACGGAACAAGAAACAATTACATTGACTGATTACTTTAACGATTTACCACAGCAAATCGTTGTTCGCATTTCGAGTATAAACGCGTGGCACGCAGAAAAGTAAGTTAAAGTTACACACATTTTTTTTTTTATTATTAAATCGGATATACATAGAAAACGTTCCACGAACAAATTGCAACTAATAAAGAAAACACGAGTGAAAACGATAAGACATTTTAAAGAGACGGCACGTCATAAATTATCTTAGTGACTCTATATAATATTGTTTTGTGTACATACTATAAACCCGAGTGAATTTCTATTGCAATTATTTCACTAGGTTTTTTTTACTTCAGGTTTTATGATGATTATTTTTCACTATAAGGTCACAATCGTGCGTTCACATAATAGATAGGTTCTAAATAAAATATTTGTATACAATCAACAAAGCGTTCAGTAACCGTGGTAACGAAATGCGAAAATATATGTACAATAATATTGAAATATTATACACACCGGGCGTGATATAACGTCATAATTTGTAAAAACAAATATAAAATAAGCGAATTTTTATTATTTCTACGATATTTTCTTTTTACGTGCACCTAAATTAATCAATTTATTTTGGTTTTTTTTAATCTCATATTAATGCTCGACTTTTTATAAAAACTATTACAACGTAAATTTGCTTTATTGGCCTTCTTAGACGAAAAAACTTGGAATTAAATCAATTTTTTAAAGGGCCCCCTCCACGTTACACGACTTAATTTAAAAGTTAATAACTTAGTTAAAAATTAAATGTTAAATATTCGTTGATAATTAAAATATCTCGATAGAAAAAGTCATATAAGGGATTTCTCATCTTTTTTTTTTACGACAAGCCGATACGCTTCGTCATCGCAGTACAAAACCAGCAAAAAAAAAGAAAATATCATAACCTATTACAATATTTAATTTAAACTCACATAATACATTACTTAACTAAGCAGGCCGGTTCAAAATGGTTAGGTTGGGTTGGAGACCCCTGAGTTAGATTGATGCCGTTGACAGATATTTATTTAAGCTCAAAACTTTGTTAAACAAATTCCTCCTTTTGAGAAAAACGTAAGACATATTAATATGTCTTATAGCAGGCCATAAAGCATATTACTGATCTTGAGGTTTATATCAGCGAGTAATTACAAATAATAGTTTACGATACGAAAATTATGAATTTTAATTTTTTGTTTGTAAATGTTCAACGTCGAAATGTCCAAATGTGTATTTGAGGACATGTCACTTCGTTAGTTTTCACCTCAAGAAATAATACGTCAATAGGGAAACCTGCACTGGGTGTTTCCTGCACATATCGCATCACAACGGGAATTTGTTATATTTTTATATTGCATTTTTTTCGTTACTCATTTTATTTTTTCGATCCTCAGATATAAGAGATATTAATGGCAAAAAAAAAAAATTTAGACTATAGTTAAATAAAATAAAATGTTTGTATTTTATAAAAAAAAATTTCAGTAACATAAATCCATGGCTATTGTACCCTATTCCCTATCTTCTTTTTGTGTTAATCGCTCTACGTACTTTTAAATACAAAAAAAGGTACTCGGTATTTTACTAAAATTGAAGATTTATCAAATAGTTTATTATATAAATTATTAAATGGTTTATATTTTTGTTTCAGCAATATGATTGATACGGCATATCCATTTGCAATACGATCGAAATCATCATTGGTTTTATCGTACATATAACAAACAATTCATACCAAGGTAATTATACACAATAATTAGTCACATTTTTAATAACGAAAAAGGTCTGAGAATATTCGTGATTCAATTCGATATTTGAGACTACATAGTCGTAAATGAAAATGTGACGTTTAATAATTTTACAAACGTTTATTTTTGCGAAACGTGATTTCATTACCCCTTCAGCAGTTTCAACTATACAATAATGTATACAATTAAAAACGTAAATGTTAAGTCTTAGACGACTTCAATAATATTTTTGTTATATTATTTTACATTTACATTTAAAAACGTCTATCGCGTAGCAGAAAAAAAAAATAGTTTACATTATTTATCATTTACATCGTAAAAACCAAATTTGCTTTAAACTATTGGTGTGCTCAAACAGCCAAGACAAATACACACAAAAACACTCGTTTACTCTCTTACTCTCGCTTTATCAATACCAATATTTAAAGAATGAAAAAAGAAAAGTATGCCTACTCTTTAAACGTAGGTACCTTTGCATATTATTGCATTGAGGTCAATCTACACAATGTAGTAAATCTAATATGAATAAAAATCTAAATAAATTTCTATGAAAAAATCACAGATGAATACAACTTCGGAGAGTTGAGTTTTTTTTTTCAGAAATTCACCCTCGTAAATTACATCCGCGATAAACGTTTATATATTCGATATTTGATCCGATTCGAAAATGTTTCACATCGTTCGTCGCTCGCGCGTACAATCTGTTAATATTCGGTCTGCTCGTCTTAGCCTAAAGTGTACATTAGTGTACAGCTAGTGTACACCAAAGCGTTCGTTTTGAAAAAGTGTCCGAATTTCAAAGTTATTATTTATGTTGCAATTGTGTTCAATTTTTTTTTTATATTTATTTTAGTTTTTCAACCCTTTCTCTATCCTAGTTTAAACTTTAACATTCGTATCTGAGAGCATACAGGTGGAAAGTGTTAATTAGTTAAATTATCCTGTTTCAATTGAGTTGTCACTGCCGCCCAGCAGTCCTGGGATCACGTGAGGACACCTACGATGTATAACCCTAGCGTTCAATTACCGTAGGCAGGTAAAATAATTATAGTTTCAATTTATTGGTATCGTCATTATTCTGGGACTCAAGACCCCGTATCCCTCCGAACAGCAGGAAGAAGGTAGTGATTCAAATACCAGATTTAACATAGGTATCAAAGTAACCCACCACGTTCATTTTACACATTATTTTTTTTATTATCATATTATTGTCCCCCCCCTTATTTACTCTTTTTTTGTATTACTACACAATAGTATCGATAATCGACTGTGACATATTGATAACACCGATAACATTAATAATATTTTTTTTACATATATGACAATACTATGATATTACCGTCATTTCAACAACAACACTTCGTTAGAAAGAACCAAAACTATCGATTATCAACATTAGTATCAAACCACCGATAAATACTAGCGATTAATCTAATATAATCGATTATTTCAAAACAATAGATTACCGAATATTACGAATGACTATCGTGCAGGCCTATATTAAACACACCATATGTGCAATTAATTTTACACAGTCGTGGTTGGTAGTTTTTTTATTGCGATATTTTCCATGGTTACACGTGGGCAATACAAAATTATTAGTATTTACGTAATTATAAAAAAAATTTGAAAAATCATTTCGATGTTATACCGTTTTGTTTTCGTTCCGCAGTCGATCGTCGGTCGTCTTTCGTTGCACAAACAAATCCTAACATCACTGAGCCACTTCGTCGGACGGAAATCGTTTAAAGGACAAGATGGAGAGGTCTAAATAAATATGTTTTTTTTTTTTTGTTTTTTTAATAAATAATCCGCTGTTTATTTTAAAGTTTGTCCATTAATTATCAATTAAACAGTTAAAAACAGGTTTTTTTCATTAAAACTATAAAGGATGTATACCGCCGTAATAAGAAAGTTTTAATGTTACAAAACACATAATTCCGTAATAAATAGTTTATTTACAGGTACATAATAATATATTTTTTTCCGTCGTTATTTACAAAATAATTATTATTTTAGAATATGTTGAGAATATAAGTTAGAGCTGCGTTAAAAAATACTCCGATGCATAGCTGTGACTCGACCTTAAATATTATGTTACTTATATTATGTGGAATTAAAATAAAATAAAAAAATGTTGTCTGCATGCAACCACCAAAGAAGAAACCCAATAGAATGAAGCAACAAAACTCACTGAAACATAATTTAAACACAAACGAAGAAAAACCAATTAGGACAAGTACTTGACAAAAAAAAAAAAAATAAAAAAAATGCAACTAAAATATATTTGATAATAACAATAATAATAGTAGTAATATAATACGCAAAACATTCATCGGCTGCGGGAAATAAAGCCGCAGACGCAATTTGGAAAAATGGTAAGTGCTTTCGGGTATAAATGTTAGGTAATTGAATAAAGATCAAAATTTATTTTATATTTTGGGCTTATGGCTTAATTTAATATGCGATGACCGGTTTCCTCTAAAAATATCACACCCTCAATAAAATAATTCTCATTCAAATATTCACTATCCAAAGTAATCCTATTCTCAGGGTTCCGCAGGCCCACTATTCGGGAAGGTGATTAATTTACATCTGTACGCAACGATAAATCGTTACAAACGGAAATTGATTCTAAGCCAAGTTTGGTTAAACATAATATGTATTGAGAAATTGAAATTGAAAATTGTATAATATTCCAATATTATTCGCGCGTTTTAACGAATATCAACATAAATTTAAACTTGATTCACTGAATAACAAATTGATTACAACATTATTATCTATGCACACAAAATAACATTTAGGTGTAACTATCTAGTAAATCTATGCAAATATTTTAAATTTGGATAATTTGTGTACGGGATAATATATTAAACAAAGGATATTTGGGGATACTTTGAAGTTCACGGAATATTTGAGGGTACTTCGTAGTTTGCTTATTAATGTCATTAAAATTTTTTTTTAAATTTTAAATATTTTCTTTTCTTTTGTATAATATCATGTTTGTTAATTTATAAGTTTTTAAAATATACTTTTTAATGTGTACATTTTTGTTCTCGTTTTATGTTTGGGATTTCCGAGGCCCGAAAAGCCAAAAGTTATAATTAAGTGTACTATACAAAACGTGTCAATCCAAATTGCGCCTGTGAATACTTAGTAATTGATTTTTCGTTCACACTTTTATTACCTTTGTTAACCGTTTTTCAAGGAATATACCATAAATCAATTAGTTTAAGTACATTTAAAATTAGGTATAAGTTTTAAGTATTATATTATTATTATTAATTTAAATTTAAATCTTAATTATTTTAAAGTAAATATTCTACTAGTTTTATAACATATAATATAATGATTATTAACTATGAAAAATGATTTAATAATGCCATGAAATAAAAGATAAAAAATAATTTATCCTATTTATTTAAATCGTATACGTTATTTCCGTTATTTATACGCGTAAAGTTATGTACTATATTATATTCTTAAAAAAAACATAAAAAAAGTTAAAATTTCAATATAATTATTAATAAGTAATGGAAAATTATTTCACATTGACCGAATGTGACCCTTATAGTTTTCAATAATTTTAAGTTTTAACATTATAATATAAATTTTTTTTAAATCTAAAATATCAACGTACGTGAGTGTGGACAACTAGTTTTTTATTTAGATAATTTGAAAGAGATTATATAATGAAAAAACTATGATTTTTATCGCATTTTAAAATCGATTCTGAGCGGATTGCGGTTTTTTTTTTTGTAGTTTATTCGCCGGATTTTAAAAATGTTAAATAATTATTATTTATTTAATATTGAAAATAAGACCCAATATAAAATAATAACTCAAAAGTATTTGTGATTTTACAACGAATTATTCCGACAATCTCACATGCTGGTTTTGGTAGTTTATCCCATAAACTATTGTAATTATTATAATTGTATAAATTAAATTAAATTTGATTAAAAATTCCAAATTATATAGGTTTAATATTATTAACTAAGTATATGCGATATTTCAGTATACTTATTTTTATTGTCTAAAAAAATTACTTTCTGAAAAAAAAATTTAACTCTAATAATTTATAGAGATGATTCCGCTCAGAACCAAACGTTGATAATTATAAACAACATATATTTACGAGTTTTCTGATAATAAATAAATCTCTAATAAATACACGTAACACTTATGTGTCCACATAAATGTATCTTATATTTTATTAATTTTAGTAATAGTATACGATGCAATGATTTCAAAAGCAATACAATTATACGCAAAGTTCAAAAATAATACTTTAATCTGCAAAACAAATAATGTTCTATGTACTTTCAATGAGCAGTAAATCACGGACAATACATAAATAATACAATATTTTTATGTAGCAAACAGTCCGACGTACGTCGTGAAGCGAAACTATAGAAGTAGAAAATAAGAAAAAAAAAGCACCTATCTGTATAATCAGGCGCGGATCCGAGGAGAGGTGCTAAGAGGCTTTAGCCCTGACCCTTTAGGCGTATTTTAAGTTTTATACAAATTTTCCTATTAAGTATTTGAGTATAAACTATGTATGCTTTGATTTTTGATAACAACAAAACAAAAATATGTTGGTTTAGCCCCTCCCCTCCATTTTTCATTTCTAGATCCGCGCTTAAGTACAACATAATAAATAACCAAAATAATAATAGTAATAATAATAATAGTAATGATGACTCGAGCATTGAAAGACGAATAATATTTTTAAAAATAAAACCGAATATTATATACTATATTTTAAAATGTTTTGTACATACACAAAAGAACGAGAACAACATAAATATAAGTGAAAAAAAAAGAATCCAACTAGGCACCATGCGACTTGCAGACCCTAAAAGTACCCGTACACTGAAGATTTTTTTTCGTTGGGTTACCCTAGTTCAAAGATAGACAAATTAAATAATTGTTTTACTAGTTTAAATTAAAAATTTTCAAGAAAATAATTAATAAGTTAAGTTAAATGATAAAATTTGTTTTTTTTAAAACTGTGCTCATATAATCGTATTTTGTTTTGTACTTGTTTGTAGTCATCGAACGAAAAATTACAATACGAGATGCACGCCTGTCTTATAATGTGACAATGATATTGACATAAATATAATATGTAATTTTGTCGAAAAATAAATATAAAAACATTAGTACACATTACATGGTTTAAAAAATACATAAATAAGTACTTTTTAGAATAACTTACATTTTAATAAAATAACCAAGTTAAATTAAAAAATTTTATTATCATCAAATTATTGTCTAACATTCTATTTTTTTTTTTTTTTTTTTTTAAACTATTTAAGTTAGCAAAAAAAGTAACTAATAATCTAATTTTTTAACTAGTTACTAGCCCAGCTTTGCTCTACTTAGAACCCTCAACATTTAGTCTAGAAGCGTAGGTACATATAGTATCTATAGAGTACTCTAGGTACTGCTCTAAGCCCTAGTTAAACGAACTAGAGTGAACAATGATAATAATATAATGTATCCGGAAATAAGGTGCCAGAGCTAGACTGATTATATAGGTCTATTTACCGCATAAAATAAACTAATTAGTGCACTTATTAAATTGTTTTGTATGGTTGATTTTTTTTTTCTAAATTATTTCCAAAGCGAGTCTTGTGTGTGGAATAAAAAAAAATATATTAAAATGTTTAGAACTTTTTGAACCATGTTATACGGAATTAAATACATTAAAAGAATAGAGAGCTAGGCTCACAGCTGAAGACGAAATGTATGAAATCGATCGGATAAGCATTAGAAGTAAATTAAGTGACAGAAAATGGCATAATCTCTGGTGCAGATGAATCGACAAAAATAAAAATAAGAGGAGCGAAACTAGTGCCGATGATGTCGTGAAAAGCTCTACGACTACTATATATACGTTCACTCGATCTACACACGGAAAGAAATATCTATCGCAAATGTACAAGAGTCGTAAACTGGTCTTGATAGATTAGTTCTACCTGTTTCAAGTCCGTATTTTATAGTGTTTTACCTACAGCAAATTGTTTTCATAAAGTTAACAAACGTGATGCTAGAGCACTCTAGTTATGGCTAAAGATTACTCTGGCCATATTCTTCCCTGCAGTGTACAGCTACCTTTAGAATCATAGACTCGTAGACGTAGACTGGACGTTTATAGTTTCGTCGAAAACCATTATAATCGTTATAATAGTAGCGAACCTATTAACATGTACTTTTCAAATGATTCACTAATCGTCCGGATATATTATTATTATCTTTATGTATAAGTACCTATGACCTAGGTAATTATTTTAAACGCTATAAAACCGACTAAATTTTATATGTCTTTTTGCTTCTAAATTACATTACTACAGCGGCAACGGCGTTATGATTAAAATATTATATCGCTATTAAAACAAAGACGGAAACGAACTCCGTATTCTGTCATTGACACTAACCAACGACGATGACCCAAACAGCCGGTACCACTCTGTTAACGTCGATCCAGGACTTGTAGAGATGTTGTCCATGTAAATAACGGCCACTCCCATGAACACTTTTCTTCCTTTTTCACGTCCATAATCGCCCCAAACCGATACCTGCAAAACAAAATTAATTCGATATCGTTCAGTTTTTAAATAGTTGCTTACGTTTTAACGAAACTCCGAAATATTTAAATTTCATTAATTAATTAATCAATTAAAATATTCAATTTTCAGAGTAATAGTTAAGAAGAAGTACATTATATAATTCGTATAATCGTGAAATTTGTGCGAAAAACGTGTACACCCAAAATAAAAAAAAACCCCTTTAAAATAATCTAAAAACTATAATGTCAAGATAATAAATACAAAATTACATTTTTCTTAAAAAAAACTTTAAATTTCTGTACCTATTTGTGTGATTAACCATAAAAGATACCTATTATAAGTATTTAATCTCTAAAGCCGTTAAAAAAATAACTTTTATCTGTTTACCATTTAAAATAACTTTTTTTTATATTAATATTATCAATGCGGACGTTTTTGTAGAGGAACCAAACGTATGATATCAAATTAGTTAACAGAACCATTTCCTTAGGATTATACTTCTGATCATAAGTAACCAAAAATCAGTCATCTGATTGAGTGATCATTATATTCTATAATGTTCGTCGGTCTGTGTTTGGTTATCTATATAATAATACCTATCTTATTAAGTAGAATGTAAATACGCATTTGCATACTTAAAATATTATTATTTATTACAAACGAAAGTAAAACAAAATTTTACCGCGATTTCTTACTCGACTACTTTGTATTGTACTTTTCTGAAAATACATTTTCTTCCCTAATTAAAAACGCATGTATATGACGACGTCTCACCAAATACAAACGCAAGTTGATTAATTGAATAAAATAATATTCCATGCATACCTGAATTAAACAACCGGCCGGTGAACTTTTAAATTTGAGCATTTCATTGTACTTAGGCTGCAAATTCTCTTTGATTGTTTTTGTACGATGTTTTTCTACGCACTTTTTTCCTTTCACTAGGTATACTTTAACATACGTATCTGTTTAAGTATTTTTCACAAAAAAAAAAATCATTACCTATACATTCAAATATATTTACATTCGGAATTTTTCCGATTATTTAAAATGGTCAAATAAATGTTCGACTACCTATTTTAAAATTTTAATATTTATGTGCCTTTCCGTTTATAAAAGAAACGGACACTTGGCAGATTATTATTTATTTTACCTGGAATCTTGGTTTTTGTTTCTTTAATCAAATCCTTGGCTTCGTGAACTATAACTTCCATAAAATTAACGTAAAAATTGAATCCAATTTTCACGTCACCTCGATACGGAGTTCCCAATATTTGTCGACTAACCTTTTGGCCTGATCCGAGTTTACCAATGAACGTGGCTACTTCCCCCTCGGTGGATTGGCCGGCGCTAAAATGCCGAACGGAAAAAACAAATGTTAACTTTGGAATTAATTAGCGTATAAATTATGTTGATAAAAGTATAAAGAAACTATATAAATTAATAAAAACTACATAAATAAAATTATATTCATAAACATTGAAAGAATAAAAAATAGATTATCGGCATAGATCGCCACAGTGCTTATGAAGAAATTGATAGTCACGTGAAGACCAAACATGAGAATAGTATAATATTAAAAACGCAATTTATTTTTATTAAAGCATTTTGCATCTTGGAATGGACAGAACTTACCTTAGACTTGAATATTTTTAAAATATACACTTTACACACGCCTTTAGGGAGGAGTGTAAAATGAAATGTATCTATAGCGTCGCGTACTCATTGTTTTCATACATATGTTAAATATCTATATCAACAGCATTAAATATAATGTATTATATTGTAATTTTCATTGTAATTCTGGCTGCTTTTTTGGAATGTCTTCTAATAAAACATTACTGTCTGATTTTTCCGACGAGTTTACTTCAGTTGTAATATTATTGTTGGAGGTCGCAACGAATGTTCTTAACAAACCATAATAATATTATACACACTAGACAGTGTATGCAAGGCCGCCAACAGGTGGCTTTATACGTGCGTGAGCGACGGAGGGGGTAAACCTTAAATTCAACGTCAGTTAAATAATAATTATTTTTTGAAATATCATTTCATTCGTTGAAAGAAAAATGTTTCGTTTGTTCAAGTTAGTCAGGATGTCCGTCTCGCCAGTTTTAGATACTCAATTATTATATAGTTTTGTTAATAATTATTAAAGCAACGCGCAAAGAAATTGTTGACGTTTAAAGAGTATTCTGCATATTATTATTTACATCGTTCAAAATGTTTTAATGTTTTTTAATGAAAAAAAACATTTAAATTTAATACTAGTTGCAGAGAAAAAAAAACTGTACACATGAATATTATAATACGATTTAAACAAAAAAAAATTGCAAAGCCGTAGATTTGATTAGGTACAGATTATGACCAGTAATAACAAAAAATAATATTCTCACGGCGTTACGTTATTATATAAAATCGTACGCCTAATATTTATTTATACGTTCGAAGCTTCGATTACATTTGTGGCGAACTTATTCACTGCTTGGCAGCGAAAAATATCGTGCGCAAATGAGTGTGTCACAAGTAACAAGCAATAAATTATATGGAACAATTGTTATTTTAGACTGCAGATAGTCTTCGTCGCATTTCATTTCATTGGTACTGGACGCATCATATTTCTCTCGGCTTGCAACCCAATCTCTGATCCAAATTATTATTTTTTTTTTCTTAAATTGTCTAGTTTTCCCATTTATTTCTAAGTTCTGCAGGTATACAATAAATGAGATTTAACGACAACGCATTTACACGTGAACTACAGCCTTTGACTTTTTGAAACAACTACAATAGTCACTATAGCTGTTGGCACGCTATAGCAAGTTTACTAGCCACGTAGATTACTCAAAGCGGTTTCACTCTCCAGAGTTTAAAATAGGCCAATAGCGACAAAAGTAGGCCGGTCATTAACTTTATTCACGGGCGAGCAGCGAGAAGGCGACTAGGTTAAACACATTGAGGTGGTTTGGTAGCAGCGAGTAAACTCATCAGTAATTAGCGGGTAAATTCGTCCAGTGTGATCAAAACTTCAAATAATAATTATTAAAGACAGTATGACGAGCCCATTATTTTATACAGAATCATATAATATATTTTGTTTTATTATTAAAATTGTGTCACTAAAATTAATTAACAAGCAATATTATATTACACCATGCACGTGCAAGATATTACGTAAAAGTTCTAAACAAATCTATAACATAAATATAATTAACAATGCAAAGCTCCAGTAGTTCTACATCAATAACCGAGTGCAACTACCAATGAAATAGTAATAATTGTTACTAATATTACGACTATAACACCTAAAGTATATTACTCACCATTTATTGAACTGTCTATATAATATTTACATGGTTAAAAATACACGAATATTTCGGAAAGGATTTCCGATTAATTAATAATAATTAGTCCATAAAGAGCCGTTTACACGATGGTTTTTTTTTTTTTTTATTAGCAACTATAGTACATGCTATAACGTTACTTCAACGGCCAGTAAAGTTGTTCCATTTACACGTAAAAAGTACAATATGGAACACGGTGGTCAGTGGAACAGCAAGTTGGACTAGTTATCTGGTCTTACACGCGATGTGATAATTCAGTTAACAACTAGTAAAATAGGTTGCCAATAGTTATTTAATAAGTTAAAATATGTTTGATTTCAAAATCCCACTAGCTCGCTAGCAAGGTATAGTATACATATAGAATGTTAATTTATTATCTAACTCAATTACACGATGATTTGTCCTATGATATAGTACCTAGCCAGGTTTGTGTAGCCTTATAGTCGCTAGCAAAAAAGCATCGTGTAAACGACCATTAATATAGATACACATTAAAACATATAGAAAAACAAATTAGATAACAATAGGTAATTATTTTGTATGTCAAAGTATAAAATTGAGATCTCAATAGACATATCTACGAGTATTATAAAAATAAACACAAATTGTGATATCGTTGTGTTTACAACTCGTATTACATAGGATACAAACAATTTTTAATTCATATACCTATTATAGATAAGTATATGAGTAAAAATAACAAATTATTAAGTTATTATGATTGGAACCTGCACACCAATTTTGAATTAATAACTTAATAATAGAGTAGTAACCAACAAACAATTTTTGCAGGTCGTGTGCCTACAAAAATCATTAATCGGTAATTATAATAATTTAATCTTTCAGTGAAATTATTATGCAAATATAGATTTTACATGTGATTCATTTTTTTTTTTTTTACTGATTTGTAAACATCGAAATACATCGCTTTATCAATAACAGTTATAAAACGAATACAAATAAACTGAAATGCAGTGAATGATGATATTATTGACTGAATATTACAGTTGATTAATTGTAAATAAATATTTTAAAAGTTTCATAAATAAAGTGATTGTCACATGTTTATAGTGGTCTAGTGGTCGGATATATCTTTGTATAACATATTTTCATGAAGTTGTTATTCTAACCTACTTTGATTAAAAAAAAAAAAAACAATGTAGGTATGTAATGCATTAACTACCAATATTATTTGATTACAAATATATTTTTAAAAGAAAATTATTTGTAAATACTTAATAAAATATTACGTTTACTAATAAGTGAATAAGTTAAAGATTTATCTTCAATCAAAATATAATAATATTGTATATTAAATGAAATAAATGTAATAATAAAACAAATACATAATATAATATTAGTTGAACATAATCAATGAAGAGTGTCAAAGCATATTTTTTTTTATCATAAGCTTGGTAACTATATTGATATGATTTTAAGTGAAAATATAGGTGCAATAATTTGATAAAATCTACTCAATTTAAAATATTATATTAAAAAAAGATGTATGAAAGTACTATTTAAATTTGTATACTTAAATAGTGATTTAAATAATACATATATATATTAATAGAAATAAAACAACTCATTATTAAATATAATAGTTATTGATAATTAAAATAGTTTATTCCCAATATGATTCATTAATCCTCAATTGTTAATAGAAAATAAATTCGTTTAAATTCTAACTTACCGAGAAAAAGTAATATAAAAATGAAAAAACAAAATTGAGTTTTGTTAATATAGTTTTAATAAAAAAAATAATATTCAATTATAAATTCATTAATATCCGAAATCGCGGAATCCGATTCATAATAATAAATTTGCCTGACATAAAAAATGTTTTCTTAATAAAATAAATAAAATAGTTAATAAGTGGACATCTGGCAGGTACACAGTTAATTGATTATCGTGTTATCGATTTATTATCCGACGACCCCTTTTAATAGTATTATATGAATTGCATATAGTTTTAACGTGCATTAAAGAGAAGAATTTTAAGCTAAAAAATAAACACACAGGCCAAAATAGAGATAAATTGATGTATCTGGATGACTTGGGAGAGAATTAGGATTACTTACGAGCTTGGACAATCGCTAGAAAGACTGGTGAGGCTTGCTTGTCTGCCCGGGGCCACCTCTTGGGACCGCTTAAAATTGGGTTGGGCGCCACCGCCTCCGCTACCTGAACCGCGTTTCCCTTTCGAACTCCTTCCTTCTATCCAACAATCAATCAAATAAAACAATATCCTAAACAATTACATTGGATTTTTGGAGACTACTAGTAATTTAGGATATCACAGCGGGATATGCTATATTGTATGTATATATAGGATTCAAGTGTTAACATATCAGCAATCGGCGCTTTTTATTTTATACACACTGTTTATAGTTTAAAATAAAATTTTTACGCGTGGAAAAAACCATACTTCATTATTTATCGTAATAAAGCATTCTACAACTATGCACGAACTCCTAATATTGATATTTATATATATTATATGACTAAGTGAATAATACGAAAGATCATCTAACCAGTATACGACTATTGGTTGGCTACAATGACTGAAAATGTTCCAATACCAATAGACGCAACCGGGGTGTTTGTAATTCGCAATATTTACAAGCGTCTGTTTATTATTATTTTCCATGAAAATAACTGTATTTGAGGTATTTCTAGCGACGATGTTATCTTTTCATTAATAATATTATAATATGTTCAGATTTTGCACAAACATTCTACAACAAAAATTATATATGTACACGAATGATGATCCAATCCCCATGCAAAGGCAAACTTCTCTTTTGAAAATCATCAAACCAAAACGACAATATACACAAGGCTTCTTTGACTTTTACCATGTTTGGTCTTCATCCCGGATACCATCAATATCTCCATGGTTTAATTAATATTATTATTATTATTAATTTTTTTTTTTATTTTGTAAAAAAAAAATACAAATATCATACATTATTAACCTTTCGCCGTCTTGGGATGCTTCACCGTCACTAGAAACGCTGGACGGCTGTTTGATGAGGGGACGACTCGCCCCGGGCAGCACTTCTTCACTTCTGTGCACCGTAAACGAAGATTTTCCTTTCGAACCAAAACCTAACCTACGCTTGCGCCCTTTAAATCCAGCCCAAAATTAATCAATTTACTATAGCGAAATGTAAATCATTACTTGTAAGACAAATTGAATAAAAACAAAACTATTATCTTGATTTATATTTCAATAGACTATAGGAAAATATAAAGTTTTTAGTAAAAAAAATATTATATATTATTTAGTTTATTCAGGATAAATAAATTGATAGTTTAAATAAAAATTGATTTTAACTAAATTATCACATTTAAATTATTTTCTAGAATAAGTTACGGAATTAAATCTTAATATTATTATCATTATTACTAACTATGAATATTCAAAATGAAAAATTACCGAAATCAACACATCGTCCTATAACATATTATTATAGTCTTTATGGTTTTATAGCTTTGCTTATAAAATGCATGTTTGGTCACGTTGAATAAGGAAATGTAGACTTATCTCAAACATATATTTAGTCATGGAGTATTGTAAAATTCTTTTTTAAGAGTATCACTCACCAGTTGCTGATAATTGAGAAGCTGACGCACTTTTTTTGCCCATGCCAGAAGAGGAAGAGTTGGTCCCAGAAGCTGAGCTTTTACCGGTATTTTCTGTTATAGAAGAAGAATCGACTCTTCGTTTTCCAGAACTTCCGGTATCTAAAAACAGAAAATTCGATATAACAATAAAATAAAAAATGTGATTCCGTCTAATCATACCGGCAATGTTTTCTGCTTGTACGTCAGCATTAGACAGGCTCCTCGAAAATTGAGGCCTCTTGCTATCAGTGGTCGGCACCATGACTGGAGATTGTTGAGATCCAGATCTACTTTGCGACGCTCCATAATCACTGCCATGGACAATAGCATTTAAAGGGTCGGTTAAAGCATAACTAAATGCTACAGCAGCGCCACTATAGCTACCCACTACGTCTAACACCGATTCGCCTAAATCTAGGGTTAAATTTCTTTTCCTACGGGATCTTTGTCTTTCTGTTGGTGATTGAAACCCTAGAAAATCCAACCCGGAATCAGAATCATAAAGAGGATCATGGTTGTCTAGATGATTTAAATTAAATCGTGTTTTTTTCAATGGTTTAGAGTTTTCAGTCGGCGAATTTTCAGTCAAAACAGGTCTATTATCTATCGGACAGAGTAAAAAGTAATCGGCAGGAAATGAATTATAACGGTACAAATGTATACTATCACGCTTGCTACTACTTTTACTAAAACTACAGCTGGGTGAATGGGACGTTGATGGGTAGCGGTAATCGGTGGCGTTGCAGCAGCTGCAAAAGACAAAACATACTGTCGTGAGATTTTCAGATATCATCCCATTCATCAATAAGTATATGAAAATATTAATACATTTTCGAGCCGATGTAACAAAATACTCTATTTAAGGAATTTTAACACAAACAATATATGCCACTTTATTGAAATATTAGAAATCTAAATATATAAAATAACTCATGAATAATGATTCTAATTTATAAAACATAAATACCTACCATAACATAAAGTGATTACCTAGTAATTTACTAGAAGTATAAACTTAATTATATCTCAAACAATTTTTCACTCATTACCTAAATCTTGTCGGTCTGGGTTGTTCAGATTGCGTAGATAAAGCACTACTGATAACACTATCACTATCATCAATATCACAAGTATCTCCAGTTTCTCCTCTGGACATTATTGAATTTCTAACATGAGGGGGAGTCAGAGATCTATTTTGTTGTAATGGTATATCACTGTCGCTGGTAGCACAATAATTGTGAAATCTACTGAAGCTTGTCGACGTTCTACTCGGCATTCTTCTAGGTTGCAGCTGTCTTGTTCTTCTTCGCACAGACGATGTTTGGTCATCAAAATACTGTAAAATTATAACACTCTGTAATTACACCATACTAACATCTACGAAAGCACGTTTTGAAAGAAAACTTACATATGGAATTCGATCGTCTAACGAAGAAGGGGTGGTTCCTGGAATTTGGGGAAGTTGACGTTTTTTGGGTGTGGATGTAGGAGTAGCAGTTGCCGATCTAGCTAACATCCTGGAAGGAACTTGTCTATAAGATGATACACTCCCAGGATATCTATAGTCTGGTGGAGATAAACTTCTTCTATCGGTGACCATCGTTGGACTTTTCGACCGTGATCTGGAATGTTGGCTAGGAGAAGTAGTCGGTGCAGCAGATCTAGATCTATGACTAATACTTGTTGTGGATCGACTCGGTACAGGTTGCTGCTATTAAATATGAAAATATATATTTTATTCAATTGAACATATAATTTATCATATTTACTTTTGAACTGGCATCGTAAACATATTTTTTTTCGATCGTGGTGCCGTACACATATGATTTTTGCGACGGCGGCATGTCTCTACGACTTTTTCTCCGATCTAAGTGATCATAATCAGGTGGTGGGCTGAAAATAATTACTTTGTTCAATATTATAACGTTTACTCAAGCGTCATTGTATATACCTTATAGAACTACCAAGACTACTTATGGATGCTCCGTCAGCTCCGATTCTTCTTCCACTACAGCAATCATCAACGTCCGAAGCATCTGAATCTGATTGTCGAGATAACGTAGATGGCGGAGACAAATGTTCTCCAGAGTACTCCGTGTCATAATCACCAATTTGAACACCTCCTTCTCCCTAAATATAATTAAAATAAAAATATTTGAAGATTTCGACAAAAATAAATATCATAAAACACATACAGTTAATTCTTTATGTACAGTCAATGAATACCATTCAGCTAAGTTATCTAATTTTTTTAATCCCAATTCGATCAGCACTTCACCGAGAAACTGATTTGTAGGATTATGATCATAATCCCATACCGATATTTGAAGTACTTTTAACTTTAAATCTGATTTTCTCATAGTGGTAAACGAAAAAGGTTGATTCCATTTAGGATCGGTAGAATTCACTATCGTTTTAGTCCTACGTTTAGACTTTTCACTTGTATCCGGTAAAAGGCATACTTTAGCATATGCCGATCTTGGCGTACCATCAGACCGTGGTAATAGATTTGAAGCGGCCATTATAGTTACGGCTAACTTCAGTGATTGGGAGTCAAAACATAGTTTAACCTAAACCGTCCCAACAAATTTACAATAAGGTCAGTATTCAAAAAATATATATTTGATTAATGGCAGTTATACCTGTATCTTGCCCCCGACATGTGAACTATTTGGCCCGGTGACACTTTTGGAAGCTCTTAAGATCCGGGTATTCGAAGCCAGAGAAGCCAAATGCTCAGGACTACCCGGCGAAGTTACCATCACATAAGGCTTATCTTTACGTAAATCATATAAACCTGAAAACACGTTAAATTTATTGCTATTTTAATATTTCAAAATTATTTTTTTATAAATCTAAAGGGGTCAGGGGCATCAGTAGGGCGGTTTGAAATCGCGCTAACCCAGTGAACTCGCTGTAGCTGAAAGCAAATGAAACAAGCATCATTAATCAATATATATATACATAGAATAGGGACTCCAGTGATACCTTCTTAAAATCAATACCTGCAGGTTTAATCGGAGTACCATGACTCGCTCTTCTCGGGAGTATCGATCTGGAAACTTTAAGCTCGATCTGTGGCAATTGTTTTGATTCGGCTATAATATCTGAAACTTCTTTTTGTGTTTTGCCTTGCAATGTACAACCGTTCCACTCCAATACTTCATCTCCTGTTAACAAAGCTCCGTTAAAATATTAAATAAACACCGTTTCGAGTCATTTAAATGATGAAATATTTTACAATTCAAATACTCTAATATTTATAACTAAGCTACGTTTAACTATATTATTTTCTCAACACAAGTCACACTTTAATCACACGATACTCTTATAAATTGGCATTAAATAATTCTCTATCGTTAGTATAGAAAATATTTATATTTAGTTATTATTGATAAATGATAATATTAACATCTAAATTATTATTGTAGCGAATGTTAATTGTATCTGAAATTAAATTGGCAGGTATAGCCGTTATATTATGTGTCTGATAAATTAATTAAACTAATTTTAATTTCAATGATTCTAAACTATAATAAAATACTATAAACTAATACTCGTATAATTTATTAAACAATATATACAATTTTTGTAAAATATTATAATTAAATTTGTCTATTATAATAATTATTTTTAATGATTAATGGCTGACTTTTTAATCAATAATCGATATAACGATTTCCTACAAAAAATGTAATTTTAAAACGAACTAGTATAAAAAAAAAAAAAAAACAAAATAATTACTGTATAACTAAACGTTAATCTTCATAATAATGATAATTAATTTTCGAGTAGAATATTGAAAATTTAAATTTGTATGAAACTAATTTTAAATCGTGAATCGATAAAAACTTTTTTTTTGCTTCTTAATTAATATTTTAATATTTGTATTTTGTACGGTAGTATTATTATTATTGATAATATTTCTATTATAATAAAAAGTTAGTACGATTATTGATTTTAACAATACTAATTAGTATATTGTGCCATGTTTAAAAATAATGCATACAACAATGTAATAGTGGCGTCATTTAAAAGGAGGGCAACTTGGACAGTTTCCCGGTATAACTTTTAGCCATATTTAAGACTTGATCTCCAACATCTAAGTCTATGGTCTAGGACAAAATTATCATAATATTGAAAAATGTTACATGTACGTTTCGTTTATATACGTATACCTTACGTATAAGTATTTCGTAGTCGGATTCTAGGTTTCTTATTTTCCAAGCGATTTTCACGACTTTTGACAACAATTTTAATTTTTTGAAATAAAATATCAAATTTAAATGCTACGAGAATATGTAGATACCTATTTCTTTGCAAGTATGAAAACCCTAAATAACTAGTGAAGGGCGAAATTGGAGCGAAGCGAGAACATTTTTTTTTGGTAAATAATTCTATACCTTATCAGTGAGCAAAATTTGCCTTAGTCTATACCAGATATTGAAATGACGCCACTATAATGCAATACATTGGCTATACGTGCATATATCATCAATATGACGTAACTATAATTAGTATTAAACTATAAAGAAAATTGAACGGAACAACTTAATATTTTATTGAAATTTCGTAGGTACAATAACACAGATACAAAAATGAATATAAATATAACATGATGATAAAAACGTCCTTGACAATAAAAACAATAATTATATGTTATTTATTATTTATTGACACGTCGGAAATATGATATACGTAAAACAAGAGATGTGAGTGCTTTGATTTTTTAACAGCGATTATTATATAACGGTAGCGTTATGTCAGAAAAACTAGTGCAGTATTGCTGTATTATAATATGTATATAGGTAACGGTGGGGATAGAAAAGTCGCAAGAGGGAAATGAAGAATAGGAACAGCAGACGTCGTACTATGTCCCACTAACCCGGTTTCAAATTGCCTTCCATATCGGCTGTGCTGCCCTTCCGGACGCGATCGATAATCGCGCATCTCCTTCCGGTAGCCGACAAGAGTTTGCCGCCGGTGATTTTCAAGCCCAACATGGCGGCCGCGCTGGAAGACGGACTGACCGGCGTCTCCCAAACGGACTTGTTAAGCACCATGTGACCTATCAAGAACTTGTGATCGGGGCTCCGTTGCCACGACATCGGTTGCTGCAAACAGAATCAGCATTAGCACCCCGTCGTCACCGTCGTCGCGTCCGCTGCAAGCATCTGCTGCAGGCCCTGTATAGTATCTAATCGTAACTTGAAACACTGCTGGATTTTTAATTTATTTTTTTTTTTTTTTTTCACAGAAGATTAACACGACTTTGGAATTCGAACGTAAAGTATAGTTGGCAGTGTATTGACACTCGACGTAACTAGTAACGAAATGAGTTATTATCGTCTCGGTTTCTGTTTTGGATCGGCGAGAAAAAAACATGGTAGTATAACAGTATTATACCGTTTCGACTGCGAAATATTAAGACCGATAATCGGAGGTCAAAGACCAACCGAGTGTGTCCATCAATATTTATCGTACGTTCAATCATAATGTTTTATTTTCGCGAACGGTTCTTTAACGGAATTGAGTGAGATGTATCACTCGTTAATTCTGTTATCCGTCGCCTTGATAATAACGTCCATGGTAAAACAAATGAACTCAACTCTGGGTAGCCAATAATACAGTTTTTATATCGAATTGTACAATTCTTTGAAAATAATTCATATTTTAAAATAGGGGTCTTCGACCTTTTTAACGGCAGTGAGCCGAATCTGGTGTACTCGGCATAGCGGATCAAAATTGTTCAAAAATAGGTAGATAAATGAAATTGAGGTTTTCCTCTATTCATTAGTTGTTGCGGAGCATTTTTTAAGGAAATTTTTTGTGTCCAAATAGACATACATTTAAGTCTACTGCACACCTAATGGAGTAAGATTTTGCTTACAATGTTTGATTTTGTAACGATTTGTTTTATTTTATGCAGTGGTTCATTTAACATAAAACACTTATTATTTCGCAAAGTATTGACTTTTTCCGAGACAATTTTTTCTTTAACAATTTAAGAAACAAGTAGCTCTAAAATGTTACATTACCATTATTTTCGGGGGTAAAACAACTATCAACTTTTAATTTTCAAATTGCAACCTATATTAAACATTCCATGAATAAATGGATTGTTAGGTTAGGTTAAAATTGTAGATTTCCATTAAGCCGTTAACGGTATATTCCTCTTTTAAATTTAATTAAGGGTAGAATAGTGGAGTATTATTTGAGTGTTGGCATGGAGCGTGGTGTTTGAATAATACTACACTATTCGCTCCCTATCTAAACTTAAAAGTAAAATATTTTACCAACGGATTGACGAGAATCAAAAATTTAAACATCAACATTTATTTAAATTTTAATACCAAATATAGGTAATCGTTTCACCCCCAAAAATAAGATTGACAAAAAACAATGGTAATGTAACATTTTCAAGTTGCTTGTTTTTTTAAATTGACAAGAATTTGATAATAATTTGTTTTCGAAAAATTTCAATCGTGAGTGCTTTATATTAAATGAATCACCATGTATTGGATATATTCTCATTGGCATAGGGTAACTGGGAAAAGTTCCAAAGTTAAAAGGAAAATCTATCTCTATCTGCTCGTGAAACTTTTTATGAAGAGAAGAGGAGTGGACATGCAGTGGATATTCACTCTTAAATGCTGTTGTTGAGAATAAAACTTAAGTAAACATCACTGATGCTTAAAATTCAATTGTTTTTTGGTATTTTGAACGTATAGTCGATATTTTAAATATTCAACTTAATACATATTGTTGGGGAACTTCACCAATTTGTTTTACATAATATTTAAAAGCCTCAAAAAAAAATTAAGGTCTATTCATTAGGTTTTAAATATCGTTAACAGCTAACAAAAGTAACTACTTAAGAGGAATACTTATTTATATAGTTACTAGTATAATTTTTAAGTTGAATTTTAAGCATCACCCTAATAAACAGCATTTATTACTCGTAACTTAAATACCTTTTTTATTGTAAAATTAAATTTCAAACTAATTTATTTTCAATACACCAGTTGTAGTGCTTAGCGGGCTAAGCTGTAACAGGGTTGATGGAGATTGGAGACTCCTGATGCGTATGAAATTATTGTTTTCTCGACGAGTTATTTAAACTTTATTATTAAAATATCATTCCGATGTTGCACTCATTACAGTGAACCGGTGAATAACGAAGAGATATACGTATATTATCAACTAAACAAAAATATTCCATAAACTCGTCAACCACGAAGATTACGAAGGACTTAAAAACGATAGTTAAAAAAATTATCGTTTGCTTTTAACAACACCTTTTGAGTATTAATAGCATACAGTTTCATACCCACTGCAGTAGTGTTTTGTTACAATTAGATAAGTATAATATATTTGTATATATAATTATATATTTTTTCAATTATGTTCTATCTAAAATACAAGTAAAATTGTCATAACAAAAACTAACTACCTACTAAAGAAATGAAAAAAAAAAAAAAACATTCATGAGAACAAAAAATAAAAATAAATAACATCACATACACAGGCAAAAATAAAAAATTATAAAAACATACATGCAAAAAAGCAATTAGCAGTGATGAGTGCAAATTGTATACATCTGGTACATATCATCTGGTAATTCTGAGGGGAAACAAATTTCTTGAAATGTTTCATTTAAAAAAAGGTAACTTAAAAAATAAATAAAATACAATTGACGTATAGTATAATAATAACTAATAATAAAAAATAAAAAACTGCCGACGGTAAGAATATTGAAGAAAATGACGAATTCACGTAATACGTAACTAGAGTGGTAGGTACACGCACTTTGTTTTGATTCGACCCGACATTTTATAAAATGTATAAGAAAGTATACTATTACATATATATATGTATGTATGTATTGATTGTTGTGTGTGACAGTTTTTCCAATCCATTTTTGTCCTGTCCACGAATTGATCCAAAATATTTACTATACCATTTGGAAAAAATAATAATGGTAAAAACTGTATAGGAAAATTGTCCCCGTGTTCAATACATTACTATAATCATGAAAACTATAAAATTTGAAATGCGACAATATCGTTCAAACGATTTTATGAAAACCGTACAATTATTAAACGTGTATATTATGTACCTGCATTATTACAATATACCGAACAAGTAAACTATTTCAATATTTGAAAATAAACGTAATTATTTATTTTTCTATCGCGTCACAATACCATTATGCGTACAGGTATTAAGGTACCTATAGGTAAGTACCGTTTTAATATTTACAAAAATTATTATTTACAATACCTAAGACTAAATTTTACAACATTAAAAAACAAAAATGACCTAAATATATGTTCGTAAAATACGTACGCATACTAATCTATAATCTATTTAGATATAGATGGGTACTAATATTTAAATTTATTACCCTAATATCATATTTAATACGTCATTAGAAATCTATACATGTATTTATTATGATTATACAAATGGCAACGACATAAATATTACCTATACATTTGTAACGGTTAATATTATTATAAAAACATTACGTTATGCCTAATAACGGACAATATTGTTATTAGATTAATTAAATAACGAGTCGCAGGCGTGTAGCAATGGACATTCGAGTAGAAGTATTTAGAATATTTATTTTTAACACTTATCATTTTTCAAATTATTGTTTTCCATCGCGTTTGATTTGTTTGAGATTTTCTCAAAATTTCATATGGAGAAATTTAAAAAAAAAAATTACTTTTACAAATACTAAAATCAATTGAACTATTTCCGATAGTTTTAGGTTAGTATCAACCCCCGCGGTTTTATTTATGTACATATGGTATTATAGTATCGATTTAATACGATATGGTGTTGAATGAAAAAAAAAGTCGATTGACTATGGTCTATGGGAAACATATCATGTCTGCCAAATTATATTTGAAAATATTTATAAATGCTTTAAAAGTATTAGTATTCGTGAACAAATTTATTTTTTTAATGAATAATACTCAAATTCGTATTCTATATTGAGTATTTTAAAAAAGTATTCTTATTGTCTATTACTAATCTGAGAACGACGAGATGAATAATTTTTGACGAAAATCGGTATACGTTTGACATTGTAAGAATGTCTGCAATAGTATTCGACGGTTTATTAATTTTTTTTTTTTTTCATTATACTAATAGTAACTAAATATCTTTGATCCTGGGGAGGAAAAATTTTAAATATTTTATCAAGTATATTTAACCCTTGTAAAGAGAAAAAAATTACGTACCCCTTTATTTTTCAGTCTAAATTGCATAAGTATATGTATATTCTAGTATGATATGTTATACTGAAAATTAAAATATCTGAAATAACTTTTGTAAGCATAGGTAAGTCATTTAAAACGTCTGCGTTTAGATTAGGCCATTCAGTAATTTAGTTATTTAGCAATTATGTCATTTCGTTGTTCATCAATTTTCAAAATTTAATTCGCTTGTAATGAAAACAATATAAAATTTACTTAAGCCCTTCTGCCCTGGAACCAAAGATATAACTATATTATACAAAATAGCGTATGTTTATTATTTTGTCTCGGGAAAAAATAATATCTACTTTATTCTGATACCTATTTTATTGCGTTTTATATTATTAATATTTTTTTTTTTTTTATTTTTTTTTTTAATTTGACGCTAATTATTGTTTTAGTATACCTTAATTTCGTTGAGATATATCGGATCGTCGTTGGACGTGAATATCGAACTGCCGGTGTCGAATCCGGAGTCTTTGGAGGTTTGTTGGGTCGTTTGATGGTGCCGGTGATCGAACCGCACCGTTTTCTTTCGTCTCGGTCCGCTAACGGTGCCCATCTTGCGGCAAATCGCTAAACGACGACAACACAATGTCACCTAACCTCAAACCGCCCAGACTCGAGAGCCCCAACCGCAATATAGAGCGCAATATAAAGAACGTATAATATGCAGTATAACACAAGTACGGTGTATAATAATAATATATAGTCAAGAGGGACAAATATCATAAGAGTGTCACGACGCATGCATGTTCGCTGGGTAACGCCATAAAAAAAAAAAAAAAAAAAAAAAAAGTAGTTTATAAAATACAAAAAATGTTCAACACAATATTATATGATGTACGAATACATATAAATGTATATAAATATATAGAGAAATTGTTATTGAATAAAAAGAAAAAAAAATTGAACACAAAAAAAAAAAACAACAACGGGCTTTACAGATGCCAAAAAACCTACCGATAATAATGGTATTGGATTTTTATGGTCTTCTCCCGCATTACTCTCTCCGTCACCTGTACGTCAGTTCAATCAATAACATTACTATATAGAGTTTTGGGAATAATAATATTTTGTGCGTTGTTCGCACAGTGGCTACACCCTGTATTTCTATGTACAGTTGTGTCCGTTGTAAGTAAAGAACACGGAACGTTGACTCAGGGATATCAATAACGAGAAAAAATAAAATAAAATATTTGTTTGTTTCTGGACTTTTGTTTTGAATTAAATATAGCGTCTTGTACAGGTACAAAGATCCAAAGGCGTTATATTTTACAAAAATAAAAAAACGAAAAAAAGGAAAGAAATCAAAAATATCATAGAATAATATTTTACGTTAGTTTACGGTTCCCCTCCCTCCGATTAGAACCGGGCGACATATATTATTATTATTATTTTACGCATATTTACGCACGGAGATGGCGACAGTGGTATAGCGGTTACCGCGGTGGTAGGTACCTGGGTATATTATCATATTTTAATATAATATGGTATAGGTACTCGTGTAAAACGATTACCGCGGACACCTTACCTTTTTCGCTTTCGGGCTCGTCGCAGCTGGTGCACTCGGACGTGGACCGGACCTCTTCCTCCGAGCTGGAATAATTGACCGGGTGCTGTTGGAGATGTGGGTGATGTCGATCGGGTGGCTGTACAAGAGGCCCCGTCACGGGCCTCTTGTACTTCCGCACCAGATTGGTCCCGGGCCCGCCGCGGTTCGACGTCTGCTGCAGTGGCTTCCCGTCGCCGCCGTCCGCCGCCGGGCCGAACTGGTGGTGGTGCGACGACCTGGACGACTGCTGGTTAGGCCCAGTTCGATGCGCGCCCTCGCCGCCGCGGTAATAATCGTCGCGGCCCTGCAACACGCGTCGATCGGCAGCGTTGTGAAAACTAATCAAATAATATTATGCACCCGACGGCGGCAACGCGCACGAATGACGGTACAGGGTGCGCTATAGGTGGCTAAAACTTTGTGAGCCAACTTGATGACATAATAGCGGTGTTTAGCGCGTGTAGGCCGGGTGTTTAAAAATCTCACCCGGTATACGGTTTCGAACCCGTACAAATGCGACCGCCACGCCACCGCGATTATAGGTGACAACTATAAGCATCTTTTCGCTACGATAAAAGCACGGCGAGAACTTATCGGAAAGAGTAGGCAAAATAGTCCGGTGAAAAAAGCAACATACGAAGAAAAAATTCTGACCGATAAATGACATTACCAACATGGAAAACAAGTCTATACATCGTATGCCCGGTATTTTGAGAGGTTTTATTATTATTATTTCTTTATTAACGGTTAAGGATGGAAATTTATCTCCGTGGTAATTTAAGGAGGTCATTTTTTGATTTTTCAAGTGGTTTTCATAATATCTGGGAAAAGCAGGATAAAATGTCGGAAAACGGAAAATGTACGAAATGTAGGTATTAGTTAAAAAAAACATCCAAGGATAATGGGGATGGGTGCAGCCACTGTTACAGGTAATTTAAAGTTCATCTGTTAGCAACGATTAACCATTGCTAACGAAAAAACGATTCTGACCGGGGTTCAGTTGACATTGATACTTCGTCAACAATACTTATGTCGCTCCACTCAGAACCTAAACGGCTTTTTTTTTTATGCACAACTTTTCTACCAGCAATTTCACTTAATAATAATACTTAATTTTAACGCTTATATCATTGTTAGGCACAAATCTGTATATACACAGGGTTTCCCACAAGGATTTAACAAATGTAATAACTTTTGTTCTATTCAATAATTTTTATATATATATATATTTTGGAAATTATTGTTTGCATCAACGCTACAGTTTATGTAAGAACATTTTTTTTTTTTTTTAAAGATAGGGGTCTTAAAATAAAAAAATTTAAAATTGTGCTATAATTTTTTTAAACAAATCCAAAATAGTCATTAGCCATTAGACTTTCTATGGCCAAACCAAAAAATATATTTTTTTACAATTTTTGGTGATTGAAACTTTTGTTAAAGTATGGTCTTTTATTTTCTACAATTTTTTGAACTTTTTACAAATGTGAATATTGAAATATTTAATCGGTTATTAGTCAAGGCACATTACAAGGATTTGCTTTTCCATGAGTTAATATCATGCTATAATATTATCATATTATAAGTATTAGGTAGTATAAATCAATCAATAATGGTATTTTATGTTGATAAACAATATTATTATGATTCAAAAGAAAATTATTCAAATTTTCAAAAATTCGTAGAAAATAAAAGACCATACTTTAACAAAAGTTTCAAACACCAAAACTTTTCTAAAACCCCATTTTACAAAATGATTATTTTGAATTTGTTTTTAAAATATTATAGTAAAGTTTTAAATTTTCTATTTTTAAGTCCTCCTCCTCCTAAAAAAAATGTCCATAATAAATTGTAGCCCAGAGGTATACTAATTATTTAAAAAAATATATATCAAAAATATTAAATAAAAGAAAAATGTTGCATTTGTCGAATCTTCGAGGTGAACCCTGTATAATAATAAACCCTAATAATATCAATGTTTTTCATTTATTATACGTGACGCGGCGCTGTTTTTCATCCAGAAAATATTATTCAAATTCAGACTGCTGAATTGGCCGTATTCGTCACGGTTTTGTTGTGGTTTAAGGAGGTTCGGAGATTCTTTCGAGATGCGTCCCAAATAATGGTAAAATAATAATTTTACAATATAAATTATTCAATTTCTGAAATGAAATAAGTGACAAAATTAAGCGAATCTAGTTGATCTGAAGATAAAACCAGACAGCCTACGAGCATCTTTCCAAAGGGGTCCCATCAAATTATCGTTTTTACTTGATTACGTCATTAAAAAAAAAAAAAAATAAAACCTTAACAATTAAAACTACTTAAAAACACGACTTAACTAGACAAGTATTTTTATTCGTACAATAATATTTCATTAATTTTCACACTCGTAAAATACATAATAATTAGTATACAATAATATTCAAAATTATTTTCAGTGTAGTTTTCTTAATAACAAGAAAATCCGGAAAAAAACGTATGAAAAAAAGGAAAATTTACAACCTTAATAGTTTCATTATTTTCGGTTTTTTCTTTTGTTGTAATTCAATTCAAACCGTTCCGAACACGAATAAAATATAGATCGAATTTACGGTTCGAATTGTTTGACAGGGTTCGGAGAGGTTCGTGCCAAATGTTAGTAAAAATAATAATTGTTCAATTTCTTGGAATTATAAAAAAATATCAAACATAATTTTTTATAAAACATAAATTATTTTTACTCGTGTAATAATATTTCATTAATTTGAAAGCCCGTAAAATACATAATAATTTGTATACAAATATTCAAAATTATTTTCAGTGTAGTTTTCTTAATAATAACAAAATCCGGAAAAAAGGGAAAATGTACGGCCTTGATGGTTTTATTATTTTTGGTTTTGTTCTTATATTGTAATTCAATTCAAAATTATCTGTAGAAACCGACAATTTCCACAGAATACTTATGTTAGTCTTTACAAAATGTGGTAATATTTTGCCAATTTTTGAGCTATTTAAAAACATTTTATCTTTTCTAGCTTTGTAGTATTTATTTGATAGGTATTATGTAGATACGATTAAACACTGGGTTCATTATAGATTTACTTGGTGGTAAAAAAAATTAAAGTTGAGCTTAATGTATTAGTATTTTTAATAAAATTTTAAGAACAAATGTTGACGAAAATAGTAGAAATTATAGTATTTAAAACATGTATCAGTTACAGAAATTCGCTCGAAACCCCTTTTGTTATCATTATTACTTATCGTACAGATACAATTAAAATGTAAATTAAAACTGTTAAAACAATTAAAACTGTATGTATCCTACTTTCCGCTTTCAACAGTGGAAAACCAATTTCCAGTGTCAGCTGTATTTTTAATTAACTTTTAATATGAAAAATACAACGTAAATTATTGAATTTGACTACATTCTAGTGATTTTTATTTTTATTTTATTAATTTTTGGTGTTTGGTCGAGGTGCTGTTTCAGAGGATATTTCACATACTTGTTTAATGGGTTTTTATTGATTTAATTTTACAGTTCTAATTATAATAAAACGCACATCATATTTGCGTAATCGAATGCCGCAAATAGCAACAAGCGCCGTCTTATGACAATCGCAAGTCAAGAGCTAATGGCCTTATCTCGGGGAGATATTACGGATATTATAGGATATATATTGTGCCAGGTGCACAGCAAAGTAATTTTTTTTCTATTTAAATCTGTTTAGCCAATTAACTATAAACTATTATCTTCAATTTGTGTATAATAACATATATTATTGTACGCTATGCCATTCGATTTTATCTATTTTATCATTTGACTGAACATTATATAAAAAAAAATCTCGATTAAATACCCCCTGTAGTTTTACACTTAGTCGGACATATTTTACGTACCGTGCGATAATATTCGTCGTGGGACCCTGGAACTCCGTGCTCCTGATCTTTCCGGCTGGACGGCTCCTGTTGGGAGTATTGGCGTCGGAGGAGACTGTTGGACCGCTGAAGCACATTCTCCTTCTCTGCCGCGCTGTGCGCTCTCTCAAGCTTAGGTCTTTTATCTGACATCACCATCATGCACGGGGACGACACTTCAGACCGCCGGGACGAGTCTCCACTACTCCCAATGGCCATACCATGGTTAATCCATTCCCCAGACTTGCTAAGGAGCTCTTGTTTTTTCCGACACAAAATGCACACCCATATCACCTGCCACAAAAAATAAAATAATACGAGCTGACGTTAATATCAAAACCATTAAAAAAATATCAGACATAAATTTCAGAAAACCAGAAGGGACGCCTCGATTTAGGCGCATAATATTGTGTATAATTGTAATGTGATGATTGAAACGTATTTGGAAATATCAGAGTTATCCGACTTATACGGAGTAATTTTAGATTCTGTGTGGCGTAAAGATTTGGTTTTGGTTTTACAATGATGTTTATATTTTTTTCACATTTCTGTTTAGTTCTACTAGAAATTTTGTTCCAATTTTCAAGTGTAGCAATTTTTCTGAAAGGAAATATAACTAAGGTGGTACTTAAGGAAGGTCATTTTTTGATTTTCTCAAGATTTTTCACAATAAAAACCCGAGATAAAACGTAGGAAAAACGCGAAAATGTATGAAATGATTTATTTTCAAATCGTAAATATTACGACCTTTTAAAACATGTATAACCAAACTCTGCTCAAAATCGTTTTTGTTAGCAAAATAACCCTTTAAAAACACTTTGAAAGTAAAATTTGTAATTTGTAGTGGAAGTCATATAAAAAAAATACAGACATACATCGCATAATGGGTGGGCCACTGTTATAGGTGAGAAGTTGGATAGTATGTACACAACGATTCATCTTTGCTAACGAATAACGATTTTGAGCGAAGTTTGGTTATACATGTTTTAAAAGGTCGTAGTATGTAAATACTATAATAATACGGTTTGAAAATAATAAATTCCGTAAATTTTCCTGTTTTTTTTATATTTTTTTCTGGTTTTTCCTATTTATTATGAAAAATCTTGAGAAAATCAAAAAATTACCTCCCTAAAGTACCACCTCAGTCACTTTTACTTTCAGAAAAATGTCTACACTTAAAAATGTCTGGGAGAAAATTTGTTCATTGATAAATACATTTTAAAAATGACGTCCTAGGAAAATGGGGACGAGTGCAGCCGCTGCTATAGGTAATTTAATGTTATATTTTAATGATAAACCATTTTTTACGAAAAAACGATTCTGAGCGGAGTTCAGTTGATAATAAAGCTATGTCAAGAATATATATGTCATATTATAGTTAAAAAGGCTTTATATATTTCTTTAATAATATTTGTTTAATGTTATACTGATTTTTCCGGTTTTCTAGGAAAAGTCTTGAGCAAATCGAAAAATTACCTCTTTAAAGTACCTCTCTAGTAAAATTTCCTTTTAGAAACATGGCTAATATTAATAATTGGAGCAAAATTGTTGGTAGAAAAGTTGTCCACAGAAAAAAAAAACATTTTTGTAAAACTATAAGCTTTTTTGTTTTACTCAGAATCTAAAATAAACATCATTGTAAAACCGATACATTCCTCGCTCCGTTTAGAAACACGTAATTTTACATAGGTACCTACTATTTTTTGACTAATATAAACATAATTTTATGGTCTATCCAAAATTTTTAAATATTTAACACGAGGGTCATCATAAGTTCTATCTAATGGTAAAAAAAGAAAGTTGAGCGTTTTGTAGTAATTTTTGTGCCTTGTTATTGTTCAAATTTTGACAAAAATCGTGAAAATCATAGTATTTAAAAACATGTTTAACCGAATGTCGCTCAGAATCGTATTTCGTTAGCAATGGTTTATCGCTGTGTACAGATATAAATTAAATAACTCTATATATTCTACTTCTAAACTTCCCACCTACAATAGTGGCACACCCATCAACAGTATCAGCTATTTTTTATTTGTTACTAGCTGTATCTGTTTTTACTAACCACTTCCAAGATTAGAATTAACAAATATTTAATTTTTCTCCATATAAAACATATTTAAAACCTATGTAAAATAACGAATATTAATTTATAAATAAGCATATTACAAATTTATAAGGTTCCACATAGTGGTTGTACATTATTGGTAGGTATAGCTATAATAAGTTTATTTGATAATCTTTTGAATGCGCAGAAATTCTAAAGCGCTGTGGCGTGTTAAAAAAATAAACGCGCAATAGATGACGTCGTTGTCGGTAAAATATCGATTTAAACGCTGCGTGGGGCCAAGTATGGAAATCGGGTTAAGGCGGTTTAAAGCCATTCGTTTTTTCATACATTTAGACCAATAAGTTAAAGTAGAATAAACATACTTCTAGCATTCCAATTTTTATTTTGAATAACGATTTGACTTCATATACTTGTTCTCTGTGTTTTTCAGAAAAATATTTTTGTTTTATTTTTGTGATATATTAGTACAAGTTTATTTTCGGAATAAAAGTAAACCAACCATGAACTTAATTAAATTAACTAAATAAAAAAACGAATGAAGCAGTGGCATAGCGAGGAGAGGCGTTGTAGGTGTAGCAACATCCACTTCTCTTGACCGTATTTATTTATGACAAGTATGCGTAAATAATAAATTGGTTTAAGATTGATTATTTTGAGTTATTTTTTAAGCGAGGTATGAGTGTTTGAAATATCACAACTTAATAATATTTATATGTCGCTTTAAAATTAAAATATCGCAAAACGATCTGTACGTTGAACAGATAATGTTCTTAGCTTTAAGTTGCATAATACGTTGACTCATTTTAATATTAAAATTAACAGCGAAAAGTTATCCCTGCTGAACGTAAATTTGCTATGATGTTTGTAAAACGGAGACAACACGTGTGGGTATCACGTCCTCTTAGGTGTTTAACTAATAAATAGCGATAGTGAAAAATATTTGCCATTTTATAATAACACCATCCTTTTCCCCGGGAATTTCTATCCACGAACCTGAATCAGTGTTCAAAATTAAAATTGGACGAACTGTAGTAGGTAAATTTTACTCCAGCTTGTTGGTCTAAAACCTCATATGTCGCCCGTACTAACGGCATACCACTTTCCCTTAAACGGGGTTACGTTGGAAGGTATAGGAAGCAGATACCCATATTTGTATTGAATATTTGAAAAAAATTCGAATACTTTGTGGTCGGAGACACGTTGTCGGAATAAAAATATTTATACAGAGCGTTGCAGTAAATAATATCACTATGAGTATAACATTATATTTTATGTGCCACACCGATGCAGTTTTATTTTGACTTCCGGCCGCTAATCATGCTCATAACCGTGTGCGTTTTGTACGTGCCCCAGATAAACACCTCATCATGTAAAGACACCGCTGATTTTAACATTTAGTTGGAAAAATCATAATTTATCGATTCGAACAACATTCGAATATTCATATTCAAATAAATATACTGAGTAATCCCGTATTTAATATAATAATAATATGTCGTTATGGCACTTTATTTTGTGCAATCGCATACAATTTTTAAATACAAAAAACGCATTCAAGTAAAATAATGATAAAGTATCTACTTTATCATTAGATATCTTTGTGAGTTAATTTTAAAGATAAACACCCATGATAAAAATGAAAATTAGCCGAATTCAAAAAATTGTTTTTATTTTTTATTTCAATACAAGTATAATTAGTTTTTTCCAGTCGAAAATCGTATAGAAAGTTAAACTTCGGAAATGTTATCCTTTGTATTTTTCATGGAAAGTATTTTGTCTTTAAAATCGTTTAAATAGTTCGGTAAAAATTGTATCCGTTTCACGTGAACATTTTTTTAACAAATTAAAAATTATCAGTGAGACGTCCTTCACATATTTGACTCATGTATTCCTATATACCTTTACGACATAAAGTCATTTTATAATAATTTATTATGCTTTTAATTAAATTAACACGACTACATAATTGTATTTTTACAAAGAGCCATCCGAGATGAAATTAGAAATTTTTTTTAGAGAAAGACTTAGTAAACTATAATATATGGACTGGGTTATGAGTAAGGCTGAAATTTATATGTGATAACAAATTTCAAAATATGTTAATATAAACTTATAATCTTAAAACTTAATAAAAACCTTGATTAAATTCTCACTTAGTTTTCCATAATTCTATCTAGTATCTATACTTTATCGGTAAAGCTTTGTATTATATTTATATTTAATTTCGTAATATTCTGGGTTTACCAAACTGATATAAAATACTTGGTTAGGTACAGTATCTTCTGTTAATAATTATTGTTGAGTTTAATATATCTTTTTCTGCTGTTCAACTTTCGTTCTTACTCAGTCTTTCGTATACCAACGTGATTAGCTGTTCATGTTTATACTGAATGGGAAAAATATTCTAAGTGAAAAACAGAAGAATTTGAAAATATTTGACAGTTATAAGTTCTGTTTTCATAAATTTTCGGCTAATAATATTCAACGTTGGAAATGTACCGTGCAAACGTGTAAAGCTAAACAAGAGTTACATATAAGACCAGCTAAATTAATGCACCAACATTTAAAAGTAAAAACTAATATCAGTGTTAAAAATACATTAACAATTACAGATGGTTTAGTATTTATTTAATAACCCCTGATTAAAATACACGAATTGCATCCCTAAAAATCGAGGACGCAATTCGTGTACACCTTTTTTACGGGACACAACTCATGTGCTCCCAATTCACCTACAGCCAAATTTAATATATTTCTTTAGACAACGATTATTTATTGCTAACGAAAAATCAGCGGAAGCTCGGTCAATAGTATTGCTTTTTCATCAATATGCATTATAACAATAACAATAACAATTGTTTAAAAAAAATTAAAAGATTAAAATAATAACAAACAATAAATAAAAACGGTTGCCAATGACAATCTTATTTTAAATCTTTTAAACTTTTTAAACCTAAAGAACCAGTTTTTCCTCATTACCTCGAACATTAATGAGAATTTCAAAAAATTACCTTTCTGAAGTACTAACTAGAGCCAAAATGCAACAAAATAGGTCTCTTATCATGTTTCATTAAAGCAAGATTTCTAGGAGAAAAGTTGTTTAAGGACAGTAAAAAAAAAAATTAAAAAATAAATATCATAGTAAAACTAATAATATATTACTCGTTTCACTCGGAATTTGAAAAACTGTATTTGCGTGAATATTGCCGTTTCTTTTAGTTATTAAAAAAAAAAAAGAGAAAATGGATCTTTTCAATGCGACAACAACAAAATAAATATAAAATTGTCTACCTCTAACGGCGCAAAAACCGCATGAGAAATCGACAATCAACGCAAATATTCTGATCGAAAAGCATTGTAATCTGTGCATAAAAGCGGGTAGGGAAATGTGTAATTTTTTAAGTAAAACCAGTGTACGTAGGTAAAAAACGTGGCTCGGATTTGTCGCGAGACACGTTCGAAAAAAAAAAAAAAACGTTCGATGCTTTAAAATCGCGTTACAGTAATATACATATGCTCCGTATATAACGTACGTGTATATAGGAAGTAAATAATGTACATACATATGTATCGAGAGAAAAAACACCGTAAAACACGGGACCAAAGAGGTTATTAGGTCGTAACAATTTTACGAACGCGAATTTTATGCCGTCTCGCTCCGAGTGCTAATCGTTAAACGCACGCGCCTAGTTTTCACCGGAATAAACGCGATTCTAATAGTCTCTAAGCACACAATCCAGGCGTGCAGGCAGTACACACTGTAATATAATAGCGACAGAGGGCACACACAATCAAATCGTTGATTTAAAAAATATTATATTTCCGTTATAAAGGTGGGTATACCTATACGCAGTGTATACGATATTGCACGAGCACGCGCACACGAGCCACCCCATAACATTATATAGGTTAACGGAGAAGAGGGGTTTATGCTAGCGAGAGGTTTTAGCGTTTCGAGTCGGGTTCTCGACTAACAAATTATGATATAGATAACGAAAACGATATCGACTCGTCCGTGTTCGCGAGTCGCGTTTTACATTTTCACTGTGATATACCTGATGATAAATTTTTAATTCTAAACCGGTCGTACAATACACTTATCAGTTATCATATTACTCCAGGCCATGCGTTTTGTTCATTTATTTATTTACTATAATAATAGAAAGATTTGTATGTTAAATCCACGGTTTATCGAGATAATTGGTACACAATGTGAGCCACTAACAAAGTTTCACGTCAAAAATATGGAAAAACCTAATGTAGCCTAACCCGACCTACAAACAGATTATAAAAATGATAATTTATAATCTTTTTTACACGAGGAAAACTATAATAATGCCTGTGAAAACACATATTAGTTTTAACTTTAGCAAATTATTTGTTTCGTTACTTATTATTCAACTTTACACTTCAATACACATTCTTCATATTTTGCTATTTTCTTATAATTATATTGTAATTCATTTATCAATGTTACATAAATGCGTAAGCTGATGATGGAATATCTCGTAACTAGTAGTTATGAAACATAAACTTTAACACTTTCGAATCAATGTATTCACGTTTTATTTAATAAATATACGTATAAATAAAGTACTTCAAACCCTTGTGATCGATGGTACCCCACACTGTTTGCTTTTATCAAATTCAAAATGTTGTATCACAATATAAATGAAGGGATAATATAGGATTGTAGTGGGGGATGAACTGGGATCACTGGACTAGTGAAATGGTTATGAAAATCGTAAACTATAAAGAAAGACGTTTAAAATAACTATGGATAGCCGAATTTATTATAACAGTCCCATATACTGATTATGAAGTTTAGCGGTTATCATGATCGCCCGGAAGGGGGGGGGGGAAGGACGAGCAATTTTTCACCGCCCCCCCCCCTCTCTGGACTTTAATATTTCAAATATAATTTTAATAATTTTATTTTAAGTACTTTTGATGTTTAGTTATATTATGCCTCTCCCCGATAAATTTCCTGCTGGCACCCTATGTATTACTCGTAATAAGACTAATTTTATTGATTAACTCATGAAATATATTTGTTTGTGCTATAAATTATGGGATAATATAGATAAGACTGTTTGAGATCAATGTCAAATAGTTTTCATATTAGCGCATTTGTTTATCAAAAAATTCATGGCACAAACAAACATGGGCTAATCAATCAAATTTGCCTACTTAGCATATGGTTGTCAGACTTTTCATTTACTCATAGAGTCGGCTATCAATTTGTCTAATCGTCTCGTTGTTATCTACGAAAGAGTTAGGGTTGGCAGCTGCCTCCCCAGATTTTTAGAGAAAAGTAACTTACAAGTAAATTGAAAAATACTTTGGGTTTTCTACGAACGACTACTCACAGCCAACAATTTTTTAATTGGTTGTATTTTTTATTTTTTTGTTGTGTTATACCATATACATAATACCTATATAAAAATCAAAAATTAGAAATTTATTAGTCTTGTGTGTTAATAAATGGTAATAATAATCAGCATAAGGTTACGATTTTAACTTTTAACACCGGGATAAAATCATTTCGAAGAATGCAAAATTGATAGGTGGTAATAATATCATATCGCGATAAGAGAGTTTCATACTGAAAATTCACAATCTGCTTATCTGCCCCTGATTTCACGGAGATCTGTACACGCCTACGGTTATCTCTAAAATAAAATTCGAATTAGATTCAGTTTTTCGTGGACAAATGGATGACGCTGTATTGCGTTTTATATTATCAATCAAATGTTAATATTCTGTCAAAATTTAACCGCAGTTCTTGTCTCGAAAACGATGAATACTAAAAGCTCGCTGTACCAGTGTGAATCGCCCTTTATTCATGCGATCAAAAATATTAGCGTCGAACAAACACGTCGTCGTTATTGTTCCGCCGCTGCCACCACCGCCGCCGTAGTCTCTCGATCGACCGCGTGTACCGTATACCGGGTGGTGTGTACGTGTAGGTTTTGCGCAACACTGGCACACCTACATTGTTATCATCTTATTGTTATCACACATTGTATGTATGAAATATCGCGAAATAGACGGGAAAATGTGGATTGCACAAACGGATGTGAAATGCACATTGTGCATATTCCCAAAGATGGTCCAGCACGACGCACGACGATTCGTTTTAGAGCATCGCATAATCATCGATATACTGATGCCTATTACAGAATTTTTTTTTGGACATTTCTCAATTATTTTATTGGTTTTCGGGCGAAAACATAATTATTTTTTAATGTGAATGAAAGGAGGGAGGGGGAAGGCTGTGTTTTTTACCCGATTTCGTTATCACCGGTAATTAACACTGATTATATCTATACAATAGTATATCGGTACTTCATCATTTATTTATTAATATATATATATATGCTGGCATGACCCTTTAAACAGCAAATTACATTTGCTTATAAATAGTAGATTATACATTACTTAAACTATGCATTTTTTAGGTAATTCGATAATACGTTCGGGCAATGAGTACGATATGGGGAATCGGGTCAACTGGATGTTGAATACGAGGGTGGTCAACACCAAATAGAGAGCGACGGAAAAGAAGAAAATAACTATTAATATTCAGTCAAACTAAAAGGCCCTTCTTTTATCCTCTGTCCTTATTGGCAATTATCAACAATCCTTGTTAACAAACATCTAGTAGACTCATTTTTCATCAAACTGATTGTGCTAATAGGGTTACAAAAATAGATTTAGGAATGAGTGGAAAACTGTATGGGGAACTTTAAAATTAGCCAGTGAAAGCAACGGTGGAAAATCTGTTTTGTTGAACAAAAAATTGTGTACGTGAAAACTGTCAAATAGTCTAATTTAATATATTATTATCGATATTTGAGTTATTTTCGTTTCTCATTTCGTATTATGATCTCATAATATAAATCATAACAATATAGGTATGAGATTTTATGAAATTTTACAACCATTATTATGATACCTGGTATTAAGATTAAACCCATATTCTTTTGTGGTGGGTCTCGCCCTTGTCGCTTGTTATAATGTACCGGCATCTTCTCCTATATTATATTATATTATATTTTCCGTCCCACATTTGCCCGAAATTCCGAGACCGTCACGGATGCTCGCGCGAGCGTCTGACGTGCCGTTATATACCAGCGAGCTATAGGTGCCCGGGGAAACATTTGGAAAAAAACAAAATAATAATAATAATCGCACTATTGTAAAAAAAAAAAAAAAAAAAAAAAAAAAANCGTCGTCTGGAAAATTGAAAAACAAATATCTGTACAAAGTTAGTAAACTAACGGCGTCGTCGTAGTCGTCGGCGCCTCGGCGTGCGCTCAGTCCACCGCCGTCGCTGCCGCCGCCGCCGCACACGATCAATAAAACATACGTCATGTCTCGGAATCCGTGACGTCATTACTCCCACCCAAAAAGGGGCGGATGATTTTGAGTTGAATGCACCCTACGCGAACCTTCCACGTATATTATATCCGATATCGTACTTACATATTATTATTATACATACACTATATATTATATCTATGTGTATACTCGGGCCGCGCTATTCGCCGGGACCGTCGTCGCCGGCGGCTATGTTTTTATATATTAAAGCAATACTTGGCGGCGATATCAGAAAACTTTAAATTAATAGAAAACGACGCGCACACTTTTTTCTTTTTCATTCGTCCTTTTTCCCATCTTTCTCGTCTTTTTTCCTACTCCTTTGTGTATATACATTACGTATGTGTACGTATGGACGCCAGGATAAAAAAACGCGCGCGCTCGCACACACACACACACACACACACCCATATTATATATATATATATATATATATATATGTATATTACATAAAAAATATATATATACCGTGAACCTTTGAACAGCGGGCGCCCTCGGTCGCCGAAGTTTTGTCCGCTATCCAGAGATGTCCGTTATTTAGAGGGATATATTTTTGAAATTCATAAAGGATAATGTGTAAAATGAAAACATTTTTGCTATTTCAAACTAAATTATAATGTTATTATCGTCGTTAGTCGTCGTGTTCTTATCATATCGTACGATGAATTTGTCGAACGAGTTAATTACCGTTAAACCTAATGCTGTCGCCGTTTCGTCATTATTTTTAATGATAATCCACTGTAATAGGTGTCCACTATTCGTGTAATCTTTTCGAATTCGTTATTGTTAATCCATTATTACGAGCTTAAATCATATACTATGGATAGAACTACTGCATGATAAACGCGTACTACGAGTTGAAGACATCATTATGGACGAGTGCTAAGGGGACTAATGTCTATTGCGCATGCGTATCTGAACTCATCGCATATTTATCGTATAATCATTATAATACTACCAGACAGTGATGATAAATACGTCATACATGAATATGTGAATTCGACCAAATGCGCGTGACATAAATTTTGCGCATGCGCATTTGTCCCAACACTCCTTAGTTTGTTTGGTTCAAATATTTAATCAATAACTCTATTCGTAGTACATGATCTAAAATTATAAGTGCATACTAATGCAAATGCGTTTTAGTACTGACATTTTGTCACTATTTCTAAATTGAGATTAAAATAGTATCCGCTATTAGGAGTTGTCCGTCAGTGGAGGTTTCACTGTATATTGTATTTAAGTATGGAATTCGAGCGGCGAAAACGCTCATGATATTATAACACACGCACCGCGCCACACCGCACCTCTCGTCATTTCTACGCCACCGTCACTCCGATCTGCACCGACCCCGGCGATGGCCGGTGCAGTACAGGCGTTCTAAAACAAACATCAATTTACACGTGCCTATTATTATTATTACTATCGCGTATAATAAAATAGGTAATGTTTTTGTTTACACTTTTTTTTTTTTACAACCTAATAACATAATACGACACAAACCCGAACGAACGAGACTTGAATAACGATTATTCAGCGGAAAACGTGTCAATTTAATTAGGTATATCTGTATAAGACAGGACATTTTTGTTTATAAAAGTTTTCTGCGTCTAAATGGATACACAATTACCTACAGTCTATTGGGCACCCAGTAGTGTAGTGATGGGATTATCTATTATTTTTGTGAACTTTTTCCATTCCAAACAAGTACGGTTACAGGAAAGTACTCGAAAAAACTCGTTACATAAATACAGGTTTTTGTTAGTTACACGTCATGTAATCGAACTCATCTCGTCTCTCTCGGTCCGCAGTCCATACAGTTACAATATTGCTACTGCCGCAATGCGTACTACGTAAGTTTTAGATACGTACCAAGTGAATTAGTCTTATACATTTTTCTGATCGAATTTATAAAGAGCAACAAATATATGTATACTGACGAATTTTCACTAATTCATTAATTGAATAAAATATTTGATCAAAATTATTTAGCAAACCTACTCATCATATTGTTTATTGGATCGAGTAACAGCAAAAACGTAATTCACCAACAGCACTCTATTGAAGCATTTATGACAAGATTCCCTCAACGCCGTTACTACTTTTTCGGTTAAAATAAAATTCTTCGAAATTTTCACACCACACCTGATATCTTGAAAGATGCTGATTTTCCACTAGCTATAAATAATAGTGTCTACGTCGTTTGTTTCTAGATTCTGAACATTTTGTCCGAAATTATGATTTCTAGGTTCCACGCGGGGAAAAAAAATTGTAATTATAGTTAAACAAGTTAAACGAACTTCACGGTTTTTAAATTTTTCTTCGTATTCGTTTTAATTTTAACATTCTTTCTTTAAATTAAATCTTACTTTCTTGATTTCCCGTTTACAGCAGTAGCCTACCCACTGTGCAACGTATGTACGGGACTCTTTATTTTTCGTTTACATTCCATAATACGAGAACTATACACTAGAAATTCGTTTGATTGTACCAGTATATGCGAATAATTATACCGATAAACCGAAATTTTTTACTCCAGTATATCAAGCAATTTCTTTGACTTGGTACAAAACCTAAATATCCACTCCATAATCCATATTGTCACATAACAGTTACTGTAGTGTTATCCTTTTTTAATTAGTTAAATCTACTAACTATACATTTTAGTGATATAGTTATTTACAATAGAATCGTAGGTATTGATATATATATTAATATTAGGTATATATTATTTAATATAAATTGATAAGTTTATAAAATGTTTTTTCTATTCAAAAATTAAACTAGGAATAAAAAGAAGAGATCGTGAAACCAAAACTTAACAATCAAATCAAAAATAAAATTTGAATCGTATCGTAAATAATAGCAAACAGTAGAGTATTTGATAATAGGTTATGTTTTGAAGAGACGAAGATAATAGAAAAAAAGGGGATTATAATGATGGCAATAAATTGACCCATGTCATGAGGTGGATCAAAAAATCAATACCAGTAGGTATTACATTCATTTTGAGTCGAAATCGCACACAAAATTCTTTATTTTTTACCGGTATGCTTTTTAAGAAGAAATGTATACTGATGGTGACCAAATTAATTTCTAGACAATTTGGGAACGTTCAAATGGAATTAACCAAAGCGAATAAAATCTCGTATAATATGTAGTACAGGTTGGCTAAAAATCAGTTGCCCGATTTACACATTTTTGAGTAATTTATAGACATTTTAATTTTGCCAGTTTTTTGCTTGGTAAATACTCTATAGAAACTAATAGTAAAAACAAACAAAATTGCTTGAACATTTTATAGGAAGTGCATTATAAATCCTACTTAGTGGTCAAAAAAAAAAAAAAATGAGGATAATGTATTAATTTTTTTGTGTAAGAGTTTAACGAAAATCGTTAATTAATTAATTAATTTTTAGTCATGTTAATTATTATCATACATATAAAATATACTTAGTAGATACTATAGTAATTATCTATAGATGTTGCATAAATATTATTAAAAAAAAAAAAGATACCAATGACTATTATAATATTTCAGTCCATTATATTCCAATATCTAGGTTATAAACACGACCATCGGCATATTAATATATTATCAATAGTTTTTATAGTTAAGCAGAAAAACTGCTAAGAAAGCAGTGCTATAATAAAACTTTTATATTAATACACATGCCTAATGGCTTAAATATTTTTAATAGTTTCATATTTTAGATTCTGAGTAAAACAAAGAAACTTATGGTTTTACAAAGATGTTTATTTTTTTTTTCCTATGGACAACTTTTCTTCAAGGAATTTTAGCTGTAATTGACAATGATAGCACTTTTTTTGGAAAAAAATCCCACTGGGAAGGTACTTAAAGGAGATCATTTTTTTCATGATTTTCCCAGGCGTCATCAAATGTGAAAAACCAAAAAAAACCGAGGAAAAACGTGAAAATCGGTACATTAAACAAATATTATTGAATAAAATATATAAGATCTATTTAATTATTTTACCATAATATAACATATATATTGTTGCCAAAGCATCACTGTAGACTGAACTCTGCTCAGAATCGTCTTTTCGTTAGCAATGGTTTATCGTTGCTTACAGGTATACATTAAATTACCTTTAACAGTAGCTGCATACCTGTATCCGACCCCATTATCCTAGGACATATAACCGATATAAGCTTATTTGTAAACCATAGATTGATCGGATGCTAATATTTCAGATAAAAAAAAATCAGTTGTTACTACCTCGTGTACATAAATTTTGTCTTTTACTATTATGACACGTAAAAATATATGGATAATAGTATCCATATAACATTTAGGTTTCCTTTAAATGAAAAAAATAAAAAGTTTTAAAATATTGCCAAAAAAAAAAAAAATAGCTATGTATATAATATATAATCATATATTAACTTTGTAATTTGTACCTAACTATCTACTTCAAAAATATCAATGTGTATACCAATAAGTACATTTTGTAAATTTGTGTATATGACTATCAACAAAACGAAATACAGTTCACCCCACCCCTCATAAGAAAAAACTGAGCAAGCCACTGTTTGACAGCCCCTGGATACCATCATATGTTACATATAGACGTATACAGCAAGAGCTCGTTTAACAGGAAGGAAACGAGACGCCGAAGATTATATCTGAAACATATATCTAGGTATAGTACATTTCCCATCTTTCACAATGATTTACATGTATAAAGCGTTCATATTATACTAGAGTATTATGTTGTCAGATTTTGAATACGGTGCAAATAACTAGGTCAAAGGGTAACTGATTCTATATATACGTATAAACTTGTATGTAAGCCGTGTGATCGGACGTCTATCACAAACACACGTGCGCACGCACACAATACCATCGATATCAATGTTATATTGCCCCGTGTTTAGAAAAAGAAATAATAATGTCCCCGATTAGGGCACACTCTCGCAGACTGTCGGTATAATTACATACCTATACTATTAAAATAATAAATTTCCTCCCCGCTCTTTTAGAAATCAACCCACATTAAATACTGATTACCATCACCAAAAATTACAACCTCAATCGCACCGTTCAACCAAGTATTGTATCCCTGTAATCGTACACAAAATTACTATTAAAACTTTCGTAGTTCATCTTCACTTTTTACCAAAATTAAATCTCTAACTTAATGAACTATTGTACGAGTAGTCATTATTGCTATTCGTGTTGTTTTGCATTGGATTGTGTTACATATTGTAACTATTGTAAAAATACTACTGTATTGTTGCTCCTCGGGGCGTTATTAGTAATAAATAAATAAATAAATATTATATAGCAATATTATAATGGATCGTCGTATAATAAAATAATTGTTAAATCGAAATAATCATATTCTTATATAGATATACAATCATTTATTTTTTTTATTTTTTTTTTAATGAGGGTATAAACACATCTCCTACCGCCCCCCAGCACCGCGATGCTAAAAATATAATATTCCCGTGTTGCACAAACGAATAGTGACGTTCGCGTCGCAATTTACTATTGTTACTCACGTGCAGATATAATTTCATATACGTCACGTCCGATATATTATTATGGTATCGAAAATAATAGCGAACAAAAACTGCAGACGACACTCGTCCCGAAATCGAATAAAACAATCAAACCGCTATTCAATAAACGGACGATTTACCAAAAACGTTCATTTTAAAACTACCTAATTATTGTTTAAACACGAAATATCACACGATTGAAATTTTTCAGCATTTTTCGTGAATTTCAAATTGCACAAGAAAGTTATGTCAATAATACATTTTACTTTGATGATAATTGATAACACTTTATTACTTTATCACACCTCGAAAATACGAATTTTTATATTTTTTTGGCAATATTTTGAAACAATTTTTAAAAAAAAAACCTATTGTTAAACATATAAACATAATGTTCGAAGCCGAATATTGATATTTCAATTTCCATATGAGAGCTAACGTTTAAATTTAAACTTAAGACAAAAATAATAATTTTTGGGCTTAAGCGAAAGTAAAAACGATCAATTGTCTAACATACAAATTTTACAAAATCTCCAATACTTTTCCGAAAAGTTGCTTTTAGATTCTGAACTGAGCAGGTAATGTATTGGTTTTACAATGATAGGTTTCTTCAACTTTTTTATCTGTTAATAACTTTTCTACGAGAAGTTTTGCTCTGATTTTCAAATGTACTACTTTTTCTGAAAGTAAATTTAACCGGGATGGTACTTTAGGGAGGCAACTTTTAAATTTTCAAGGGGTTTTCATAATAATGGGGAAAATTTACGATACGTATTATTATCAAATCGTAAATATCGTAAACATTAGCAATGATTAATCGTTACGTACAGATATACATTAAATTTCCCCTCTATCTTCCTAATTTCTCACCTACAATAGTGTGCCACCCATTTTACGAAATATGTCCATTTGTTTTTGTTATTTGTTCTTTGTAAAAACTTTGGCGAGTAAAACATTCTAAATCATTCACATTATACCAACATTAAAAGACACATATTTTATGCCTGGTGGTATTTTATTTGAACAAATGAAAAATTTAAAAACTTTCAAAAAAAAATAACAAAACATCGATATTCAGCTTTATTTATGAGTTACGCCTTGGCTACAATTGAAAAAAACATGACTAATACCCTTACCAATTAATATTTATAGGTAATAATATCCTTACCAATTCACCGAATTCCGCTCAGAATGGTTTTCCGTTTATAGTGATTTATCTTTGTTTTCAATACTACGTAAACTAATAAATTACCGTAAACCTTTCCGACTTCCAACCAACAACTATGGCCTACCCACTGTGCGAAGTGTGTCCGGATTTTTATTTATTTTTTTTACTGTACACATATTCAGTAATAATTTATGTGGACCGCTTTAAACGAAAACATGAATTCATACCTATATACCTGTATCGATAAAATATGTACATACCTATGTCGTATGCGGTTAGGTTACATAGATAAGTAAATAATAATTAAATATTTCAATTTAAAATATAGTTCCATTGTATACTTATTATACCGTTGACCATGAATTTCATTTATATTACTGTTATGCTCCAATATCATGCATATTTAACATGCGGTAAAAATACGAAATTTGAATAAATGTATGTATACTGTATTATATAATAGGCAATGATTAAATTGGCGAGGGGCGAAAAGGTACGAAGGCCCCTTCTTACTTAAAGTAAAATTATCCCTACTTTTTAGTTTAAATCATTGAAGTCCAGTGAGGAAGAAATAAGGACTTCAGTTAATATCACTGAGATATGTTTAAAACTTGAATTAGTATTATTACTAATAAATTCCAATTAAATACACATTAGATTATAAGCATAATCAGACTCTATTTTACTTTATTTTTGCTGAACGAATGTAGGATAATATTATTGAAAGGAGTGCAGTTTATTTTTAAACGCTATTTTTTTGAAAAAAATATGTACGGGAGAAAAAAATTTTAAAATCTTGGAAACAAGGCCTCGGGAACTCCTCTCAATTTTTGATAAATATGTTCCCCTCCGAAGTTTTTCCCATTTTAACCACTGATAGTAGGTAAGTACATGAGGAAGGTAACGTCTATGAAATATACAAATTACAAGAGCGTTTAAAAAATATAGGCGTTTGTTCTTTTACATTATTTAATATTGTAGGTAGGTACTACAAGCGTTTTTAATTATCTTGAAAATTAGAGAATGATTGTTTTTTTTTCTCGAGACAAATTATAATTAGAAAAATATGTTAAACAAGACGTCGTTATCAAATTTTTTTTTTAAATAAATAATAATAATTGTTTTAATTATAAATAATATCTCAAAACGGCTGTGGCGTGACCGATCTTTTGAACAGACAGACGCTTTGTATTAAAAAATAATATAAAAAAAATTCTAAGCGTCCTTTTTTCGTTTTATATTATATAGCTAAAATAATATGTAAGTACGCGCTATGTGTACGCGATATTCCGTCCATAGTATTAAAAATAGTTGCCCTCGTTTTAAAATCAATATAACCACAGTAGGTATACGTTTTTGTGCGGTAAACACTTTTCCCCCTCATTATTATCTACGCGTGAAAAAAAAAACGATTTCAAACACAATTTCTTCAGATATCGATTCAAGTACGAATAATAATAATACATAAAATGCAGTATTATATTATTAGACGAACGAGAACCAAGTGCATGATATCAAAAACAAAAGAGTACACTGTAGGGTAATTTAAAAGAAAAATATTTATAATCCATCTAAACGAAAATGTCGAGTAAAATTAATTTTGGTTTTATTTTGTAGTTATCATGGGATATTATTGCCATTTTCACGTGCACCGTAAACCCGTCATTACAAAATAGATTTTCAAAATACAGCAACCCCTCCCTTTTTCAAACAATATTCAAAAGTAAAGCATATGGTTTGTTGATATACACTGATTATTTTAATCTGTAATAACTCGTCATAAACGGTGTACTAAAATCCGATATTAGTGTTATATGCATGATACGTTTAGAAAAATATTATTTTTTGTCAAATCTATGTTGAAAAGGAGAATTACAGTTCAATTGATTCTATATTATATAATATAATTACAGTAATTAATATTTTAGCAAGGAACAAAATATCGGTAAGATTCTTCGATACGAGTTATTATCCGCAAAATCATATAGAAAAAAAAAAAACAAACAAGGCGTGCGATTTTTAGTTACACAATTAGTCATACCTATAAAAGTGTGTGTTTAAACACTTAATTACACTGAACTGCAGCAAGTAACCAGTAGCAGGCTAACATTTACAATCGGCGTTTTAAATTCAAAGGGACTTAATGTAAGAGGTGTCTACTGCAGGATTTTAGTTTATTGTACTATTTAATTTCTAAATTGAATACTTTAAGGGTCCTGCTCGTAATTTTTAGGGTTGTTAAATTATAAATAAATAATTCAATCGATTTTAATTTGTACATTAAAGGGACTGCACACTATCTGTTTTTTTTTTCGGAATGAGGAAAGAGAAATATTTCCAACAATGCGCATTAAACTTCGATTTTCGATTATGTAACCAAAACCGACAAAATAAAAAAATAACACAAAATTGGTTATATTCTTATTTTTAAGTGTAATTCAAAAAAACCCAAGTCCAATGCGCCCTGTAAGATGATCGAATCGATTTGCTTTACAAGTCATGAGCAAGTTTTTCCTGTTAAGTGTATTTTTGAGCCTACAAACACATTACCGCGCTTTTAAGACTACTAAAAAGGGACACTATACACAATATACATACATATTTTTTTGTGCCAGTCTTACAAACGCCCGATTTAACAAATTTTCGTTCAGCAAAACCAATTTTCGGCTGTTAGTTTTAATATTAGACATTTAGAGTGTCTTAATTTATTAAACTAAAATCGATTAAACTTCAAGAACATTATCAATGTTTTACGTTTTTTTTTTTTCTCGGTTTTTGAATTTTCTAGCGAGGTATGAATATGCGATATTTGAAACATCACATTTTAAAAATACCTATATCTCGTTAATGTTCATACCCTTTAAGTTTTATTATAGATCCAATTCCTTCTATAATATACCAAAACTAAAAACACAACATTTTTGCTGCTGAATACAAATTCGTTATGCCTTGCGTTTGTAAAACGACAAATGCGTGTGAATCGTCCTGTTAAAACGGTTATGGTTACTTTTGTTTTCTAATTGTTCGTTTTAACTACACAGTTTTTTATTCGTCCGTCGGTTACTATAATTATTATATGTACATTGTATAACATATTTATTACATAAATATATGATTAAAAAAAATATATAAAAACATTAAACCCATATTCGTTTTATTTAGGCGACGGTTGGTCTTATCGAATTTCGGAAGGAAATTATTTTTTAAAAAAATATGTAAATGTATACTTTTTTATTTTATATTTTATAGAAACCGACTAAAAAAAAAAACAAAAATACTAACTTTACTCGAACGCAGGGTAACCTTGCCGCCGCACCTGGCACAACATCTGATACCGCAATAGTTGCACAGGTGTCCAACACCATCGGCGAATTTAGTCTTCAGGCATATATGACAAGTTGCGTCCAACTCTACGCCTGCCTTTTTTTGCTGTTCGCTGCGTTGCCGGATTTTCTCTTCCAACATAATCACTTCCTCTTGCTTTCGCCTGCGTACAAAAAAACCCACCCCAAACAAATTATTATAACGGACTATTATTTATATTAATAATTTTGTATTTATTAACCCCTTTTTTAAATGTTATTTCGGGAAAACTTCACTTGAATAATATCCCCCCCCCTTGGGTGTGATAAGACGAAAAGACGGTATACGATTTTCAATTCGATTTCAATATAGGTTCGTTGGCAGAGCGATAAAAAAAAATTAACCTAAAACGTAACAATAATTTCCAAAAATCTATAAAATAATAATAATAATAATAATTTATATATTTTGCAACAAAAAAGTACAAAATAAAATAAACAAGTTGCAAGCTCATTCAATAAGCATTTGCTCGAGACAGGTATCTAAATGTAAATCTATGTCAAAATTTCGTTCATCACTATTTACCTACTGTTAAGACCGGAATGAAAAGAACCCCCTATCGACCCCCAAAACTTCTGTCACCAAACTGTTTTTTCGTCTGTATAAAATATTTATGTAAAACACACACAGTTTGTGCCAAGCCAATGACACACAATGTTCACGAAAACTACGTTCATCATCAATATGGGTAATATTTTAACGCACGTGACGAAATAACGTTATATATATATAATTAATTCTTTCACTTATTTAGAAAAAAAAAATCAATTTTTATATAAAATTTATTAAAACCTATTGTTGAATATTGTAAAATATCTAAGTGTTATGTTTTAATGGCGCGCAGTATAAAATGCATTTATAATTACTTATAATACCTAGCAAATAACGATATGTACCCTTTTAAACATTTAAAAAGTAGTGTTCAGCTGGAGACGTTTTGGAAAGGGGAAGACTAGTTTAAACTACACCGTTAAAACAAAATAAGTTATTATAAAATTGTTTAATAACCATCTAACTGTAAATAGCTACCTACAACTCTTTCTACTCTATAAATTATATCTTTACTTATAAGTTAAAAAAATTAAAAACGCATAAAACCAAAGCTTCTGTGATCTATTTTTGTTGATTTCTTAATTACCTACCTTGCAATGTAGGCATATGACTACAAAGAAAACATATACGACTATAATACTATTACTACTGTAGTCAGAATCGTATTTTGATTTGGATATTTAGATCGAAAAATCGTTTAGAATCGACAACAGTTACAAATTTATTTATGACTTTTGAGTGGTCTTGATATCTCGACAGTAGACAATTCTATAATAGAATCTACAGAATAGATGGGTCATTGTTTGTAATGGAATTTCAGATTGTGTTACTATGCTGTTAAATAATATATGCATGACCCTGAGAAGCGGATCCAGGACAAGATAATAGAGGGAGGGTGTGGCGATTTTGAAAATGCATATAAGACACACGATGATTAAAATCTAGCGAAGATTATTATTAGTATATAATTAATTTTGTTTTTTAAATGTACGTACAATTGTAAACCCCGCCACAAGTTTAATCTAAATATTAATCTAATACAATTCAATAATATTTATCTAAATATTTATAGAATTACAATTTATATTGAAGCTTATAAAAATAATAATACCTTATTGTTCGGAAGTAAATGGACAGGCGGGAATAGATCCCCATCCTTGTCCCCCCTGGATCCCTGCCACCACTGAACCCAATTAAAATATGGTGTCTATCAAAAATGATCATAGTTGGTACAATATACCTAATCGGTTTTATCGCAGTTTGTGTAGTATTCATTTTTTTCTGTCACAGTTTACACATCGACTTTAAGAAAAAAAGTTAATCTTGTGACAATTTACATCCGTACCTTCGCACCGTAATTTGGCGAATTTGGATGGTATACGGATGGTATTAGGATGTAGAGAGTAATTTAATTTATATACCGAACGCAACAATAAATCATTGCAATCCAAATACGATTCTCAATGGAGTAGTAGGCGATAGCATAGTACGAGGAATTTTTCCTTTGTTGCCATATGCTGACTAAAAAAGTTAAAGTTAACTTTGTCGCAATTTACCAGATTTCTCATTTTTTTCGAAATTGTTATTTGGCGACCGTTCCGAACTGTACTTATAAGGTATGAATACATTATTGAAATTTAAAAAAAAATAATTCAAGCTGTACAAAGGAATAATGACGTTGCAGAAGTGCACGCTGACGTCAGTCGGCTGATCGCGTTTTCCCTTATGGCCAGCGTCGGTTTAAAGAAGGGGGCGAGTGGGCGAGTGGGTGGGTGGACGGGCGGGTGATTTCTGCGGATGTTCGGTATCGATGTAAACGTTTATAGTGTATACATAGCACAATGATACGTCCAAATGAAAAAAGTTTAAATTGTCCGAAAAATTACTCGAAACTTCGCATACTATATTAATATCCTAAACATTGAGATAATGTGTGTTTTTGCGTGATATGTGTGTGCGTGTGTTTGTGTGTGTGCGTGTGTTTGTGTGTGTGCGCGCGTGTGTGATGTGACGAAAAAATGGGCGATCCTGCGGGGAGGAGAGGTCCGTCGTGCAGCAGACGAGCGGCCGGCCGACGGCGGCGGCAGCGGCGGCGGCAGCGGCTGCATTATATTCGCAGAGCACAATAAGCGGAGTTTTTCGCGACGCGCTACGCGGACCGGACGTCGGCGTCTCTTCGCGGGACGACCTCCACGCCCTGCTGCAGTGGCCGCCGTCGTCGCGGCGGTCGGACCGCTGTAAAGCGGGTGCAACGGTGAAGGGATGGTTAGGGTGGTGGGGGGGCGTTGCGTCCGCGGACGAGGCGCGCCGTCGTCATCAAAACATCCCCCGAAAATACAGCGACTTCCCGCGGCCGTACGCCGGTAACGATAATATACCGACAATATACAATAATACACGACAAATACGGAATATTGTATTATACACGGCGTAGCCGACGGCAATAATCACGCCGTTTGGCCACGGACGCGCGCGTATGGTATTAAGCTGTCGGCTCGCGCGCGGTTAAAGTTCAAAAGTTCAACCCCGCCGCCGCCGCCTCCGCGCAACAATGACGCCGACTATGTACGGTCCGCGGCGTCAGATGACGGCGGCGGCGGTGCCGTATTATGCGTTATTATTATTGTTATTTTATTATTGTTAATATTATCATTACCTGTCTATATTACATTGTCACACGATCGTTATTTATCGTTAGGACGAAAATAATATTATTATTATTATTAGAGCCGGTACGGATAAGATACACGCGTTGCTATTATACGTATATCCGTATCCGTACGCTACGTAAAATTTATATATAAATATTATCATTCGTATGGTATACCAACCTCATGATTTCCTGTTCCTTCTGTTCCTCCTGTTTCTGCCTGTGCACCACGGATTCGATGATCTCCCGCTCCTCGGGCGTCAGGTGCGACAGGTCCGGCATATCGGAAGCCATTCTCAGTACCCAACACCAGCACACGGCACTAAGAAGTGCCACCACCCGGCACAACGACGGTGCAATGTGCGTCGTCCCGTGCGCCGGCACAGCGGTCATGGTCAGCCCATGGACGCGTCGCGCTTGGTGGCCATACCGCGGTCATCATGCCGAAGACGACGACGCAGCTGCCGCGACGCCGGCATCATGACCACCGCCGCAGGTACAGGTCGTGTCGGCGTCGGTCGGTCCGTCGGCACTCGGGGTGGTCGCGCGGCGTCGTTGCGCGGCGGACCTACTCCCGCGCCGCTGCGGCGTTCCAACGGCCACGCGCACTACGGCGCGTACAAACGAACAGTCGTTAACGGTAAAAGGCGCGTACTTTATTAATAATGACGTGTCTAATAAAACGTAGCCGTACCGCGACGTCCTACTGGGCGTCGATCGGCGAGACCGCGGACGAACAACCCGCGCGACCGGCACTGTACGGATAACGCGTGCGACAAACGGTTTTCGCGCGACGACGACGCGACCACAGTGGCGGCGGCACGACGACGACGGGACGTGTCGTAAATAGGTCGGCGGCGGCAACCCAAGACGATGGGGTCGTACGGTGACTGCGGCGGCGGCGGCGGTGTAGTCGTAGAACGATCGTGATGATGGTGGCCGCTGCAGTGACGACGATACCGTAGACAGTAATAGTGGTAGTCGGTTTTCCTACCGCTCGGATACGCACGCGGCGGCGGCGGCGGCAGCGGCGGCGGCGGCGACGACGACGACGACGACGTTTTCCCTGTCATTCACATACGACCGTGTTGCTCACTTACGTCATAGGGCCCCCCGAGTATCGATCTTCGTCGTCGACGGCGGCGGAGGCGGCGGTGGTGGTAGTAGTAGTGGTAGTATAGTGACGGTGGTGGCGGCGGCGATGGCGCCGCTCTCTCACTCTGAATGGGACACGCCGCGAAACGAGCGTCACGCGCAAGCGTATTATAATTTTATACCATATACGTACACGGCGTGCTACACGACTGGCGGCGGCGGCGGCAGATGCTTCGGCGCGGTCGCGATTTATACGACGAGGTGGTGTATTTCTCGCGAGCTTGTGTCTGTGTGTAAGTCTATAAGCGTGCGCGCGCGTGTGTGTGTGTGTGTATTTTTGTGTGTGTGTGTGTGTGCGCGCGCGTGTGTATGCGCGCACGTTTCGTAGACTACGGACACCACTACGACGACCACGAAAACGACGGTGGCGGCGGCGGCGGCGGGCGTGTTTGCCGATCGACGTACACCAACGCACTGACGCCCTGAAAGCTCCGTCTGTCCGTATATATATATACGTATGTACCGCCAACTCCGCCCGCGCGTACACCGTTCGTCCATAATATACAGGGTCTTGCAAATTTCATACGACACTTATATATTTATTTCTGCACTGTGAAACAAGTATTTATAGTTGGTATTTTTTTTTTTTGTTTTTTTTTTTTTCAAAAATACCTCCGCGAAAACTTTTCGGGTATCATAATAATGTTCTGACGACGATGCACCGTCGAAATTTTAAAACAATTCAAACGGCCACCTACAGCCGATCGTATTGAAAATCCCGTACAACAGACGGCGGGAAGTTTTAATTGAAAAAAATTTCGATATGGAAACAATACTATAACGCCGATTTCCGTTGAAAAACCATCGTCGCGCCGATTGCGATTGGCGAGATTCGCAGCTTTTTTTTTTTTTTAAATTCGGTCGTTATTTCGGTAATCGTTGATCGAGAAAATGTGTCTTCCGGAGCGAGGCGATCGGCGTCCAGTCACGAGTTATTCAGCTCCACTATGCTAACCTTATCGCTGTACGCCTGCGAAATTACCGGGCCGAAAACGACATCACGTCTCGCCGGGATCGACGCAACCGCGCGACGGTTTAAGTTTCCCGGTCGAGTTTCCCATTATTATTATTTTTCGTTTTTTTTTCGGCGACGAATGAAATATCATAGAAAATTCGTTACGAATATCGCATTCGGATGTTCGTGTACGGTTCTAAGAATTTTCCCCGGATGTTTTACCGAACAACATATAATGTTAAAATCACGGTATAATTTAATACAGCGAAATCTGGCGTCGCCACAAAATGTGCAATACCCTGTATATAATGTGTATATAATAAATATATATATATATATATATTATATTATATTGTAGTCGTCGGCGTCGTATTATGTATACGCCTCCGCGCCTAGCGGAAAACGCGAAAACCAGCGGCGGCGTTCTTGCCGGCGTCGAAGGCACCGACGACGGCGGAGAACGGAAAAAAATAAAATAAAATAAAAAAAGATGACTGGAAATTAATATCGGCGTCGCGTCGTTTGTTCCATCGTCCTCGCTGAGAGTTGCCGCCTCCGCGTAATTATATTGCGTCCATTATACGCCACATCGCACAATAAAAACGGTTTCCGAACGCGGCGAATATTAACGATAATATATTGTGCCCCTTTCCGCCCCGCCACCCGGGAGCCCACCCCGTGTTCTTCGGCCCATTCGACTGGCGGTCGGTTTCCCGAAAACGTCTTGAGAGAAAAAAAAACAACGACGCACTGGTAACGCTCGAGTCCGGCGCGGTAGGCATTGAAAAAATTAGGAGGGTATAAAGACTATAACACGAGACTGAAGCAAAAACTAGATTCCCGCGCAATTATCGAACTCAACCTAACCAAACGTGGGGAGGGGGTTCGCCTCCCCTACCATTCGCCTGCTGTATTCCAATTTTTCTGTCTGTAAACCACGCGCGCGGTTTTTTTTTTACTAAAAAACTTTGCTCCGATCATCGAATTGCGATTTTCTCATTAACGAATAAGATACTAAGAGACGAATTATAATTCTATAAACGTTTGAAAAATATACACAATTTATTATTGTTTAATTATTTATTAAGGAAGTTATGTTTTGATAAGTCATAAAATTAACTTAGTTCGCCTATTTTTAGTTTATACTCGCTGAATTCAGACTATGCTTTTAAAAGATATTATAATAATCGTTCAATGTATTTAGATTTAAATTTTAAATGCATTTATTTTGTTTAAAAAAAAAAAAAAAAAATGAGAAAACAGAAAAAACATTGAGAAAACTAGAATATTTACACGATAACGGTTTTTGTGATATTCGACTTACAAATTGATGTACTCATTTTAAAGTTAAGAAAATCGACCATTAAAAAATAGTATTATAATTTATCGGTAGAGAAAATTCCTTTTAAAAGTGAATTCGTTCCCGTTCCTCGTCCTTTTTTGAAAAAAGAAACTTGACCCAGTTACCCTTGTTCCTTTATTTTTATTTCTTAACACCTAAAACAGACCAAAATAATTTTTATATTCTTAATTTAAAAATATCACTATTTAATCGGCTTTGGAAACACATACATACATTTAATATTAAAGGTTTTGGTGAGTTATTCATAAGTCACTAGTGTAAATACCTAATTTTCATAAAACACTCAAAGAAACACGTCGACGTGGACAGACAATTTCACTATCATTTATCATTATCAAATGTGTTATAACGTTGCTTATTATCATTTCAAATCATAGTCACCAAAAAATCGTTTATATTATAAGTATACAATCATAGTATGTAATATTAATATTATCATATTATGTGTATGTTAATATGAATATAAAAGTTGAGATTACAATATTGCAATAATATATTGTGGTAATTTATTATTAAATAAGAACTCATTCTTGTTCGTCGTCCTATATTTGAAAAGGAACAATTTCCTTCCTAACAGTGTAATTTATAAATAAAAAATAATTTTATATAATTTCCAGTAATGTAAGCACCCTGATTTGCACTATGGGTGGACAACTGTTGTAGGTGAGAAGTTGGAAAAGTAGAGGGGAAATTTAATATATATATATATATGTATGCGATGAATAACATTGCTAACGAAAAACGATAATGAGCGGAGTTCGGTTGTACATGTTATGAAAGGCCGTAATACTTAAGATTTTAAAATAATAAATTTCGTAAATTTTCCTGTTTTTCCTACGTTTTTTCCATTTATTATGAAAACCTTTGGGAAAATAAATGACCTTCCAAAAAATGCCTCTAGAAAACTTCCTTTTAGTAAAGGTGCTACACTTGAAAACCAGAGCAAGATTTCTGGTAGAAAAGTTTTCGACAAAAAATAAAAATAATAAACATCATTTTAAAATCAAGATGTAAAATAATGCAGTTTTTAATGCCGTAAAAGTATAAATGTTTCCTATTTATTATTAAAACCACTTAAAAATTACAAAAGAACCACCTTAATGTACCAAGTAGATTCAAAATACAACAAAAAAAGTATCTTATCATTTTTTGATTGGAGCAAGATTTTTGGTGGAAAAGTTTACAGATAGAAAAAAAGTAAGCACGCATCATAGTAAAATAAATACATATACCCCAACACTAATTAATTTTCTTTTAAATAGGTGTAGTGCTGGTTTTGCGTTTATTGTTTCGTGGACGTGAATATTGCGTTAATATCGTCCGCACCAAGTTATGACGATTACACAGCTCACAAATTCCATCCACGCCCATCATTGGTGCTGCTTTATAATAACAAAACAGCACTGGCACCAGCAGACGACGACGGGACTATAGGATAAGTATACAACCATACGGAAAGCCGAACGTTACCGGGCCTAAGACAGTTTCCCGAAGATAACAATATCCAAATCAGTAATACTGACTTAAAAACCTTAATTCTCGGCAAATTGTACAATAAATTATAATAACAACCGTAGAATGATTTTATGTATTTTATTTATTTTCAAACTCAATTATTATTATCCAATTGAAAACTACTTTTTAAGTGTTTTCGTATTTTAATTATTTTTGTTAGCTATAGTTTAATTTTCGTAATTTGCATTTAAAATGCCGAATTTATGTGTCAAATGTGGACAAGTCGTAGCCATTTTATCGGTTTCTTAATATTAAAATGATCATTGTCTCTGATTTAAGAATGCAAATTGTACAACTTATGTTCATGATAGTCAGCTAACGACATGTAAATTTGCGCGGGAATGTTCAATTAGACAGTTAATTAAAATGTATAGTTTATTTCATGTTTGAACATTTAATAATTCAATATTCTCGTTTGAAAAATTTGGAGTTTGTTAAAGTTGGTATTACCTTATATACTCAACTTTTTTTTTAATGATTTTGGGAAAACTATACCCATCTCGGGTCTCACCATCGATAAAGGAAATATAGATAGCTCAGTAAAAAAAGTGGTTGACCCCTAACGACATTTGTTTGCATTTACATTGCATAAATCATAAAATTCAGTTATTTTTTCATGAAATGTACAACTAGCGCAATGAGTGAAAAATGTTTTAGTTAAAACCACGGTTATAGATTGAATGTTTACACATAAAGTGGCCAAAATACCTTATACTAATAGACGGAACATCAAAGTAAACCTCGGGTGGGTGATACGGTCACTCGCGTTTCTATAATATAACCATTGATAATATGAAGCAAAAAATGGCGTACTATTCAGATGAAATTTTTTAAGATTAAAAAATAAATTTCGCAATGAAAAAATGGCTTAATAAAAATACTTTTATTAGGTAATATTCTGTATAGTAAAAATAAATTACATATTTTGTTATTATTGAAATCAAGACGAGTCGGCCCTTGTCTTCTCCTTCACCTTCATCCCAACTATTTGGGGTCAACCATCCTCGTCCTAAACTTCCACTTGACCTGATCCTTTATATCGTCCTCGCATACAACCACCATTCTCATATCATTTTCAATCGCATCCAACTGACTCTTTTTGTTCTTCCTCTCCCCTCTTTCTTCCTACGTTTATTTTCATTAGAATTCTTACCGCATCCTCTCCACAAATTCCTCTTTCCCCATGATGTGCCCAAACCATCTCAGTCTATTTTCTCTCATTTTGTCCACACCTAAGCTACCTCTTATTCCTTTACTTATTTACTTATTTACTTATTCCTTATCCTATTTTTTCTCGTCACTCTATTAATCGACCAATAAGCATTCTAATCTCTAATACACTCAATTTCTGTTTACCGCCCAACACTTAAAACCGTCCAACATAGTCGGTCTCACCACACTCTTGTAGAACTACCTTTAAATTTCATTAAAATCCTCTTATCACATGAAATACCTGACGGTTCTTTCCACTTAATCCTATGGTTCACATCGTCGTCAAATCCACCATTCTTTTTAACAATAAACCTAGGAATTTAAAACTTTCAACCTCGCTTATTACATCACTGCTTATTATTGTTATGTGTCTTGTCCTGTCGACCTCTTGTCCTATTTCTTCAAACTCATTCTATATAATATATTCTGGTTTAATTCTATGAGTCAGCTCTTGTAAAAAGATAAAATTGCCATCTAAAAATAAGACCTAGTGTACCTAACTTTTAGTTCTCAATCCTATAGACCAAATAACTACTATCGTGTACATAACCTTATCACGCGGGGTAGTTACAAGAGATACATACGTATGTATGTAGAGCACGAGTAGGTACAGAAGAATATTGTGAAAATTCCTATCCCTAAAACTATAAAAACAGATATTATAGGTCATACAATTCAGCGAAACCGGTACCTATATAAAATTTGAAATAAACATTTGTAAATATGTATGAAAAATGAAAAATAAAAATACATTTATAATACACTGACTAACGATGGGTTAATATAATAAATTGTAATTTGTATTGAATAAATAAGTTTATTAAGTACATTATTTTTCCGAAAAGTTTATTAGACATTATGATAACGTAATTAATACTTTCGCTGCACTACCAATTTTGTCCAAGCGTTTGTGAATGCGGATCGATGACGTAGCGCTCAGATTCCGTGACATCATAGTTGTACTGGTTGTAGTCTGAACGTTACGCCGTATGCCGTGCGTTCAGACACTGAATCCGTGATTTCCGGTGAATTCACCAGAAAAAGATTTGGCACCGTCCATTTAAATATACCACTATAGTTACCATGATCCATATCAATAATAGTTTATATAACAACAGTTTTTTAAAAAAAACTCGTGAGACTTCAACTTTATGCGATTTTTGTTTTATTCAAGTCTATTACTTTATCACTTCCTGCTTATGCTTTTTGTCAATATTTTAATTAATTTGTAATAACTCCCACAGCGACAACGGCAAGTTGTTCATTTAAAATGTTTTAAGACCATGTTTTATGTACCTACTTTTAATGACGATGATAACAAGAATAAAACGCACTAAAAAGACTTTCCAATCTAGTAGTCAGTTCCACTACCATACTAATAATTTTAAGACCAGCTTTTAAAGAACATATATACCATATAACAATATTAGTAACTCACCCCTCCGTTCATAAGCTTGCTTTTTGAAAGGGTGTCATACTTGCAATTAATTCATTTAAACACTATGTACACATTTTTGTATGGCAATAAATAAATACCTATACTAAAATATAAAACATAAATGTTCTATAAAACAAATTCCGAAAAATGTAATATATTTTCCGAGATAATGAATATATTACGATATATTTATCACTCTGTATTTATCACTCTACTATCCGTATATTTACATGTCTTGAAATGCCGTAATATGATTTTCATCAAAATTTGATATTAAAACTCTTATAAAAAAAAAAAAACACTACATTATACTCAATTTTTGTTTTGACCATTAAGTACAACTTATAATGAGCCCCCTGTTATGTTTTCAAGCATTTATATTTGGTCAAACCATTGTATCCACTAAGTACCTCAAGGTGTGTGATTTGGTCCAACTTATAAGATAGGGTAGCCTTCATTTCGATTAATACCCTAGAAGGGGGGTCATGAAAGATTCTTCGGTATTTTTGTTATGAAAATTAAATTATTTCTGCTGAATTAATATTGAATTAACTTATAATTATATGGATGAAATAAAAAACAATTTAAACCAAAAAAGACAGACATACTTTGCATGTGGATAGAGCCACTATCGTAGATGGGAAGTAGGGAAGGTAGGATACAAGCGGAAATTTAATGTATATCTGTAAGCAATGATAAACCATTGCTAACGAAAAACGATTCTAAGCGGAGTTCAGTTGATAGTATCGCTTTGTCAACAATATATACATGTATGTCATAGTATGGTAAAATGATTACACCAATGTACGTTTCCACGACAACAATGATTGTTTAAAAAAACATTAAAGTAATAAAAACTTGATAATAACAAAAAATAAATTAAAACGGTTGCCAGTGACAACCTTATTTTTAATCTTTCAATCTTTTTTTAACCTAAGGAACCAGGTTTTCTTCATTATCTCGAATTTTAATGAAAATGTCAAAAAATGACCTCTTACCAAGAGAACATTTCCTTTCAGAAAAGATGTTATACTTGATAATCGGAGTAAACTTTCTGGTAGAAAAAGTGTTCACAATAAAAAAATAATAAACATCATTATAAAACAAATATATTTCACACTCTGATCAGAATTTAAAATGTCTTAACAACTCAAAATAAAAAGTTTATCATAGATAGGATAGTCATAATCTCGATTAATGACCTCAATAGTTTTTTATAACGATTACTTACGTATCATGTCGTTACGGTCGTCGGGTCGTCCAGATTATAGGAAGAAATAAAAACTTTACTATTACTAAGCCAACAATCAATACATCGTCACGATATCACTGCACGTGTATTCAAACAAAAATCAATTTCCGTGGCAAAAACGAGGTTTGACTCATGCTTACATTTTAATTAGGCTTGAAGTTAAAATCCGTTCAGAAGAAATTGATCAAATAATTTCAGCCGAAATTCCGGATCCATTTTATTGGTTAACCAATTATTTTTTTGTGTAATTTAAATCCGCCTAGATTATATAATGGTACACGTTTGGTCATAAAAAATATCACCGGAAATGTTCTTAAAGCAACCGTTTTGAGTGGAAAGTTTAAAGGAGAAATCGTCCTGTTGCCACGTATTTCATTGAGCACTATTACCGTCAGAATCTCCAATACAATTCAAAAGACCTCCATTTTCTATTCGTTTGGCTTTCGCAGTGACTATAAATAAGTCTCGAGGCCAAATAAAGTTCATTTGCGGCTTGAACTTGGAAAATCCATGTTTCTTCAGGTATACTATCGAATCTATTTGTGTCAGCAGAAGATAGCCGATAGGTTAACCAAAAATATTGTGCACCGATTACCACTAAGTTAAATTCAAATCATGCATTTTTGTACTTTAAATAGTAAAAACAATTATAAAAAATAAATAAAAATCACCAATACATCTACCTCATTAATAAAATTGAATTTGTATGTGTTATCAAATAAGAACTTTGTAAATTATTCTTTTATTACATAATATACCTACTCAAATATGAGAGAAATATAATGTAACATTAGAAATTGTATGTAGGTTTGCACTGAGATTCAACTCTCGGAAACTCTTTACCAATCATTTTAAAATGTTGACGTAAAGTTCC